ATAATAATAATAATAATAATAATAATAATAATAATAATAATAATAATAATAATAATAATAATAATAATAATAATAATAATAATAATAATGACTTGAAAAAGATTTTTTTTAAATTTTTTAGTAATATTATATAATATTACTTTAATTTATATTATTATATTTATAATTACCTTAATAAATTTTTTTTTATTTTTAAAATTATCTTATAGTATTTTTTTTTTATATTTTAATATTTTTAAAATATATAATAATATATATTTTATAATATTTTAGCTAAATTAAGCATAGTTTAAAAAATTTAAATCAGGTTTTAAGTTAAGTTAAGTAAAAATTTTTTTTACCTAGTACTTAAATTAAATATATAAATTTATATTTAACTTAAGCCTTAAATATAGGTTTTTTTACCTAACTTATACCTAAATACCTAAACCTAAGTACCCATACCCATTTACCTGTTACCTGCGTGCAACACTAATGCTAAGGAACCAATAAATTGTAGGTAAGTCAATAAAGAATAGGCTTGTTTATAAAAGTATAAGGTTTATAGTAGAAAAGGTTTTTCTTAAACAAAGGTGGTAACACCATGTTAGAATTTTAGAATTTGGCAGATCGCGCGCTCTAGATACCCCACTCTTATGCCCCCCGCCCACGGGAAAAATCCATGATAGTAGTTTGCACTTGGCAACCAGACTTCAAGGTTAAAAAGCTTACAAGCACCCGCATACAATTGCTAATCACAAACAATTGATATTTTCACAACATAATACCTGTTGATCATATTGTTCTTGTATGGTAATCATCCACTGCCTATCATAGGAACGGCACTGACTTAGCTACGGCCGATATATAGCGTCAGAATGGTACTGGAAGCCATAAGATATGGCGATGGTAAACTTTCCATCATTGACCAGCTGCAACTCCCATTCGTGGAGCGTTATATCGAGATTAGCACGAGCGAAGGTGGCTGGCAGGCCATCAAGAACATGCAAGTACGAGGGGCGCCTGCTATTGCCATTGTGGCGGCGCTCTCGCTCGCATCTGAACTTCATGAGCTTTCTGTACAAAAGAAAGTGCCTTCGAATGCAGAAGATGTTGGAACTTTCATTATCGAACGACTGAAATACCTGGTAAGCAGTCGGCCGACTGCTGTTAACCTCAGTGATGCCGCCCGCAAGCTAGAGGCTATTGTCTCGGAAAGATCTCAGAGGTCTAGATCAACAGCACAAGACGTCGTGGACGCGTTTATACAAGCCGCTGAAGCCATGCTGGCAAAAGATGTGGAGGATAATACGAGAATTGGAGAAAATGGTGCTAGATGGATATCAGCGAACGCTCTATCAACAGAGCAGCACAAAGCTATCGTACTGACACATTGCAACACCGGGTATGTGCAGCCCTTGAGCGGCAAATTATTGGCTAATACCGATGTTTATCTAGCTCTCTCGCAACAGCTGGCTACGGCACCGCGCTTGGTGTAATACGCTCTCTCATGTCTAGCGACACTTTGCAACACGCATATTGCACTGAAACAAGACCATACAACCAGGGGTCCCGGCTAACCGCATTTGAACTTGTTCATGATAAAATACCGGCAACGCTAATCACAGACTCGATGGCGGCCGCTTTACTATCAAGACCAGGGACTCGTGTCAACGCAATCGTCGTTGGTGCAGACAGAGTCGCAGCAAATGGAGATACCGCAAATAAAATCGGCACATACGGACTTGCAGTACTTGCTAGATACCACGGAGTGAAGTTTCTTGTTGCTGCACCACTTACAACAATTGACTTGGCCACCAAGTCTGGCGATGAAATTGTCATTGAAGAACGACCGTCTTTGGAAGTAACGAAAATAAAAGGGCTGCAGGATGACAATCTCACTGGAGACGTGATATTGGCCACAGTTGGCATAGCCGCTGAAGGGATTGACGTCTGGAATCCGGCTTTCGATGTCACGCCGTTTGCGCTTATTGATGGAATAATAACAGAGAAGGGCGTCGCAGAAAAAAACGCGGAGGGTCGGTTTCAATTAAAAGAGCTTTTTGATTGACCAGCTTCGGCTATCTCTGTGCTCGATAAAGATTTGTCGATATTGGCATTCTCCGGAGTGGGTCCTGCGCTCTGATCCTGCGACCTGAGGAGGCCATCAATCTTGCTCTCCAAGTCGCCCAGATGTTGCTCAAGGCGCGATGCTGCTTGCTCCCCACTATCGAGATTTAAGTATACCGTTATAGTTGGCCTTGGACAGGTATAGTTACCTTGAAATATCTTTTAAAATCTGGACAATAAATAGTTAGTGTTTGTATGGAGACCAAGAATATATAATTAGCAGTCCAAGGAATTTACCTCTGCAAGGTTAAAACCAATTGCCCCGTTATTACTCTGGAACGTCTCTGGCATTATTAGGGGATGAGGAGTGTGATTGTGAATGAAGAAAATAATGTTGACAGCCAGGTGTTCGGTTGGAGGCTGGTAGAGTGGTGACAATAATGATTTGCCTTGGTCTAGGAGTTAGGACCTATCTCACGAGTCTCATGGAGACCATTTAAACTGACGAGTTGCTTATTTAGGTTGACGGGTCGCCCCCACCTAGAACCAACAATTTGATCTGTATAAACAGTATTATTACCACCTTTGTTAGAGTCTACCACCTTAACTATTATTTTAGGTCTTATAAAACTTATTCCTTCTGTACTATAATACCATAAAAACCCTAACCTCCCTAACCTACCATAGTACCCTGACTCCGTATATAAAGCCGGGCTGTATGTAGCGGTGGAATCGCGGTAATATGGGGGAGGGCCCTAGGATCTCGGATACGGTAATCGGGTCCGCCTGCACTGGCTACGGAGTAAAAGGGTCAAGGGTCTCTCAGTTTCAGCATGATACTCGGAGTATTCGTAGAGTACAGAGAAACAGTATTCTCCGCATATATTCTTTGAGAGCAGGTCATTAGATTGACAGTAGCCCAATGCAACAAGTACGGAGTCCTTACAGCCTTTTGCCCAGGTCGCCTGCATACTGCAAAAGCCATCCAATAAAGGCAATTGATCACATTTAGGTACCCTGGACCTTAGGTACCCAAACCCGCATAAATTCTGCGCGAGGGTGAGGTCACGAGCCTATTACTAAGGCCTGACCTACAGAGAATAAGGATTAAAACAGCCAAAAGTACATGTCAGTATACTCACCGACTTGTGGTGTATTTATTGTAAGTTATCCAGCTGCTTTATTGTTGTTGACTATTGCACTTCCTGATATAGCCCCAGAGCTACCTTCGAGATTTCATGTAGCAGTCTGGTATAACATCTCAGAATTAAACCTCTACTGCACTGGTCCCCGAAGAAGGCAGTATTTCTGCATTATAAGGCAAAGTGGAAGCCTAGAGCTTCCTATGTTCTATGATCCCACTTTGTACAACTTGACATACCACCATGGATCATATGACCGCATGGTCTCGATTCAGAGCTCTAGTTGCCACTTTCTCGCAGACACATCCGCCTAGGTCACTAACATGTTTACTAGGTGACTAACGAACATAACATCCTAACAGCAAATGAACTTCGGGATTGACAGAAGTATGTACATTGCCGTTGCCTAGCAGTCATTGACCTTTACCCAAATATAATGCGCTTCATTTACTAACTTGAGTGTAGTGACACGCTCGCATAAAGTCAATGATCGTGATCACTCTGGCGCCCAGGATACAACGGCAGCTCCTAACGAGAATATACCCCGCTATTTTGGTAAATCCGGTCCTATCGATGCCGACCCTCGGAAGACCAAGAAAAACGGTGGAGGTAAAGGAAACTGGTTGGTTTTCTACGTCTAATACTGGTGCCATTGTTGACACCCTATATCAGGGGTCGTTCGGGCGAAGAAGTCCATGACTACGAATATAGCTTCATGAATAGCCGGCGTCACTCGAATAGCAGCATCCAGGGCATGGCAGGCTTCAAGACCAAATTCGAAACAGTCGAGCCGGAACCTGTCTTTGAAGAGGACTTGCATGGACCTTCGACTGAAAACACCATCGATGAGGCCCCTGTAGCCAAGATTGACAGTGTCAGTAGCGGCAATACTGGTAGTGTTGAGGCCGAGAAAGTTGCTGACCAGAACTCCGCGGTGAACTGATTGTCTGCTATACCTTTCGGGCTGTGACTCTGTCGTTTTCCGATGAAAGAGTGGTCTTTGATTGTATGTTATGGTGACACTTTGAGGTCAAATGGTAATTAAGTTAAGAGGCATGAAGATGTCCCTACAACCAACTAAGCGGCTCTTTCCGATTTGAACTTTGTGTCTGACACGACGGGTCGTCTTTGAAGTTGGTACTGGCAGGTGGTGACACTGACTTCCTTTCTTCCCCAGCAGACGAGAGAAGCTGTTTGAACCAGAATTCCAGCTCTCCTTTCTCGACATAATTTAGAAGAGTAGAGTTCTCCTGTTCAAGATCACGGGCGATTCGGCTTCGTTGCTCAGGACGAAAACGCGATGCGAGAAGGGCAGCTTCACAGTCGTTCATGAGCACGTCTTGTGGACGAACCGGAACATAAAATGGCGCGATATCAGGACCAGTGCGACCTTTGATCAGGTTAGTATCTTACAATAGATGGTCGAGTTAGGATTACCATTGAGACACAATTCAAAGGTACGAAATAGTGCAGTGGATCTGAACGGTTCAGACTCGCTGGTGCTTGCGTCATCCCAATTGTCCTTGATAATGCACCTCCGCCACACGAGTTTCTGGAGCGCAAGGCTGTAGGCCGGATCACACTTAGGGTTGAGCCCAAGTTGAATCACTCGCAAGGCTAAATGGAACTCGTCCCCAGAAAATTCATTTTGTCCAATGGCCGAATCCTGACTAGGTCCTATAAGCGTCAACAAGTCGACGAGTTGGTCAGGGCTTAGCATTCTTCTGGACACCACTCCCGCTAGAGCTTCCTTGAGTAACTCATGTAGCGATGGCCGGTCCTGGGCGGTCGAATTCGCAAAATGATCGGTCACCAGGTCTATCTCGGCTTTTTGGTCGATGGCATCTTGTAATACTGGCGAAATAAAGGAATAGATGACTTCCTGAACAGCGCCCATCTCCGCTAGGCCCTCGAGCCGCTTTATATCATTCTGCACGGGCCGAGTATTAGGAAGATCATTCCTTTCCCATGTTGCTAGATGAGCAAGTTTGGCCAAAGATATTTTAACCCGATGGCCCCAGATACCCTGTTCCCGTTCGAGAGCGAGCTTTTCCAAGGTCTTTGCAGCACAGTGGTAGTCTGCCTCACCAATCACATCATTGATCCAGCTGAGACTGGCATAAGACTTGTGCTTATGCAAGAACTGAGTAACAAATGGTTGAAACTTTTTGACTGAAAACAAGATCCCTGATTGTCCTGTTGAAATTTGCCGAGCGAAGAAGGCGTCCGCCCACGCATCTCCGAATTTTTCGAAATAATGTGTTATTTTCCTGTCGAGCTCGACACCACCTGGAGTATCCAGGTCGGCAACAGTCACGCCTTTTTGATCCTGAAGCTCTATGATCAATTCCACCAGCGCACTCATGTCATGGAAACCCTCGGCCAAGTTCATGGCTTCTCCCAACTGCCCAATACCTGCTAGTTTAAATAGCTGCCATCTCCGCTGTTTGATGTGTGACTGCTTGGTTGCGGAAGCTTCATCGAGAAGCGACTGGTCCTCTTGAGCTGATAGCCATCGGATCCGTTCGGTATACATCTGTCCCAAAACGCGAAGGTGCCTGGCACTGTTTCGCGCAATCTTCGCGATGATCTGCTGGTCTGATCCGTCAGAACTAGTTGAGTTTTGCTGCATGGCCCTGCAACTGTCAAGCTCGAGATCCAACAAATGGCCGGTTTCAGAATAACTGATATTTTGCGACGTCCAGAACTCTGGAAGGCCTTCGTAGTTAGTTACCAATACCCCCTCTTCTAAATAACCATCTCCGATTCCAAATTGGCTAGCATGCTCATCCCGATACCTGAAAGCAGTCTCCAAGACTGCTAGAGACAACTCGCTGGCTTCCAGAATCTGCTCTGACATCCGCCGCATTTGATTTGATGTATGGCCTTTTTGTGGTTTCGTCGCATGAAAAATCCAAGGCAATATATGTTCCATTCGATAAGTATCAAATAGAAACCAGTGACGCAATGGATCAACAGAGTCAACCACCTTTGTCTTGAACTTTTCACTCATCACTTTCACAACATGCGCAAGGAAAGGGCCATTGGTTTGGCAGTGCCACCTCCAGATTGCCCTTTGAGCCGCAAGTTTCTCAGCACCCCAGAGCAATTCCCACCAGATCCGACGATCAAGACTTTTATTATGATCAAGTAGAATCCGTGAAAGATCATCCAGCGCCTTTGCCCGCAGTTTCAAATTCTGGTCGATAGATATAGCCGCTGTTGGAATAAACTTTGAGGTTGACCGGAGTAGACCTTGACAGATTCCCAAAGTCGCTTCCTCAACTTCCCGAACAGGAAAATCCAGGTCTCCTTTGCTGGACAGATCAAGAGGGTTCCCTAGCATTGTACCGTAAAATACGGCCTGTTCAAGCTTATGCTGTGCTGTTGGCCGAGTTGCCACAGTTGCGATTTCCTGCCGAGATGACGCAGTGATACGCACCACACCGAACTCTCTGATCATAAGTAAGCAGGATGAACAGCCATTTTGATCTTCAGACCCGATTCCTAGTATCTCATAGACCTTCCCGGAACGAAGGTTGATGGAAGAGTGAAAACCTTTGTCAATGAGGACTGCATCCGAGGAGGCAGGTGCTGTCAACGACAGCAATATGACAGACTGGTTGATCACAATGAAGGCCGTTTCACCAGGTCGTGGAACAAACAGACGAGGCTGCGGATCAGCTGAATCAGTGGGAAAGTTATGTAAACTGATAGAACTTGTCGAGAGAATCTGAGCGTGTTCGGAAAGCCGCAATCGGGAAACAAACACGCCTTGGATAACTGACCCAGAGAACACGCCAAATAGAACCGAAACCTCATGACCTGACTGCGAACTGCCCACCGCCAGATCCCAAACTCTGACTTCATAGTCAATGGCATCCTCCATCTTGGTTGCCGCCAGCAAGTCTCCCTTGATGTCGAATTGCTTTTTGAACATACTGCCATTGTTCCAGTGGGTATCCCATATCTCTACCAAGCCCGCCGAAGTCGCAATTATGATATCTCGCTGACCCCGCTGGTAGGATTCGCCTGGACGCACAGCGGCGACTTTCTTTCTCCAAAATCCGGCCCCGATGACACTCTTGATACCACCAAAGAATCCAATTCCACCAGTGTTGGATGGGTTCTTCAGAAAGCTCACCGTCACGGCTGGCTTTCCTTGGGAGTCTCTGAGGGTAACATGAGCAGCCCGCCCGGATGAAAATGTGACTATGACGCCCGAAGGCTCTCCGTTCACTACATCTGTTGCATATTCACCAGAGAGCATTCCTGGGATGTATCCTTGGAGCCCTGCTTGTTTCCGCGAACCTAGTAATGTGTGCGATACGGTCTCCCAGTATACGATCTTTCCGTTGTGAGGCATCACGATGATCAAACCAGGGGTAGAACTAGTGGAGGTGGATAAAATCATCCCCAGGGGCGAAAAGTTGTTGTTTTCCATGTACGAATCAGGTATCGGAAGCCGGTAGACATCGGCAGGTGAAGGTGACGAGACCATGCTAGAGAATGGCCAGATGATGGCCTCAAATTGGGTGATAACCAGGGCATATCCATGATTAGAGGCGAAGTAACACCTGAGATCCTCTGCTGTAATTAGCATATGCCAGGTAACTGCACAAGGACATACCTGAACGCAGACTCCGAATCTGGTCGGGCAGACATGGTAACTGGGATACAGTATAGAAATCTGTTTTCGACTGAACGAGACTTAGCATACGAAGATATGTAGTTAAGAGAGACGAACCAGTATGACAGGATGTACTTCGTCGCTTTTTTGTTTATGGGGCTTCTTGGTGGTTCTTATTGGGATGTTCCTTTGGACCTCGTTGTCGGGTCTGCTCGGACTGGGCGAGGACCTGTGGTTGGGCGCGCGATGTGTTAGGTCTCCTGTATCGGATTCATCATCTTGAGGCAGAATTGATCGTTGCCTTTTAGCACTTGGTGGCTTGATAGACTCGCCCGAACTTGTGCGCTGACGCCTTCGCGGATTCCGCAGGGATGTCGCGGACACTGCTTTTGGCGCGAACATTGTCTTTTATGATACAACCAAGCGACTTTCAAGGTAATAGAGCGCGAAGCTCGCGCATTGAATATAGTGACGTTTCTGAAGGTTGAATTCCTCGATGTTGTGGTGTCTTCGTGCTTTCCTGCTTTCAATGTTGTTGACTTCAGGTCCAGAGTAGGCGGTCAGTAATCAAATTATCTGCGCTATCCGTGGACCAGTAAGAACGTCAGAAAATGTCTGGCGGTGAGAGCTCCTGTCTACCACATTGTACCTGTATTTGAGAATTCTGTAAGGAGGGCTATTCATTTTGTGACTTTCTGGGGATGTGGTCTCAGTAAGCAGTCTAGGGCCTAATGAAAAAGCCAGTAAATTCTAAGAAACACAGGCCCATTTAGGTATCCAAAGCTTATGTGAAGAACTACAGGGAAATTAGTATATAGCTCAAGGCTTTTAGGTACTTGCCGTAAGTTCACTACTAGAGTAAAAGATATACCTAACCCACCACCAGCATATAACCAGGCAGTCTGCATTGGTTGAGTCGGAAATTTAAGATAAGTGAATCCACCACAAGGCTCAAGCTGCTCTATCAAGGGTAGGCATACATACAATACCCACCAACTAATACAGTCCGCGCGTGTAGCACTGTACTGTAGGTACTAGGTGCTGCGATTTCTCATACGGAGTACATATGCGGAGTTAACCCCGCATTTCTCTATACCACGTGACTTAAACCGCGGAGTACTACAGAAGTGCTGCTCGCAATGTTGCCCTATAGACATTCTTTTGGTATTACATGACAGAGCAGATGTACTTCTATCATGAGTATTAAATCATGATGCTTTCTTTGCATCGGGATTGTATCAGCTTTGAACCCTGCGATGTTGATGCCTGTAATCTTGACCGCGATGTTCCCACATCTCGCGAGGGGTGAGAAACACGTGCAGCTGACCTATTCATATGGTATACTTACGAAGTCCGCATAGGCCGGTTCTCCCGTTTTTACGAAATAGGGAAGGCAAGTCCGGCGGGATTGGTCCATAGAGGTGCTCATAGCATCAATCTTCGGCCATTGCGTACAGCCCTGTTTTTCCCTGGTCAGTGCCCTTTTTGCTTCTAATAGATTTGTAACTTATCCGAGTTAGGCCATGGGGTACAGCGTGTTGGAATGACTCGTCCTTGGGTTGACAAATTTCCACGTGTTGCAGGACACTTTCTAGAAGAGACGGATTCAATACTGGGGTTTAAGCTATCTCAGATAATTGCGGACGGACCGAACTCTGAACTCGATAAAACGGAGAACTCACAGCCTGCTATAATGGCGACCTCGGTTCTAATTCTTCGGATACTTGAATCAGAATTTGGATTTGAGACCAAAACCCGTGTGAATGTCACCCTTGGACATAGCCTGGGCGAATTCTCTGCACTGGTGGCCGGCGGCTATATTCACTTTAATGATGCTTTGAGATTAATCCGTCGCCGAGCCGAGATTATGTCACAGTGCACGCAAAAAGCTGCCATTGAATCTGGGGAACATTACGGCATGATTGCCCTAGTGTGCGAACCCGAGCACATGGATGACCTGCTTACTACTATTCACGAGTTTCTGCCTTGTTTGAACGGTGACAATTCCTGTCAACAGGTCGTGGTTGCAAACATAAACTCCAAAAATCAGATAGTACTCAGTGGCAGCATTGAACGAATAAGGACATTGCTTGTCCAGCTTCGTCAGTTTAGCGGCCACGATCCCCGAGCAGTGAAATTGAGAAGCGAAAGCCCTTTCCACGGGCCCATAATGGCCCCAGCCGCAGGATACATGAGAAGAGCCCTTGACGTTGTCACAATCAACTTCCCTGCCGATATGCCGTGCGTGTCGAATGTTTCTAATCTTCCTTTCCCTTCCGAGCATAGTTTGAAGGAGCTTTTGTCACGCCAGTGCGTGGAGACGGTGAGGTGGTGGGACAGCATTCGCTACTTGGACCAGGAGCGAGGAGTGAAGCGTTGGATCGGAATCGGGCCGGGAAAAGTTGGTAGAAACCTGGTGGGGAAAGAGGTTGGAAGGGTGATGGCCAGAGGGGGTGGTGTTTGGGCTATCTGTGATCCACGGGATGTGAACGAAGCTTTAGTCATGTTGGAGAACACTGAAAAGGATATAGATGATTAGCCCGGGCTTTACCTAACTGTACATGAGGTGTACTCCCGGTGTGCATGTCCATATTAGTGACAATCCATGGACGCTTGGGTTGACAGTTCACTGCACCTATAGTGGGGTTGAACATGGGTGCTCTATATGTGAGAATGTCTCTTTATCAAATTGCGATCCCAGAAGACTTGTAAACCATATCGGACTTTCTTGATATTATCAAGTTCTTAAGAACAATCGCCAGTTACAAGACCGTGGAGCTGCATGTAGATATGTAGCATGTTGAAGGGCCAGCCTGCATTATAGATTAGTGGACCCAGTTGTCCACGAGTTGCCAATACGGTTGACTTCAGCTATGAACTTTTGGTCTGTAATTTGTGATGGCTTCGCCGCTTGGATAGCGCCATTGGTCATGGTGACATGGTCATCCGGGGAGTAGAACGGATTCTGGAGAAGCTTGATATAAGCGGTCTGGAGAGCTCTAAAAGCCTGTAGCAGTTAGCAGTGGTAGGCAAAAGGCAAGTGAAGCATACAGGTTTGAGATCGGGTTCTCTGAAACTGGAACTTATACCTGAAGTATCCCCGATCAAATCGATTATGATAAGGAACTTTACCCCTGTGGTTGTTAACCAACCATAGGATGCGAGCCTTTCATCAACTGCATGCAATAAACCAAGGTCCTGGTCAATCGAGGTTTGCTTCTGGCGTATCTCAAAGATATCGAGAGAATAGTTCAGCAGGAACGAGAATTCAATTGCTGATCCCAGGTACGGTGGGAACAGAGATATATGCAGAGGATTGTCCTTGAGTTGCGTTAGCTCAGCCCCTTCATACTCGAGAAGCATTCATCCTACAGCTTTCCCAATCACACCGATGCAGGCGATTCTCGGCCCCGGCATGGTGAAAGGCAGGTCGGCTCGCTGCTATGTATCTTGATACGCCTATCGCGCTACTAGGCCGTGCGTTCTGCAACCCACTAGAATGGACAGAAGTATAACCGGAGCATCCAGGGTATCTGGAGCTCTTTCAACAGTAATGAGCAGGCCGCAAGAATGGGGAAGAGGGTCAAGTACGCGATGAGAGGTGACCCTACTGTGAATGTTGACGACGTGCGACCCGGTCTCCTAGGTTGTGGTACCGTTGTAGGCGTAAAGATATTACTACTTTGTACTCGACATACTGACCGCCCCGTGAACAGAAACGCGGGGTTGATTACCTGGATGAAAATGGAGTAATATTCAGACTAATTTGCGAGCCTCTCTGATGCCACCTGCAAAATGGAGATACCTACGGGATATCTACATTGTTTTGTACCCTGCATAGCGACACTGTATCCTTCGTAAGACGCATTCGCGGATTTCAATACGGCAATTGTGATTTGCGGAACCGGAACAATGTGGCGCCGGAACACATCCGCTGCTTATCCTCAAACACACACCATCGGCTGTCCTCGTCGTCCTCGTCGAGATATAATACTTTCTTTCCCAGGTAATCGTACAATAGTACGGTGGGTTCGCTCGCTTGTGTCAATACCAACAATTGGCTAGCAGTCCATCAATACCATCCATGCTAATATAATCTGATCAGGATCAGCGCATTATGGTCCGCAACGTTGTGAACGCGGCCAAGTCGGCTTCAAGCGTCGTCTCTATCAACTATGTAAGATTCGTCATCCCTACTTAGAAACGAGTAACGACCCTAACCGCCGCCAGAAATATTCTGTTCAGTCCACTGGTTTATGGGAGCGCCTCCGCCGCCTACTCGCTATCGATCCCGAACGTTCAACTGGTGTGCCATTGAACTCTCAATTTCGTCTTCCCACTCCTGGAGCGCTTCCTCCGCTGTCCTATGACGATCCCGTCACGGTTCCGGCCGGTGATATCGCTGACAACCCATACTGGAAGCGTGATGTCCGCAGAAACTACCCAAGAACCAGCACGGTAAATCAAGCGGATGCTGTTGGCCTTCTTACCGTAGGAAGCCAAGCTGCGCCCAAGGAAGATATCCTACAGATTGGCGAGGCTGGTCAGAAGCAGCTCGTATCTGTCAAGCAGGAGGGCCAAGAGCGCGGCCTGGCGGGTCTGTTCCAGAAGGACAAGCATGGCATCAACGGTGTCTTAGGCCCCAACGGCTTGCCGCCAACGCCGTGTAACTTGAACTCTGCTTCCAAGTATCAGATCGATAATGATCACGGTTATCCTAATGTGTATGTTCGCTGTGTGTTAGGAGGTGAGCTGGCTAACATCATGAAAGGTATCCCTGCCGCACCTTTGTTTGAACTCCTAGCAACTTTCTCTTTAGATCAATGTATGAATTCCTTTACTTTTAATTTTCTCATACTCATCAGAATGGCTCCTCGTGTATGATAGCACCAGGCTAGTCTTGACAGATCGTCGGTTTCAATCAGTATTTCGTGACCAATACCAACTTGCGCAAAAATATCAATAGCATGTACATACTTTCATACGATTCCCTAATAACTCTATTCACTTTCATATTACGCTTTAAGGGGAGTGAGCATTGCGTTTGGGATATATTAGTAACAGGTTTACAGGCTGGGGGTTAGCAGTGAATTGAGGCATGTAATGTCAATATCAATCAACATACTCGTAGTCTTCATATTCTCATTATTGAATGTCTCAGACTCGGGCTATAAACAAAACGTCGTTAAAAACAGGGCTCAATCCGATAACGGCTGGGTAGATCGAGAATAGGTTTAGAAGCCTATTTAATCAAAAGGGTTCGTGCGTGTACCCCACCAGCTGAGGAACAAACTCAGGCCGACTGTTTCGAAGACTCTAGCGACAGCACCGACAGCAACAGTGTCGAGAGGCCTCTTCTCGGTGAAGATCTGGCTCACAAACTTTTCTTATTGTCGGTATGATGCTTCGGACAATGGGTAGAAACACGACTTACACTGGGGGCGGAGCTAGCAAAGAATATCAAACTACCGAGGTAGGCCGCTCCCTTGTAGCTGAGAGTGCCGGTGGCATTGATCAAGGCCGCAACTCCATAGGTCTGTACAGCGCTTCCCACGAGCGAGCTACCCCAGGCAGCGGCAGCGCCAGCGGCCTCCTTGGACTTGATAAAGTCCTCCTTCGAGTTGGCGGCTTGAGCCCGATGATATGTGTCGCCAAAGACAGGGGCCAGGATGCCCAGAGAAGCAGTGTGGGTGAAGATTGTACCCGCAGCAATAGCCGAGGGCTTCACGGGGGGGAGGTCTGACATGTTTAGCTACGGCTGAATTCAGAGGAGGTCAGAACTCACAGTGGAGAGTGGCCATTCTTGCTTGTTAATTCGTAGTGAAGTCCGGTATTATTGAGTATGTAGTTGCAAAAGGTCTACCATTAGGTCATTTATAGGGCCAGTCAGCGTTAGTGACATAATGGCCATGTATGGCGCAAGGCAAGTCACTCCTATTGCATCACGGATCTGTTTGTGGACAGATGTGTGACGTTGTCATGATTCAAGGGCACAGCCATTGGCAATGAAGCCTGGAAGGCTTGGTGTACCGGGGCTTTGAGCCAATCGAGCTTATGCCTGGCTTCTGGCTTCTGGCTGAGAGATCATGATGTGGGGGAGATCACTGAAATGACGTCACTTACTTGGTATGGTGCCAGTCTCCATACCCCAGACTGGCTCCAGCTTTGTTGTACCGTAATAATACTAGGCACCTGAGTCCTGACAGCAAAGCAAAGTTAGCCGTCATCTTGGCAACAGCGAATCTGGTGGTGACTGTAAATGTGTAATTGCAGTACCGTACGGAGTACTACTCCTCAAGATTTAACGCGGAACATTCCGCACCGGCATGTGAGTTAGTCTTTTTCAACAGGGTAATTTAACTATTTAACAGGGTTTTATAAAGCGGAACCCCAATTAGAAGCGGGTGCTAATATAATTAACCCGTCGCCGCTTTTTAATTAGGCTTAGCTTAGTAATAAAATACTCCGCGGGTACACAGCGCTTTAAATTCTAACTTTTTATATAAAATTTAGTGTTTAAACTACAGGCCAAACATGTGTAAGTTTTAACTATTAAACTAGCACTTATATTAATTAATAAAAGGCCTAAAATTTAATTACACCTAGTATTAACTTTAAAACTTTTTTTAAAATAATACCTTTCCCGCGGCCCCGGCCCTGGCCACGGCTATTACCTTAACCTTTATAAATTTTTTTTTTTATTTTGCTTATACTAGCTCCGGTAGCTTTAGTTTTTTATTCTTACTATTATTACTAATAATAATAACTTTTTAATTAAGCACTAAGGTAAGGCTATTTATAATAACTTATTATATAACTTTTTAGCACGCTGCTTACCTTGCTAGCCTTTATTTTTATTACTCCGCCTAACTTTATTTTTAAATATTAGCCTTAACTTTTTTATAAAAAAATAAATATTTTTTATAGCTATAGCCACGGCCACGGCCATAGCCTTTACCTTGCTAGCCTTAAGTTTAAATAACTAAATCTTATAGTATAATTAATATATTAATCCTAGTATTAAGATCTAGCCTTAACCACTACTATTAATAAAAGTAAATAACCTAAAGGCTGGTTTTAAAAAAGGCTTAAATAATATAAATATAAGGCAACCTTTTTATTTATAAAGCTATTTTTATATACTTCTAAATTAGTTTTTTATTAAGGCCCTTTAGTAAGTATTTATTATAGTGTTTAAAAACTCTTTGCAAAGCAAATAAAAAGATCTTGTTATTAATAGCTTAAAATAATAACTTATTATAAATTTAATACTTATAGTGTTTTTTTTTTATAAATTCCCTGTTAATAAGCTAATAATAAATAATAATAACCCTTTTAATATTTTATATAAAAATAAGGACATTGCTAAGCAAAAAATTCTAGGCCTTTAAAAAAATATAAACACTTTTATTTTATAAAGTTATTATTATACCTAAATACTTATAATTATTAGTATAATACTTAAAAAAGCGCTTGGAGTAAATATTATTAAGCTATTTTTTTTTTATATAGGTTAAAAAGTATTAGTATACCTTCTACTTTTCCTTAAAGCTATTTTATTTAGTTTTTACCTTTTTAATAATAGGCTTGTATATAATATTAAAAAAATTTAAAGCTATTTTTTCCCACTTTTTATTTACCCTTATTTATAAAAAATTATTTTTATTTTTATTATAATCCCTTCTTGCAGCAGGAGTACTAACTTTTAAATAAAATTACCTTTTTATATAGGCCTTAATAGCTTTTTAAACATGCTATTAATATAATATAATATTAGTATTTTAAAAAATAGGCTTTATACAGCCTAAAGCACCTAAATTATAGTTTATTATTATTATTAAGGGCTTGGGGATCTTAAAATCTTAATAAATAGCCTTTAAATAATTTAAAATAAAGCTATAAGAGTTAATTAACTTATTAGTAAGCAGGCTAAAAATAATATAAAAAATTTAATTTATTAAAGTTACTCCCATAATATTTAATAATAAAAGGCTAAAGTAGTTAGTCTTATAAGTGCAATTTATAAAAATAATATAGGAAAATTAGCAAAGCAACTTTATAAAAAACTTATATATAAAAAATAACTAAGTAAGCTATTTCTTTTTCTTGTTATATTTTAGCTTTTAATTTAGGTTATTTTTAAAGTTATTTATAAGTGCTTAAAGTGGAAATCTACCCCCTAGCAAGGCTTAAAACTAGCAAAACTAATAATTATATATATTATAGGGTAAAAAAACTAATAATAAGCTTTTTATATAAATTTACTTAATAATCTTAAATATACAAGTTTACTAGGTAATTTATTAATTAATAAAGGCCTTTTTTTACCTAAGCTCTGCCTAATAATATTAAACTTAAATAAATTTAGGTATAGGATTATAATTATAATAATTATTTTAAATAAAAAAATGCTAAAGTTTATCACGCTTATAATAGCTTATTTAAATACTAAATTTATAACTAGTCTTTATAAAACCGCGCGTTATACCCTGGGGGTTATACTTAAAATTATAAGTATAATAAAAATAAATAGCTTTAACCTAGCCATATTTATTTTTATTAAATTATTTTTTAAAAATTATATATTAATAATCCCGGGCCTATTACTAGGCGGCTTTTAGTACTTAGGCTTTAAAGGTATATAATTATTTAGGGGGTAAAAATAAAGGGCTATTATTATTAAGGTATTTAATATTAAATTTAGCAGGGTTAATTTTAGCAGGGTTAATATTAGGGGCAGAAATATATTTAAAAATAAAGCTATTATTATTTTTAGGCTAGATTTCTAGTTTGTTATTTTTAGTATTTATAACTTAAATTTATATAAAATTATTATACAAATCTTAGCCCACGGTTCTTAACAAAAATCACTACTAATTATATAAAAAGTTAAGACATGGCCAACTTGGCTTGGGAAACAAAAAAACTAGCTATTTAAACCACTTCCTAACCGCTTTTTAATTGGGGTTTTGCTTCAGAAAGCCCTGTCAAATAGTCGAATTACCCTGTTGAAAAAGACTGACTCCCGGCATGTGCACGCACCTACTCCGAGTAGGTATTAGCGGGGCCAGAAGAATTCTGGAACCCCGCCAAAAATCCCGGCAACTGCAGGTCATCAGGAGCAACCACACAGATCTCCGCTGCTCCCTTCTTTCAGCCCAGAGATTGTTTATATGGAAGACATACGCCCCGGCTCGGCTAACTCAAATGACGCCTTTGACATAAGCGAGTCTTTGGTCCCCGCAAGGGAGATCAAACAAGCCGGTCAGAGTCATGTTTCCTTCGACGGTCTTTTACAGCAGCCTTTACTTCTCAAGGAGGATTTGAAAGAGGGATGTGGTGGTCAGCTATGGCCTGCCGGCATGGTCCTGTCTAAATATATGCTTCGTCAACATCGCTCCGACCTGGTTGACAAAACAATGTCCGTCATCTTGCACTTAGCATTACCATTGAGCAAAACTAACCATCAGTCAGTCTTGAGCTCGGAGCTGGCGGTGGGCTTGTTGGATTAGCAGTCGCCTCCGGCTGTGCAGTTGGCCCATCTCCTATCTATATCACCGATCAATTGCCAATGTTTCCCCTTATGGAAGCTAATATTGCGCTCAACGACCTCGCGAACAAGGTCAAAGCCGCAGTGCTAGATTGGGGGACAAGCATTTCCGACGACATTCCACGGCATCCTGACATTATCCTTGCCGCTGATTGCGTTTACTTTGAGCCCGCTTTTCCACTCCTGATATCGACGCTGCGTGATCTTCTGGGGCCCAATTCCGATTGCTATTTTTGCTTCAAAAAACGTAGAAGGGCAGACCTTCGATTCTTGAAACTCGCGAAGAAAGCATTCCAGGTCACCGAGATCAACGATGATCCAGATGCCGAGACATACAAGCGGGAGAATATCAATCTTTTCTCAATACGAGCAAAACATGACGGTTGAAGTACGATAATACATACATAGATAGATTGGTCAATAGTGGTCAATAGCCTATAACTTCACTGCATGGGCGCCAGTCCTATCACTCATGCCAGCGACTCTACCCCCAGTAATATCCGTCACGTCACCCTCCTTGCCAATCAACTTGACCCCCGCCTTCTTCAGATTAGATATGATTTGCTGCTTTTCAACTGCCTTTCCAGAACGTTGTGTTGAAGCATCACCAGATACGTGGCCTAGCTTCTTTTGCCGCCGTCGCAGCTTCGCCTTTTCTTCCCGAGTCATTTCCTCCTTCGTGAAGGGCACTCCGTTCCTCATCACGACCTCACCGGGAGCCCTCGCGGTCTCTCCTGGCGCGTATATCTCCTGAGGGGCGAGTGACGCAGATGTGCGTACGGCACCACCGGCAGTGGGCTGAGCATCCTCCATTGTAATTGTAGCCACGTCCGTGACCACATTGATGCTTGCCTGCGGCGCTTTTGGTTTGTAGTGCCAGTTGGAAAGGGTGTCCAATTGAGAACTTATCTCTTTCCACAGATTGGCGACTTCGGTATGTTCCTTCAGAAGCTTTTGGTTCTTCGGGTCAGCGTAATTCGAGTCTGTTGCTCGGATATGATCCGATTCGTAGATTTCCGCAAGACCCTGCTGTGATTTACTGTCTTCGAGTTCGATTCGGCTCTTTTGAGTATTTTGTTGATCTGACAACCCAGGCCGGCGACGTATAACCTCATCAAATTCCTTGGCAATGATTCGCCGCTTGATTAATTCCTCGATGCTCTCGGACAGTTCCGTGGTTACCACAGGTACGGGCTTTCCAATCCTCTCGAAATCCAAGTCCTCTTCGATAAGCGAGTTGATGGGTCTCTCTACTGCTCTAGCTTCGCCAGAGACCATCCACTCTTTCTTCGCCACATTGACAGCTTCTAAACGGCGAATCTCGTCAGCAATGCGCGCGCGCTGCTTCTCATGCGTCGATTTGTGAGTATGAATATCACTGGGCTCGTCGCCACTCTCCTCAGCTGATATCTCATCGTCGAAAAGATCGCGGCGAACATCGGCCATCGCGCGATCGATATCGTTATCAGTGATGCGCGGCTGTGTTTTTGGTAGGGGGCGTGACTTCTTGGTCGGTGCTTTGCGGGGCGGAGGTGCGAAGAAGTCGGCGTACATGATATCACTTGTATTAGAGAAACCTGCGCCGCCCAGAGCCGCAGCATGCGAATCGTCTTCGTCCATCTCAGAGTCATCCTCGGCTCCCATGTTGTCGAATGTAGGCCCATCCTCCTCCTCATCGCTATCGCTCCTGTCATCATCAGCCTTGTCGGCTTTCTTCTGTGAAGAGAGACCAAGACCTCCTGCACCGAGGGGATCCGCATGCCAGTTGATTTCATCGTCATCGCTCTCGTCGTCCACATCACCCCTTGCATCCTGCCGCTCAAATTGCTCGGTTTGTTTGTTGAAGTCGTCAATAGAGAAAAACCCATCATTTAACCCAAAGCGGTCTTCGACATATGTATCACGGTCATTGTCACCACCGTCAACTGAACTACCATCCAACCCATGCATTCCAACACCGCTCTCGTCCAAGTCAATTTGCGACACATTCTCAGCCCCAGTATCTTGTTCCTCGTTTTGTTCATCATTGTCGCTGCCATCCTCCGTAACATCCTCCAGCTCGTCACTGAAGCCATCTTCAACAGAGTCAACGTCGTCTCTATACAATGATTCAGTATTGGACTGCCGGTCATTGGCCCAAATGGTATAGTCGCGCTGGATTTCGTGGTCGGCGGAATCGAAGATAAGTAGGGCTTGCTCCCAAACTTGGTCGGACGTAAACCCATCCACATATAATTGTTTGAGTCGCAAAACGGAAGCCTCGTCGTCCGCCCGCTTTCGTTTTCTAGTATTTCGCTGACGAGTAGTTTGTGAATCGCAGACCGAGCCAGCGAGGGAATCCAGGAAGATTTTCGCAGTATTTAGTACCCCAGTACGCAGCTTTTTCGTAGGGCGAAGAAAGTCCCAGGGTGCTGAAAGGGCCGGGTTGATAGGCAAAGGTGCCAGAACTGAGGTCTCAGCTCCATGCTGGCCTTGGATTGAGCCCATTATTGGGGGTCGTCGTTCTGTAACAAGGTTCGACGTGATGATGCTATGAACCTTTTTGGATTCAAACCCAGTCAAGCTTGGAAGGGAAAAGGAAAAAAGCTGATAGCGGAAAATTCGAAACTAACCACTTTCGGAAGGCCCAGCCTGGCCAGCCGGGGCGGGGCGGGCAAATAATGATATGATTAACGGGTCACGACTCACGAAAGTACGGAGGTACAGTATCAACCAATCCTATCCATACATCAGGTGTATTTACAATTGGTTTAAATACAATGCTGGTAATTGGATCACAGTCGGTTTTTCAGACTACCCAGTAATATGGGACTATTCCTCACGCTGTGGGATATCGTCCGCGTGATTGTCCACTAAGGTTATGTTCAGCTTGCGACTCGGCACTAAATAAAGTAACCTATGTACGAGGAACATATTGCTTGAATTTGAATGATGTAATTTGTACAGAACTTTGTGAAGAGTAATCTAACGTGACATCGCCGGTTGGCTTGTAAAGACAGGGAATAAACTTAACGCCGATACCACATGCGAGTTATTCTAGTGTGTCTCATCTTCTTTTGAAGTTGGAAAATACCGTACATCAGCGCCTCGGATGTGGGTGGGCCTAGCAAGTCAGAAATATCAAAGAATGGGGGAGAACCGACATACATCCAGGAACATAGACATCGACGGGAACGATCCTATCACAACCGCGAACAACTGAGTAACTGTAGTGGTAATAGCCGCCACCGTTAGCACAGCTTCCCATACTAATAACCCAGCGCGGGTCAGGCATCTGATCGTAGACCTGACGGAGAGCCGGCGCCATTTTATTTGTCAGAGTACCGGCGACGATCATTACATCGGACTGTCGTGGTGAGGCTCTGAAAATAATACCAAGCCGATCTTGATCGTATCTAGGTGTGGACAGGTGCATCATCTCGACGGCACAGCAGGCGAGTCCGAAAGTCATGGGCCACAGCGAACTTTGTCGCGCCCAGTTTGCAACCTGATCAAGCGTCGTCCTTGATTCTATTAGTTATGAAAAATATGTGAGAAGCTTGAAGGATCGTACAGAACATATTGCATTGCGCCCTCTTTCTTCTCCTGACTAGGCAGAGGAACCTCCCTCCGCACTTGGCCAGAAGCTGTCAGTCCTTGCACAGCATTGCCCTGTCGTTCAAGTGCAGTTGCTGCTTTGATCGAAGATGTTGAAAGTAGTGCCAGTCGCTGGAATCGAGGAGCGTAGAGAGCTCGGTTTGGACGCACTTCAGACGTTAGCATGATTATGAATTCATGTCTGAAAATGTACCTTGCAAAGTGCGCGGCAACGCACGAACTGGAAGTGACAACATGATCGTTGTTCAGAACGTCAGGAAGGTAAGTTGAAGGGTTGTCAAGGTCATGGAACTTGGTGACCCGTCAATTGAATTTCATTCAGTGGTTAGTAACCTATCAAAGGTTCGAGAATCGACCCGGATACAATCTGCACTAATGGCCTGCGTAAACTACCGAACGGGGTTCTTGCAGGTGGCCGGTTAGAACATCCCGGCCGGTCGGCAATTACAAAACTCGGGTTTTCATTGGGCTTGCACTACGTACGTAGATTAGTATGGCCACCGCCTAGATACAGGATTTGTACCTATACCAAGCGCAGACACAAAGGTATCAAGCACCACTAATAATATCCATTGTAATAGCAGTTAATCGCTAGTTGCTTAGATATTTCGATTGAGCCCAATGCCGGAATTCGAAAGATCTAGGCGTATATACCCACACGGTTTTTTAGAACATAAGAACATAAGACTGCGAGGATAAAATTGCGAGAAATTGTTTTGCTGTAATATAAGCACATTCAATATATGATACCTCTGGACTATGATATTTTCGCTGATTTTGAAACAGGGAGAGAATGTATTATTGGATGGCTCGAGACAACGAAAAGAAGAACTTATGAACTTCACAGTACAACATCCATTGCGTACTATTTTGGAGGACACATCATTGCTCGTAGTCCACGGAGCCAACCAATTACGCCTTCGATATTTTCACAAGCCCATACCAGCACTTGATCTTCATTCCTTATAGCGAAACCGTCCAACGCCGCATAAACCGCCTTAGGAGTAGTTCTCATATTACCCAAGTTGCGCCCGCGAAGAAGCAACTCGAAGCTCCTTCTCAAATGGCTTTGCTCTCGGCCTCTTTTGACATGGAGAGAACCAATTGCCGCACAGCCTCCACGGTTGCATCTGGACCACCCGGCTGGAGGAGAAGAATTTTGCCTGCCTTATCTATGACAAAGACACCTCTATTGGTCCCACGAGGCAACTTCTTCAACCCAATAGCGCCAATCAAGGTTGACGCAGTGTCGCAGAGGAGCGTGTATGGCAAATTCTGTTTCGTTTTGAAGTTAGTGTTGGCTTTTGGCGAATCTGTCGATAGGCCGTATATAGACAGCCCAGTAGAGGTTAACTTGTCGAACCCGTCCCGAAACAAGCATGCTTGCTTCGTGCCTTGTATTCATCAGCATTTGAAGTCAGTTTATCTCTCGGGGGTTGAGGGCGGGGGGAATTACAGCCAGGGGTTGAGGCCTTGGGGTATGTGAACAGCACTACACCAGATTTGCTGTCATCAACAAGAGCCCTGAGCGTAGTTTTGTTGTTATCATTTGTCTCGATATCACCACCAAAACCATTCAAGTCCACTACATCATCGACTTTCGGTAAGGATTTGGCAGATGATGGAGCTGCTGCCTCTGATATTGTGACAGGCGCCTTGGTTTTGGTTCGCTTCTGCAATGGCACTGGAAGTGCTGCTGTCGCTTTGCGCTTTCGCAATTCGACCATATTGATTGATGGTCAGTGTAAACAAATAGACTGACAATGTGGCGGACTACCGATGCTCGTAACAAATTCGGCTATTTGGATGATGGTGGTCCTACAGTATATGCGGGAGGTTCCTGTGAACAGAAGATGTGCTCACACAAGTTCTGGAGCATCTGTCCGGGTTCCGGGGAGCGAGCGGCCAGATTACAATTAAGTGCTTAATGAGGCATAGCGGCTATATCTTGACAAAGATAATTCTAGAATCGAGAGTTGATATTTGAAGAAATGTTTATAGCCTTAAATCAGCAGAGAGAAATACCCTAAGCATTACCTTGGCATTATTCCTTGTCTAATTCTGTATCCAATATAATCTTACTACTCCGTACTACTGCTTTGTGCATTGCATTTGTCAGGTGAACAGTTGCCACGCCTGGACTATCTATCTTAGTATTTCTATCTTGGTTTTCTGCCGGAAAATCCCGACGTCAGGGTGGAACTCAATTCCCCAGGGCCCGGGCACTACTGGCAGAACTCTGGACTCTGGAGAACAGACACTCTGGACCGCACCACTAAAATTTCTCTCTCGTTCCATCGCCACTCTTCGACTCATCTCCGCCTTTGCGAACGGCCACCAAGGGTCTGTTATTTCCGTAGGAGGCTGCCTTTGAACTCTCTCTCGTTCACTTGTGTATCAACTATTCCTTGCACTCTTTCAAACTTTTCACATTACTTTCTCTCTACTGCATTCAAGATATCAGTCAGCATATCTCTGCTATCAGCTCTGCATCTGTCCCTCATTCTTCACAGGGCCAAGCAGACCTCTCCAGCTACAGTACTGCTGCACCGGCAATGAAGGTCTTTTCATCAATCTGCACGTTTGACTACTCATGGGAGGAGGTCTCAACTGCGAACTGGCGGAAATACTGCCCATGGAATGATAAGTCAACGCATGTCGTGGGGGTAGATACTTTGTCGCGAAGGGTGGACCCCGAGACTGGAATTGTAAGTTTTCTTCAGCATATGCGCTCACCGGTATCTGACCTTCTACAGTTGCGCACCGAACGACTGATTACATGCCACCAGTCCGTCCCGCAATGGGTCTCATCGCTTTTTGGAGGTAGCCCGACTTCCCATGTCTACGAAGTTTCATACGTCGACCCTGTCTCCAAGAAAGTAACAATGTGCTCGACAAATCTCACATGGGCAAATGTTCTGAATGTACGCGAAACCGTTATATATCAGCCGTCCGCGTCGACTCCTTCGTCCATGACCGATTTCCAGCAGGAAGCCAAGATCACTGCCCTTTGTGGAGGGTGGCAGAAGATCAAAAACAAGGTGGAAGAGGCAAGTGTCGAGAGATTCAGGGAAAACGCCAAACGGGGTAAAGAAGGCTTTGAAGCTGTCCTTGAAATGAGCCGGCGTGTTTTCAGTGAACAGCGCGCCCTTGAGACCAGCACGGCATGACTGGTTCCACCACCTGCATTATGATACATCAAGCGTTTGCCTTGCATAACGGCGTTTTCTTACATTCTAAAGCGTGTGGTTGGCGTCCTGGTTTTTTCTTCTTCTCTTGCATATTATCTTGGCCTGCACCGCCATAATCATCACCTGTTGCTGTTGCACCACCACACTTGTGTTGTATGTGCTTCAAAAAAAGTTATTGATATCCCTTTCATGACCTTCGGGCTGAGCGGCTTCTTCTCCTTTGCGAGGAAATACGAGAACACGATAGATAGATGTTCAGTATTTTATGGATAATTCGTCATGAGCTATCATCTTGAATACTAAATATCCGTCTATAATTTTAGTAAATACCTATCCCAGAAGGCCTCCTAATACGACACGGCCAACACCAGCCACCTCAATTCTAGCTGCGTTCCGACTTGCATCTTCAAACTCACGTACTATGCCTGCCACCATAATCTTTCGGATTTTCGCGTCCGCTTTGGTAAACAGCTCACCTAGTGCAACGGTGCAAACGGCAGGCGTCGAGATTAATGTCACCAGGCGTGTATAGCAGTCTATCAAGACGTCGCATAGAGTCACGAAAGTTTCGAAGTAGTCCGGCTCAAATGGCAACGAAGGCGTTAGAAGATACGCGTATTCCTCTCCAGGTAAGAGTTCCGATGCTTCTGATGGTGGAAGCGCGCTCACTGAAGCAGGACCTGACATATTCTTTAGATCGGAAGGATCACTATGCTGCATGGGAAGACCAATCTCAGTTGCCGAGCTCGCCCTTCTAGCTTTTGTTCCACCATGAGTGGCGCGCTTAAACATTTGCGGTATACGTGTTCGGGCAAGCGTAGATGACGAGCTTCCTTCAGGTGGGTGTACTTGCTGAAATGTCTCGAATTCGATCAAAAGCGCGTTTAGCGCACGTAAATATTCGCCCGACGTTGTACTGACATCGATTATGGCGGGGATAGATAGACCAAGAAGCAAATAATTAATCGCACGGCGAGAAAGCTTCCTGGAATCAAAGTACGGCATTCGGCCGATGTCATTTCGAGAATAATGGACGGTGTTGAACCAATAAATGCGCCCTTCGTGACTTAGGTACAGTTGTCAGCTCCCTGCACCTGATACAGGTAGATAAACTCACGTCTTCCTGAGATAGTCGAGTGTAGATATTCGCTTCGTGGCCATGTCTTGAATATGCTGGTAGATCGCTGCCGCGCTCTGCGGACCGAGAGAACCCCCGCCACTCATTAATGGGGGAGGAATTGATCCGGAAGCAGCTTCATGGCCTATGGATTTATTCGTATCTCTGCGAGTTAGGGTGGGTGCGAACGTCGAGGGGAGCATATCAATGGTTTTCCCAAAGGAGCCTTGGCCCCTGCCAGCGGACATGGTAACGTAGTGTCCAGAGGCCTGCGTATATTTTGCGAGTGAGGAAAACGTTGTTTTCCAATATGCCATGCAATAGATTATAATGCGCTTAATATGTGATAAGATCGGTTCTCCACCTGCACAAACCCCTGACTGAGGTGGCAAGCCACGGCCAGAGCCCAGAACCTACCGGTAGATACGGTAGGTACCGCTCGTCCCCGCACTAAACCATAATAGGTCACTAAGCTTTTGACAGGGCTTCGGAGTTTCTCATCTCAAAAGGTAGATATGGATATGGGTAATCTAAAGTGGGCATATCCGCGTGTGAAATTTTATGTAATTCCCGATTCTCGATAGCCGTACGTTCTCAGTTCTCACAACAGAAGTTATTGGTTTTGCTGGCGGGCGGTCAATGATGTTCTCCGCAATCAATGCCCCTCCTCGCCCCTCAATCAACTAACTTCGATCAATAAAAATCCCAGCCCCTGTGCTCTTGATGAATTTCAATAGCCCTTGCACCGATTAGACCACGAGCACCTCCAGGACACATAGATGGCAAATTCCCCTGAGGAGATGATCCCCGGACGCGGGGAATGGCCCGTTGATCCTCAAGATGATGTTGCAATATCAGATAGGCGTGTATGGGTAGACGGTTGCTTTGATTTTAGCCATCATGGTATGAAACTTCTGCCTAGGAGCACTGAATATATATACTCACATATCTGTAGGACACGCAGGAGCTATGCTCCAAGCTCGTAGGCTGGGCGAAGAACTTCTAGTTGGCGTACATTCTGACGAAGCAATCCTGGAAAACAAAGGACCCACGGTCATGACACTGGAAGAGCGGTTGGTCTTTTGCAATGTGCCGCAAACACTTCTAATGTGAACAGGATTGCTGCAGTGGAGGCATGTCGCTGGGCGACCAAATGTGTCCCTCACGCCCCGTATGTAACATCGCTACCTTGGGTCTCGCATTACGGCTGCAAGTACGTTGTACATGGAGATGACATCACCTCGGACAGTAATGGCGATGACTGTTACCGATTTGTCAAGGCTGCTGGTCGCTTCAAAGTAGTCAAGAGAACTCCCGGCATATCTACCACTGATCTTGTTGGCCGTATGCTTCTTTGTACCAAGGGTCATTTTGTCAAAAGTGTGAAAGGCACATTGTCTGGGACAGAGGGCTCTGGCAACGAAGAAGAGCGCGCACAATGTGCGTCGTCCCTCCAAGAACGGCTCAAAGACTACGCCACCAATGAAACCGGCTTGCAGCCTGGTCCTCAGGTCTGGGTTTGGGAAGGCTCGAATACTGCAAAGCTCCAAGGCACACTTGACGAATCTGGAGATTTTGATAATCTCGTTAGTGGAAAGCCCCCAAAACCGGGACAGCGGATTGTCTACGTTGATGGCGGGTTTGACCTTTTCTCCTCCGGCCATATTGAGTTCCTCCGCCAGGTCCTCGCGATCGAAGAATCCGAAGGTCTACAACGCGGCTGGTACGATGAGACCCGAAAAGAACAAAGACTCAAATCCCACGGGGAAGATTATGGTCCAGCTTATGTTGTGGCAGGTGTTCATGATGATGATGTGATAAATCACTGGAAAGGACTGAACTATCCCATCATGAACATTTTTGAGAGAGGTCTGTGTGTCCTTCAATGTCGAGTGAGAAATCCCCCTTTCTTGAATTGTGATCAAGGCTAACAATTTAGTACGTGCACGCTGTGGTCTTCTCTGCCCCATTCTCCCCGAGTCAGCCATACCTAGAAACAATGCCGCTTGGTATGCCCGACGTCGTCTATCACGGCCCTACCACGTTTATTCCCCTTACTTATGATCCGTATGCTGCTCCTAAACGCATGGGGATATTCCGCGAGACAACCGATCACGATTTTCAGCATGTGAACGCGGGCGAAATAGTTGAACGCATTCTCAAGAGCAGGGAAGCATACGAAGCAAGGCAGCGGGCGAAGTTGCAAAAGGCAGAGATTGAGGACCAAGTCAAGTCTAGGGAAGCTGAATTGACATGAGCGGCCTGTCGAATAGCTGCAATAGATATCAAGCCGGAGAAGACATTATGTCCTTCTCGCTCCGGACCCCGGCAAGTGCATGTGGCACAAGCACAAGGGAAATGCTCTTCACAGACACTAGAATACAGAAGACATACATTACAATAGCATGGACGACGAACTTGAGTCGGTTGCTAGACTCAAACTATTCGGCCACCAGGACACCCTTCTCTTCCAAGAGCTTTGAGAGCTCGCCATTCTGATGCATTGACATCAGTATATCACAGCCACCAACAAACTCCTTTTCTAGGTAAAGTTGGGGAATCGTAGGCCAATCTGAGTATTCTTTAATCCCTATGAAAGAAAACAAATCAGCCATAAGCAAGGACACTGAAGTAATGGGCACACCTTGCCGCAACTCTGGATCCTCTAACACATTGAAAGCGACAAACTTTTTTGGGTCAACACCTTGCAAACCCAAGATCTGGATGCTTGCGCGGGAGAATCCGCATTGCGGAGTCTCCGGAGTGCCCTTCATAAAGAGAACAACCGGCGCAGATGCAACTGCTTTATCAATCGCTGCTTTCGTCTCGGTCGAGAGAAGTCGCGCTTGAAAGATAGGCGGACTCTGGTTCGAGAACTGCGGCGAGAATGGAGGTCGGAATAGAGACCGTCGGAGTGTCTGGGATAATGGGGTCAGCGTCATCAATATTATGTATATCCACAAAGTCTTGACGTACAGAAGAGAAGGCCTTTCTTGAAAGCATTATGGCCGATGACAGTTGCGTAGTTAATTTGCCTTGATCATGGGCAGAATGATCGGTAAATATCTTGTATATCACTGGCTGTATCACGTGCCAATTACGGTATATCATTTCTAATCGTTGCCACTTCTCCGCAATTCTTCTCTTCAGAACCACGATTGGATTTGAAGTACGTCTTTCCATACCTTTATCATTTCTGACTGCCGCTTCCGCAATTCTTCTTTTCAGAACCACCACTGGATTGGGAGTACGTCTTTCCACACCTCTATCAATCCTAATTGCCGCTTCCGCAACCCGACTTCGGAAGTTACACGCTTGACTTTCAAGGACCATGAATATCGCGAGTATCCCATTTTCTGCTAAGCAGCACCTGGATGATGGTAAGGTCCATATCCTTCTCGCCGCTAGTGGATCCGTCGCCACGATAAAGCTTCCGAACATAGCAGAAGCTCTTGGCCGCCACCAAAGTGTATCAATTCGCATCGTCATAACCAATTCTGCGGAGAAGTTTTTGCTCGGTCAAAGCCTGGAGCAACCAGTCCTTGAGAGACTACATCAACTTCCCGGCGTTGATGGGATATACCGGGACAAAGACGAGTGGAAGAAACCTTGGGTTCGTGGGGAACCGATTTTGCATATCGAATTGAGAAAATGGGCGCACTTGCTGCTAGTTGCTCCTCTTTCTGCGAACACAATGGCCAAGATGGTTGTAGGCATCGCAGATAATCTACTTCTCTCAGTTATTAGAGCATGGGACACAACAGGATTGATAGATCCTAAGGCCAGAAAGCCTCTCGTCTTCGTCGCTCCCGCGATGAACACTGCGATGTGGGCTCATCCAGTCACAGGGAAACAGCTCACGATCTTACGAGACGAATGGGGGTGGGGTGCTTCGAACAAAGATGGCTGGGTTTATCTTCTTCAACCCATAGAGAAATACCTTGCCTGTGGCGATACAGGTAACGGCGCTATGATGGATTGGAGAGATATAGTTGAAGTGGTGGAGGATTACACGGGCTTGAAAATGACACGCCAGGGGTTGACAAATGTTTGATTCGAGCGGCAATTGTGTGAGTCAGTGGTCGTTCCTACCCCGAGTTCGGCACGTGAAGTATTCCAGGAGCATGCCCAGAGAGATACCTCCGCCGGTTAACAAGCAGCCATTCTTGAACCACCACCAGCAGCTTTGAGTACTTTTCAAATGCACCTTCCGGATCATTATCCCTAAGGTAAGGGCGGCGCTACCGCAGCTACCGATAAAAAAGACTGGGCCAGCACCGGCTGCCACTCCTGCAGCAGCAAGTAAAGCCACCTGGGCAACCGCTAAACCAGAGAGTACGGCCTTTGTATTGTGTTCGTGTCGAAGGGCAATTGACTTGATCCCAGCGGCAACATCGTCTCTGATGTCCATGTGCGCATATATCATATCGTATAAAACAGTCCACGAGACGCAGCTGGCATAGAGAGCGGCGGCGGCCATCAAAGCATCTGATTCAGCAATAAGGTCGATTCCCAACGCGGGAAATCCCATGATAGCACCCCAGGAAAATGTAAGACCTAGGACGGCTTGAGGATAGTATGTCACGCGCTTGGCAAGGGGATAAGACCCTACCAGGAGCAAGCTTGGGATCCCGTACCAAAGGCACTGGTATGGGAATTGCAGCAGAATCCCCAACCCAGCCAGAAGTTGAGTACCGGTGAAAGCAAGTGCTTTACCTGGCGATATGGCACCCCTCGCGATGGGCCGGAATCTTGTGCGCTCAACATGAGGGTCCAATTTTCTATCCCACAGGTCATTGATTGCACAACCAGCCCCTCGCATAATCAGAGCACCAGTGAAAAAGAGTCCAGTAGTTCCAAGGACTTGAGGGATTGAAATTGCGGGCGCCATGGTCGCTGCAAGAAGTGTGGAGAACGCACATGGGAAGAATAGATAGTATGTCCCTGCAGGCTTATCGAGCCTTACTAGCTCGGCGTACGGTATCCATGATTGAGGAAGTGAGGCGACAAATCCCGTTTGCGGAGGAATGTATTGAGCCGGTACCTTTGACGGAGGAGTATTCAAAGATCTTGTTTGGGTTCGGCTCGGTTGCAGCGTGGGTGTGCTCAGATATGTAGAACATTTGTCAACCATGTTCAATGCGCAGTTATATCGCGGAAACATTCTTTGACAGCAACCGCCGCGAAGTCGCGAGTGCTTAAAAATATGCAAAGACATCATGCGGGATGAATGAAGGTTGGATTTCCGGTCCTAGATTGCCAGCTTCAGGCTTCTGTCACTGATTCTGTCGCAAGTGCGAAGTGAGAACTGGTCAAATAGGGCGCATTGTGCTATTTCTGTTTGGAGGCAAAGATTTTGGCGTGATCAGTCATGCGTGTGTATCACTGTATATAGTCTACAAATTGCAGGTTTCGAGGGAATGGATACGAAAGATATAATGTCACGTGAGCTTACTGTCGGGGGTCGCGGTCCGCGTGTCCTCGATTAGGAATAGCTTCATATTTCCGCGGCAGGCGTACATTGAAGTGTTAGCGGCGAAGACAACAGCCAAGAAAAGAGAACTTCAGTCAAAGTGTTAGTCGCGCAGATTACAGCAAAGACAAGTGAAATAAGTTTGATTATGCGAGCCGCTTGACTATGAAACTTGTGTTCTCTGCAGGCATCCTGATTGCGCCGGTTTCTCTTTATAATGATTCGACATCCGCGAGCATCTAGGTGCGACGTCCACAAGATGCGGTTTATGACTCTGCCAATTCTTGCTTTTGGTCTTCTTGATTCAAGTACTGATTTGTTCTGTCTAGTGCATGCCCATCGCTGTTATAACTCGATAAGGACGTTCCATAGCACAACAAAATGCCTGCTCAACGGCCCCGTGCGGCCTTCGAGCCACTATCCCCGACTTTAGACGTTGCGGATTTGGTCAAATCATCACCCAACTTTGAGGACGCGGTGCGAATTCATTGTGACGCTATTGATGAAAATGGACTTGAGAATTTCGAAAAGCTTGTTCTTCTTCACGTCATTGTCCGTGGGCTGCCTCTTGTTGTAGAGGGTTTCGACAAGAAGCTTGACAACGCCATTTTTTCCGAGAAATGGCTGAAAACCCACTACTCCGCGAAGAGTGAGTATCCTTGCCGAACCTTTTCAGCTTATGCTAAACAGCCTCTCTCACTGTCATAGAAGAAGATGCGAGGGACCTTACGACTAAGAAAAGCGTACCTCTCACGATCGGCCACTACTTGAAGAATATGCCCATGCTTACAGATCAATGGAATGAATATAACTACAAAGACACTGGTCTTCAAAGGTTATACCTCAAAGACATTGATTGCCCAAAGATTTGGCACGATTACTTGAAAAAGATTATACCGCCCTTTTTATTCTACCTGAACAACTCAGCGGAGCCCGAATCCTTTGAAGGCCCAGGGGCCAACCCCATTCCCTCTAAGAAACGCCATAGCAAGGTTGCCAAGGCTGGCGATTTGATGAGTTGCCTCCCAAAGGATATGCGTGCCGAAAATCTGATGTGTTACATTGGCCATGAAGGAACTTTTACGCCAGCGCATCAAGAAATGTGTGCAAGTCTTGGTCAAAACTTAATGGTTGACGCGTCGGATGGCTCGATTGAAAACGGGAGGCCCACGAAACCGGGCTCTTCAATCTGGTTTATGACCAGTAGTAAGGACCGGAATTCTGTGGCGGAGTACTGGATGTCTGTGTTGGGCCATGACATAAACATCGAAGATCACTTTGCACAGATAAACGCATGGCGAGGGGCGCCATTTACAACATATATTGTTGAACAGCGGCCAGGCGATTTCATCCTCGTACCGCCGTTGGCGGCGCACCAGGTCTGGAATCGTGGGACGCGGACAATGAAAGTTGCGTGGAACAGAACAACAGTAGAAACACTCGAGAGGGCGGTGAACGAAGCACTGCCGCATGCCAGGCTGGTGTGTCGTGACGAGCAATATAAGAACAAAGCCATAGTGTTCTACTCGCTCAAACAATATTCTTCACTTCTGGATAGTGCCGATGCCAATGTCAGCCATGCGAGAATTCAACAGCTGCAGACTGAATTTGAACAATTATTCTCCCTTTACACTCAAATACTGCTCTCGGAATCGTTTTCACCAGCCGCCTCCAGAGAAAAAAACGTTGAATATATTCCCTTTGATAGCAACGTCACTTGCGCCTACTGCAGAGGGAGCATCTTCAATCGATTTCTGACGTGTCCGTCCTGTGCTATAACATCAACCGGCGATGAACTCCCTTATGACATCTGCATGGAATGCTATGTGATGGGCCGAAGTTGCGCGTGCATCTCGAAGCTTAAATGGGTTGAGCAGTTCAAATGGGAAGAGCTCATGGGAAAGCACGAAACATGGAGGCAGCAGCTGCTTAGATTTGATCCCGATCTTGGGAAGAAACATCGACCCTTCCGGGTAGAGAGAGATGAAATGGGCAAGAGAAGCCTGGCCCATATCTGCCAGGAAGAACTGAAGCGACGCCCGTGGGTTGATATCACGAAGCCCAAGCCGGTTGTCGAAGAGGTCGTGGAAGAACCCAGCGAGCCAGAAGATGAGAACCGCCCCGCAAAACGAAGGAAGAAATCAAAGTCAAAGGCACCACGATGCCACATTTGCAAATATGTTGAGCCAGAGTGGAAACTTGCTTTTTGTTCGAATCCCAAATGCTCCTTGAGATACTGCTATGGCAGTCTATACAGGGCGTTCAATATATCACCGCAGGAAGTCTTGGAAACCATCAAGTGGGAGTGCCCTAAATGTCGCAAATTCTGCAGTTGTGGCGCTTGTCGGAAAAATCCAAGAATGACCCCATTCGAACCTACATGCATCTCGCTTGGGCACGACACGAGCAAAGTTGCGGATATTCGCAGCGTGGAGAGTCTAGTGGACTTCAGGCACTCAAACCTCAGCTGGTTGAAGAAGGCGGGCAGTGACGAGATAGGCCGCCTCAGAAAGCACCAAGAGGAGGCAGACGCTAAGCGCAACCAAGCACTGGAGGACAATTCGATACAGGTGGAACCGTACCAAGATGTGTCACAAAACCCCGGCTATAGTCAACTAGAGCTGGCCAAGGTCGCACAAGCCGCATACTACGCGGACTACACGGATATTCCTGTCGATCCGGCACTTGAAACCTCACTTCTCGCGCCTAATGACTCTCGGGGTTAGCTTTGCATCGCGGGCTTCGGCTTTTCACAGGACAGTGACAGTTTAATACACGAACTACTTTCATATTTGTATTCCTCGTGTAAAGCTGATCTGGTACGCTCCAGATGACTAGATAAGGGGCGTGTCAATGGGTCGTAAAGGACAAGCAATCAGATGATAAGGTTCGCTCCTCCATACTAAGCTCCTTTATACTCATACCGAAGATCCTCCAAGGGCTTGACGTCAACAGACGCCATGACTTGGCGCACTACCAAGATAGTTATAAGTAATGCTGTGACATGACGCATGAGCTGCCATTCTTCCAGTTACCATAGATCTAATGAAAGGACATACCAGCGGGTATCAGGTAGGCGACAGGATTGATCTCAGTAAAGGTCCCCGGGGGAAAGAAATAAGCCATTCCGAGAAGAACACATATCCCAACGTTTCCCGGGAGTAAATATCTTCGCGCGTATTGTCGGAGATCTGGAGACCGCATCGGCCTTTTGCCCTTTGGATTTGGGCGTTGCGGCGGGACACACCCAATCGTGTATGCTGTAGCTGCGAGCGACAAAATGCCGAGAAGAGACAAAAGCCGTACTAACAAACCTGACGCTTCTATGGATAGGAGCGACGGTACAAACACTATGGTAGATAAGAGCGGGATTGCGGCGAACACAACCTGTATATCATGCTCAGTACCTGTCGTTGTTCATCAGGCTGTAAAGAAGAGGGCGGACAATAATTACGCTGTAATGTGAGTCTCGTTCTTCATTTTGTCTTTTAAGAAAGCTGATCACGCGTTCTTGCTCTAGAAACAAGCGTCAGAAAGCGGTCTCTTGTTGGGGTCACCTTTGCCAAACCTTCTTCGTCTAGTTCCTCGCGAGCATCGTCATCGCCCGAGTCGTCTGGATAGCGGAATGCTCTGCGAAGTCTCGTAGAGGCCATTCAGCTAGGCAGGCAAAATATACGTCATCAAAAGGGTCCACAAAAGTGCTAAGCAAGCCGAAAACTAGCTGGACACGAGATTGCTAGGTGTAGATACATGATGTTGTAATATAAACCTCACTGCGCCGCTTCAGAATCCCAGGTTTGCGTTGTTTGATTCTCCACTCCGACTTCCGCTCCGCCACCTCCGACTTTGACTCCTGTTATATTGTTTTTCCAGTTTTTAATAATCAACCCAAACACCTGGCCTCTGACACGCCATAGTCTCAACAAATGGTCTTCCAAATTGTCCGAAGGCGCATCGGCGTCCCGCGACTCCCCGCAACCTCTAGCCGACTCACTCCCCATCGCACCCTCATCCCCGCGCCTGCGGCCAATTCCGGTCCCATAACAGAACGGCGAGCAGACCGTGAGCTTCCGAATATTAATCCCGAAGGCCAACGATGGATGCGGACTTTGCCCATCTTCGCGGTCGTGGTGGGTGCCGCCATGCTCGGCATCTTTAATTACCAGAAATCCTCGTCAAGTGTCGTAAGCAGCACATTATACGCTCTTCGCACATCACCGCGTGCGCGCGAGATTTTAGGTGATGAAATCTACTTTGCGCAGCAGATTCCGTGGATCAGTGGAGAGATGAACCAGCTGCACGGGCGGATCAATATCTCGTTCTGGGTGAAGGGGACGAAGGCGCAAGGAAAGATGAGATTTAAGAGTGTCAGGCCAGATCGGATGAGTTTTGTGAGTTCTCCATATCTGATCTCGAGGGCGACAGCTAACGTAATCACTTCTTAGTTTCGCACTGAGGAATGGAGCCTAGAGACGGAGGATGGTACTGTGATCCAGCTTCTTGATGACAACCACGACCCATTTCGTCAAGAATAGACATGCTGCAACAACAAGCGCAGCCCCGTGTCTCACTGTATAATTGGATTCTCCTTGCATTAGGTTAAGGCGTTTGGTTATGCATTCATTCATTATAGCGAACATTGAAGACTGATGCTTTGAGGATATGAGGATATCATTTATGTATCATATACAGACGCCGCTCTAGAAACAAAAAGTATAATAGTACATTTTCAAGGAGAGAACTGAGAAAAGATTATGTCAACGCTTCAACAATGGTCTCTGGGATTTTCGGCCACGGCTTCTTGATAGAATCCTGTATCCTGACGACGCATCCCTTGGGGCCGCTCACAGAACCTAATATGGTAATTAGTTTAGCCCAGGTGTAATATGAAGCAATACATACCATTAACCAGAACTAGCCCATTCTCCGCATCGACCTTGAGTATCTTCAAGTTTTGCACCGTGTTCTGCTCATTCCCCATATTTCCCGCCATCTTCTTCCCAGGGTACACTCTAGAACCACCACCTTGACTAGGACCAGCAGAACCAAGCGAACGATGCGTCAAACTAACACCGTGACTGCGATCTTGGCCGCCAAAGCCGTGCCTCTTCATTACACCGGCAAAGCCCTTACCCTTTGTATTCGACCTCGCATCAACATACTGACCCTCCTGGAACCAATCCGCACTGACGAGCTCGCCAACGGGCAGCAGTCCGCTCCGATCCTTCACCCGGAACTCGTACACATGCCGCTTTGGCGAAACGCCTTGTCCCGAATAATGACCTAATAACGCCTTGGTCACATTGCTAGGGTGCTTCCACCCCGCGCCCATCTGCACAGCGTAGTATCCGTGCACATCAACCGTCTTGTGCGCGATGACCTGGACACGGTCAAGCTGCAAAACCGTACACGGGATGCGCTTCCCTGTATCAGGATCAAAGATGGCCGTCATTCCATTCTTGATCGCAATAGCTCCGGTACGAAGCGGAAGCGTGTTTGCCTTCCGCTCGAGGGCTGCGGCGGGCGACGACTTGAGGATGGGGAGGTCGGGCCCGTCATTGAATTTCGAGTGCTTCGGAGGGTTCAAGGAGCGAATGCCAAACGCACGGATGGGGACGGCATTTTGGGTGGTCAATTGCGCTTGAATGGCGCCAAAATGTAAAGGCAGTTGCGCCAGTCTCCTTGATAGACGTGGGGGCATGGTGAGAACCGATTTGCAGTATATTTGGAGTCGTTGTTGAATGTTGACTTTGGAGAAATTTCGGATGGATACCTACTCCGGAGGCGGTGTGCTTGTGCCTCACAAGGCATATAGCAGTCACAGTCGGCGAGGTGCGTAATATGAGCTCTAGAACGCTATTTATCTGCTAATAAGAATACTTGAGTCAAGACTGCTCCTTCAAATAGATCATCTGATTATTATCTGTACGCCAACCGGATTGAAGGTTAACTCCGGCGTAGGAACAGACGTTGTTGTCCCGACATATCCGCCATCACCTCCGGCCCGAAACTTATAATTTTTCTGCGTCATCTTCTACCTTGACATACATATCTACACTTTGTTTTCTCAATCTTTATCTATTTGACATATATTTGACATCTATTAGTCCCATATATTATACTGTACGAAAAGGCAAAACAGCTGCCCCGCCGACACCTACCGCTCACCCCTAAGGGCTAAAAAAAATACGAAGGCAGAAGAAAGAACCAAGCCACTTTGAACGGGCCTCCTCTATTCAATAATGTCTTTCCAAAACACACTCAGACGCTGGGCCCTCCGACCCTTTGACTCCAATATCCCCAGCTTGTTGTCTACAAGCACAACGATGCGCTTCCCAATTCGCCGGCCATTCTCCCTTGCGCATGCGCAAACACAGGTCCTCAAAAGTCAGAAACAAACGCCCTCACTGAGATTATTCCAGCGATCGCAATGGCAATTGCGGAAAACTCTTTTCCGCACCCGAATTCGGCGGTCCTTCCACACTACTCGCCCGGGATTCAACAAGTCCTCCGGATCCGGATACACATATCAGTCGCCCAACGCGACACCTTCGCTTTCGCAGCGCCTCAAGACTCTCTCCCGCGAGTACGGCTGGTCTGCGCTTTGGATTTACCTCTTTCTCTCGGCGTTGGATTTCCCCTTCTGCTTCGCGGCCGTCAAGCTTCTTGGCGCGGATAAAATTGGGCATTACGAGCATGTTATTGTTGAAAGCTTTAAGGGAGCCGTGAATAGGGTTTGGCCAGGGGCCTTTGATGAGTCAAAAGACGAGAGCAAGGATGCTGAAGCTGAGGCTGCTGAGAAGAATAAGAAGAGGAGAGGGCCAGTCGAGGAGGCCAGTATGTTTCTCCTAGCCGTTTTTTATTTTTCCCTGTGACGTTCTAACCATGGATTTTACCAGGCTTATGGACACAGCTTGCTCTCGCTTACGCTATTCACAAGAGTTTCATTTTCGTGCGCGTGCCTCTGACGGCGGCGATTACGCCCAAGGTCGTCAAACAGCTCAGAAAATGGGGCTGGGATGTGGTTAAAGGCAAGCCCAAAGCCAGATAGTGAATGACACTGCCCCCTTCTGGATTGACTTACCGCAGCATATACTTTACCAACTCTTATTTGTTGCATAGCGCTGTACAACTAGACATTGCACCCATTCTTGTACATTACACAGTACATCAGTTAGATCTAATCCCTCCACTCCGCTTTTGCTACCGTATATCAATCAAACAGAGCATGATCAATAGAAAGTAGATAGAGAGCAAGAGAATGAAGAGAAAAATAACTTAGCTCAAGTCTAGCTCACTCATGACGCGACAACAGAATAACCAACGCACGCAACGAGACAAATGCTGCTAATGAGATTGTCTGAAATCAAACATAGAAAGCCCCCAATGACAGCAAAAGAGGAAGACGCCGGCGACTCAGAATCATGATCTTCGTTCCCTGGAATGTAATGAGGAGATAAAAAAAATGAGAATCAAGCAGCATAGGAATTATATGGGGTATATGTAGGATAAAGTATGAAAGACATCGAGTCACATATCAATCATGTCATTAAACCTCAGAATGCCGTTGGCCTTCATCAAGCCATTCACGCCTTCAGGCATGCGGTATGCCAATTCAGCAACGCCCATTGAGCCCGCAGCTGACAAGGCTTGGGTCTCCGGTTGTTCAATTTCGTCGGAGGTGTCCGCTACAAGTACAAGGCCGAGTTCCTTGATAGTTGCAACCAAGGCTGGTACGACATTCTATCGGACGTTAGCTATTGATATTGCGAGGAAGCGCCAAGCGTACCAAGAGACTAGAACGGCATATCAAGCCCATGAAGTTGTTGCTCTGTGCTATACGGGCCGATTCCTTGATCGACATTGATGCTCGACCACTGCTGTCAACATCAGGATGAGTCCCGGCATTACGAGCCAGATCGCGGATTTGACCAAGATCGTTACAGAGAAGAACGGGGTCTGGCAATTAGTAGATGACACGGGAAACATAGAAGAAGAGCTTACAGTTTGGTTGCTTCCAGTTCAGGGCAACGCAGATATTGGCGTTATAAGATGTAAATACGACGGAGCGCATGAATTCCGGGTTCTTATCGCGTGCAATACGCGCATGGTCAAAGACAACTGTTAAGATGGCGTCGGCAAATGTATTGACATCCGTCATAGACGTCATATTCAACGCTTGCTCTTCAGCGGCTGATGGATAGAGAACAGACAGGTTGACATTGACATCGACCGGAAGATTCTGGAAAACATCGCGCAATGATAAGAATGATGCTGCAAGTATTCGATGGGCAAGGGCCAGGTCATCAGAAGCACGTGTCTGCAGAAACTGTAGAATTTCTGGGCGGTTTACATTCTTTTCCCCGCCAATAGCTTGGAATTCAGACAAGGTGAGATGACAAACCGGGATGTCAATGCCATAGTGTTTCACTGTGTATTGCGGATGGACAACTGGTACCTTGTCCCTTGTAACTTGGACGAAAAGTTGAATGTGGTCTCCCGACAAGCTTGATCCAGTAACTAGGCCACTGTGGTCAGATTCGCCAGTGCTAGTCGCCTTCCAGTATGTCGCAAAATGCGTGATCTCAAGAGGATCCCCATGGTATGGTTTGATGACTTGAAACCCGAATCGGAGCTGCCCGATGGCCCGTAACCGGGGATCGAAAAGAGGCAGACAACAGGAACCGGCGCTGGACTTTTCTGCCCTGAATACTGTCGGGAGGGCGACGGTCTTTGCGATCACCTTGGAGCCGAAAGTAGGGAAGATTTCATAATCAACGGTAAAGGTCTGCAACGTATCGACATGGAAGGAGATCATTCGCGAGTCTTCCTGGATCGGGAGCATCACGGTTCGCGGAATTAACTCGGATAGTTTCGAAGAGATCGTTAGCCTTGCAGCAGGGTAACGTCCAGCTTGGTCAAAGGATATGGAGCTGCTCGGGTCGAAGAGAATCTGTATAAAAACTTTCTTGTCCAGAAAATTGTGCCCATAGCGCCTCAGTGGGATGATCGGTGGAGGGAGAGATAGATCGGGAATCCCATCTACTGTCTCCATGTCCTCTGCCTCCACCGGGGCCTGTTCCTCCCAGGCGATGGTAGAACTCGGTTCATGTAGTCTCAAGCCGTTCAAGATATCCAACGGTCGCTGTGACGGCTGAGACTCGGCGTGATGGGACCACAGCAGCAACATGCATTCCAGATGACCCTCCCATGCAGCGTAGTAAACCGCCGCCAACCCCTTCTCGTCCTTGGCATTTGCGTCCACGCCCAGTTCCAGAAGGGTCCGCAGGCAATTGACACAGCCTTCACTGGCGGCGTGGAAAAGAGGAGTCCATTGATATAATTTGTCTCTCTGGTTAAGATCAGCACCATGCTGTTTGAGCAAAAGCAAGATTTCAGGTGATTGTGAAGCGCGTGCCACCATGTGCTGAGGGTAGAGACCTTCAGCGTCGGGGAGTAACTGGGCTTGTCGTTCTAACAACATTTTGACTATAGGTAGCGACCCATGTTGGCATGCCAGGTTAAGCGGAATGTGATCAGATTCAGACACGGGATCGATACGGGCATTATTTCGGAGGAGCTGCTCCGCACAGTCGAGTTGGTTCTTCACAATGCTATGTATCAGAGGCGTGAAGTTGTCGTGATCCATGATATCCACAGTGCTATGATCAGCTGCCAACAGCTGCTGTACCATCTCCACACGACCATGTATACAAGCATAGTGTAGAGGAATCCTTCCGTAGACGTCGGTCCTAGATGCCTGCACGCCCGCCTCAAGACCAGCTTTAAAAACGAAGTTGCGACCAGAAATGGCCGCTTCATGCAGGCAGTTCCGCTCGTTGATGTCATCCTCGGCGAAAATATCGACTAATCTACTCTCAAGGAGAACAGCGAGCACATCGTCAGAGAATTCATTGATTGCGGCCAGAAACGTGCGTGTGGCCCGCTCGCGGGAATCAGGGGATTTCTGTAGTTTGTCTGCCCACTCGCGCAGTGCCTGTAAATTCCCTGCGGTGGCAGACTGTAGAACCTGCAAGTCAAGGTCTTCTTCCTCTGAACCGACCGCCGTCGTCCGCTCAGCTGGACGGATCGTGTCAAACTGGATGTTCTCACCCTCCGCCCAGGCTTCGAGCTCTATCCGGGCGGTTGTCGCCCGATCAGAAAGATCTCGCAAAACATCCCTATTAAAACAGGGCTGTACTTCGACGGCGCGGTGGAGGTATAGTTCTTTCATGCGAGACTAATGGATTGGGATGGTTAGACAGAAGATCCGAATGACGAGAAATACAAACCTTTGACGTTTTATCCCACTAGGTTACTCGGTTAGCGATGTCAAGTTGCCATGTTGCACTCGACGGACCTTTTTAAGAATTTTTGACATGGCAGTCTCATTGATCTCGACAAATTGCTGCACGCCATCATAAGTAGAGATCAATAGTGAATACATGGAAACCCACCTGTAGTTTATTCAGGTCGCCATCAAACTGCTGGAAGCCTTCAAGGAGGGCGACTAAATTCGCCGGGGCTTTAGACTTGGTTACCGTCCGCGACTGGACGACCCGTTTCTTGTCAACCAGAGTCTTTAACCGTTGGGAGAACTGTCCCCTGTTGTCAGGTATTTGTCCAAAATTTTCCGAGCAATGAGACAGACCTCGGCCTCTTTTTGTAGATAGAAAGCGTTGACTTTCTCGATCTCACGTTCCTGTAATGAATTAGTAAAGCTCTAAGCCACTCTTCAACATGCCATACCAGTCGGAAGAAGAACACCTCCTTGTTCGCTCGGAGCGCAGCCTGGGCTTCGGACGCATTTTGGGGGACGGGCACAGAGCTTTGGGCGGGGATAGTCGGCGTTGCACTCAGTTGCTTGATAAGCTGTTTTGTCCGACGTAAGCATTTGTACGCAGAATATCAGAGACTGCTGACCTTCTTTAATGCCTTGTAATTGACAAAACTGGCGGCGTACTCCGGCAGATCAAGCTGTCTGCGCTGGATTTGTTTGCCAAACTTCCTGCAATTCAGCGGTCAGTTTCCACAGATCAGTGTCGCTTCAAGTATATATTAAAGCAGGACACGTACATGCTGGCAAACGCGCCTCCCCGTTCAGAAGGTCTTTACCAGTCACTTAATGTTAATAGGTAAACGCTTCAAGGCTCCGGTGTCGACGAAGTGCGCAGGTGCAGCCAAGCGCTGGAGCGTCAATTGCAAGTGAGTAAGATGATTAACAGGTATAGCTGAGGTGCAGAGAAGAAAAAAGTGGAAGATGCGCCCCGGTGACCAAACTACCCCTCGGGGAGGTAATAATTCGACTGAGGGGAGGGCAACAGTAGACTCGGAACAGACAAGCGCACTGAAGTGGGGCAGAGACGGATATACGTAGTAAAAGTAGATAGAGCAGCCAGTGCCAGCAGGCTCAAGAGGACAGTCGTTCAATTGCTGAGACGTGTGGAGTCCAGGCTAGGATGGTAAGATGGCACTGGGCAGGGTGAGCCAGCAGCTACTACAGAGTATACTCCTCCGTAGCACTGGGCTCCTAGTAGCACGAAATGCGGGTATCGTTTAGTGCCGGAAAGTACGTAGAGCTCAGGATCTCCGCGCAACAGCCCAGGCCTTTTCAATTAGCCCCGACCCTGGTCCCTCGTTTTACAAGAAAAGCGAGATTAAGGGCATGATACTCCGTACAGCGTATGTTCCTAGGGATCGATGCGGCGCGAGCGATGTCCTTCCTGTTTCCGGACGCACTTCGGTGCTCTGCTTTGCTTTTTTTTTTGCGCGTCAGTAGGAGCCAAGGCGCAGCGACGGTCAGGGCGGGGAGCCATGGATAGTGCTTTCGATAACTTACCTAAAAGGAAGGTCACAAGGATATCACCGCCAAAATGAGGGTTGACTCAAGCATGGGCAGGTCTAGAGAACAGCTGCTGAGTGCTGAGAGGATGTTCAATGTTCATGCCAAAGCAGAAGAGAAGGGCAAGGTGGTGGAGACAGGAGCTCTGGGGGAGCTGGCTCCGGCCCAATCGTGGCCGCAAACAAGCCCACGTTTCCTGCCCCGTGGTCACGCTAAGGCTGCATGCCCTGGAGAACAATCCAACCGAAACTGCCTTAATCACAACGTGCACAGTTCAAACAAGCCTAATGTATTTTGTCTGAATGCTTGGCTCACTTGTCTACCTTAGTCAAACATCTCTTGTTCGATCAGAAGATGATGTCACTTGTCTAATGTACACAAGCAGATAAATACGGAGTAGATCAGCTATGCACGATCTTCGATGTTGTCATCTAAGTTTGATGCACCTTAGCCTCATCTTCATGCTTTACCGCTGATAGGCCGGTTGAGCATTGCAATTCATGTCTGGCCTAGAACCTCAGGCTCGCGCCCGATCTAGAAAGGCGCCGTTCATCCATGTCGGTCTCCCAACCAGGGCTTTATTTTAATGTCTGTCGGTCAATACAAATCAATGACTAAGACGTTCCCAGGCAAAAGTAATACAATTCAGAGTATAAAGACTGATTTGGTACAAAGACAACCCGGGACTAAGACATTCCTGACTTCATGCTTGACCAAAAGAGCACTCATAGGTGTACACAAAAATAACTTGGGCAAGTTTAACCAAGATAGCGAAGGGAAGAGATGAAGGAAAGATGAAAATGGAAGAGATGGCGACGGAAATTGGTATCACATTCGAGAAGAACAAAAACGAAACTTCGGCGAGGTTCATGGAAGTCGAGGATCGCCTTATCAACCTAAACGTACTTTGGACATTTCCAACCCAGCTTGATAGCTGAACCGAGCGAACAAGAGTCGGTATAGACTCTTCAGTAAATATATATAAGAAATCAAAACAGCTCACACTATATTCCTTAGAAATTTTGTGCGATTCCCGCATTTCCTTGTCGAGGAAACACCGACGGATTCTGGATCTGCGTGTTGCGGCGAGCTTGGACGTCGCGAATTACTGGCTGACCGCCATACGGATCATTATACCCTCCGTATTGTTGTTGTACGTCGGTGTAATCATAGTATGGACCTCCAGGATGGTTGGCTGACATATGGCTTTCTTCTGAGATATCTGAATGGTTGCCCGCAGAATACGCCGATGACGCATTTGACGGGCCTCTGTTAATATCAGTACTGCGTTGATTGGAGGTAGCGGCAGCAGCGACAGGAGCAGCGCCCAATATCCCGTAAGGTTCGGTTTCGCCAAGAGGGCCATGTCCTTCATACTGGATAGTACCGTCGCTGGGGGTAGCGGTGTGGTGATAACCTGGTTGGCTTCCAGCTTCAGACATAGCTAAACCAACACCAGCACTGCTTGAGAGGTTCGTCGATGCTTTGCGGCCGGCTGAAGTTGTCCCCCATCCGCGGTATCCTGCATTATCATCCGCGGCGCCACCCATTACGGCCGGCAGTGTTGGGTCGCCGTTCGGGTTAAAACCGTACTCCTCGACCTCTTTTCTGCGTTCCTCTTCCGCTACCTTCTTCGCCTTGTGCCTCCTCCAGAGCCAGAGGCCTACCAGGACAAGGATAGCGACAGATACAACCGGGACAACTACCGCAACAGCTATTGTGCCGCCTGCCGAGAGCCCGGAGTCGCTACCACCCGTTTCCGTTGCTGAGGCAGTGGAAGCGGAATCAATGGTTGAAGAAGCACCTTCATTGCCCGTGGTCGCAGAGGCTGTTGGGGTGCCAGTTATGGTAATAGTGGTTGTGGTTGTCCCGGTAGTGATCTCTTCTGTGGTGGTGGTTGGTTCGACAGGATCAGTGGTCGAAGTCGGATCGGTGGTTGTTGTACTTTCAGTGGTTGTAGTGGTTGGATCATCGGTAGTAGTTGTGGTACTGGTACTGGTAGTTGTAGGGGCTGACGATGCCTCCGAGGATGTAGTTGTAGATGGCTCGGAAGTTTCTGTTGTTGAGGTGCTGCTTGTTGAAGTGGAAGTGGGCGCATCTTCACTTGATGAAGTCTGTGACGTAGAAATCGGCTCAGGATCAGTAGTGGTAGTAGCTGTAGGCAGCGTGCTGGTCTCTGTGGGTTCGGTGTCAGACGCGTCAGAGGTGGTGGTCGGAGTTGTGGGCTCTGTGTCAGCCGTAGAGCCGCTCGGCTGCACCGCAACGCTGCTCATGGTGGAAGTCGCGCTGCCAGTCTTTCTGACAGTCAGATATACCAATACAAGACAGCTTAGTATCGACAGTTGTCGTAGACGTGGCGCTGCACGAGTCGTTATTTGTCCGAAGAATAGCCGCAATCAGGCTTCCAGACCACAAGTCAATTTTCCCGAACCCAAGGACGGCAGCGAGGTTTCCATCCACACGGAGAATGCTGTCAAAAGGAGGACGATTAGTTGGCGACAAAGGAAGAGTCTAATTTAACGATTATTAAGGACGTAATATTGACAATTGTTATCATGGGCCGAGCGGGACAGTGCTGAGAGCAACCTGGCTGACCGACTGGTTTGTCAGGGGTCAAGATGACAACAGGATATCAGTCCAGGCACACCTATTAATGCACTTCAAGCCTCACACAGATAATGAGATAATTCTCATAATTGAAAAATACTGAGAATCGAATGACCTTGAGGAGGGAAAGAAGTGAGACCAAAGAAGGGAAGGAAGAAAGAATGAGAGAGCAGACGAGAAGACAGTGTGAGATTGAGATTGGGAGGGTGTGAGAAAAAGTGGAGATACAACTCCAAGAAAAGAACGGCGTCCCGACTCCCAAGCCTGTAATTGGCAGTGGGTCCTGGCACTGCTTCCGTCCATATATTCATTCATTATTATTCTTAGCAACAGCGCGCCATTCGTTGCGACCGGGGGCCCAAGTTGCCAATAGTCCGCAGGTTTTCCATCAACGGGTAGCATCCGATGAGATAAAGCCTGGGAGTCTGATTCCAAAGGTCTGCTGCATGACACTAACATTATTAGAGCCTGCGGTCGCCTAGAATTCTCCGTCGAGGTTGTAAAACAGCCGAGCTCGAGTCAGAAACGCGGTCGCCCGGAAACCGCGACTTTCCTACGCACGGCAATAATTACATCTAACAGCCAACATTAGCAAACCCATAACTTATAAACATGTCGCTGGTTGCAGACTTGTCTTGCTCAAGATGACGACAGCAATGAGACCTTGGCCCACCAGGGGCCGGTAATACATTACCGGATCTGGATGCACCCCCCTTTTAAGATCTCCCATACTATCATCAAATCCATTGACATACGCGGCTACCGCGATTTGTTATCCTGAGATTGACCAGTGCTGGATTGTCAGAGATAATGTATTCCTGACCTGACACCACTCATTCCAACCCGTGCGGCAGGAGAGCACCGTACCCGAGGAGCCTCATGGTTATCAGGTACCAAAGCAATAATGGGCCTCTTAAAACGGTGGAATCAAGCTCAGCCTGACAGTCACAACCCACGAGCCTGTTCCTAGGTTGAAATCGAGAACTTCGTATCTTTACCAATGAAAGGCATCGCTGTGCAATGCATTCCATGGTTCACGCCGTCGCATTTCCCCAAAGGCCCAAACACCTGGAACGATTCTTGGCTCGATGAATAAATTCCAAGACAGCAATTACTAAATGGAAACTATAACTACCATTACATCCAATTAGCCATCATCACTATGAAAAGACAGTTAGGGGGTGGGGAGGGGGGGTTGGGTTTGGGTTTGAGTGTAGTAGAGGGCGGCCGAGGCCTCTAAACAGAGGGAGGAAAACCACAAGTGGCTGAACAACCTTATCCAGGCAGAATGATAGGTCCTTCACACCGCAAGAAAGTATCAACTATGTGTAATCTATATCCGACTCCAGGCAGAAGAGATACAAGAATAAAGCGACGAACAAAATCAAACACCCGGCCTCTTGTATACTATGTACAATTGACGAACAGTCCAGATTCCACAAGAGCAACAGCAAATCAAACTCAATAGTACAGATCATAACATGATAATTGAACTCCAGTACAGAATGACAAATCGTTATTGCGTCTACCGCACATCCCATGTAGGACGAAGGTTCGACATCAAGTCATCCTTGGTACCAACAGTTTCCGGGGGCAGTCGGCTGACACGGTACGCACCGTTGCGAATATTCTGCAAATGGGCTGCTGAAACTCCGGTACGCGTACTGCGGATGCTACCAGCATCGCTTGCAGAGTCTTGGGTCTTGAAACGAGGAGGAGGGGCAAAATCCAAGTTATCAAAGGCGCCTGATTTCCGTAATGCGTGCGGGCTGGGCATGGGCGCTAAATCATCGAATACAGAGACGAGAGGAGTGTGAGCTCGAACCATTGGGCTGTAGGGCCGTACTCCACCGAGAGGTGTTTCCGGGCGGCCATCCCTCTGGTCTCTAAAATTGGAGCCAGGGGCGAAATCTATAGCTGTCATGATCGAATCATCCTTCAAGAGATGAGGGGAAGGGAGAATGTTGAGGGGAGCTGGCGGGGGAGCTGGCCGACGCGGCGCTCGAGGACCGGGGAATCGGTTCGAGGCCGAAGAGAATGCACGCGGGCCGGGTGGCTGGAATCTTTCGCTATATCCACCAATGGAGCCCGACGCCATATGGCGGGCTGCACCTTGGAATCGGGGAGGTGCGCGTGGGGGAGGAGTCATGGCGCGACGAGTCACTGGTTCAGCATAGGGGGCCGGTACCGCGTCATAGTCTTCTGGATAGTAATAGTCGTCCTCCGCGTAGTGATCAGCATAATCTCCGTAATAAGTCTCTCTTTGTCCCGCTTTGCTTTCGTCGAAATACTCTTTGTAGAATGATCGAATACGATTAGCTCGTTGCTCGGGATTGTCAGCCGGGTCCTCTGGCGGCAAGGGGCGTAGGCCCATAGTCATCCGGCGAGTATCTCGGCGAGGGTCAAGTCTCAGGTTGGAAGCTTGCGGCGGCTCCTCTGGCATCTCGGGCACGGGCGCTTTATCATGACTTTCATGACGAGCGGGGCCAAGTTCTGTCTTCTGGACGTTCACGGCCGGAACAACTGGATTGGATGCCCTTTCATCCCCGTAATCGCTACCGCCATCTGTCGATGGAAGAGAAATCCTGGGCGTCGGGACGGTTTCGGGATGACTAGGAGGCGATTCGACACGGGAAGGGGGCGGTTCAACATGGGCATCCTGCGTATCGTGTAGTGGAAAGTCGAACTGATGCTCTGGAGGGGAATTTGATGATAACGGCGTAACCACAGGAGGGTTGACTTCTCTGTTACCGTCGTCCACTGTCGATTCGTTGATTGATTTCAGGCCGGGGACATGAACAGGGCTGGGACTCCTGGGCAAATTCAATTCAAAGCTTGGGTCATGCACTTGAGTTGGGCTACGTGCATTAGACTCGGGATTATAGAGAGGTGGAGACGAGCGTGAAATGGTCTGAGCATTTCCCAATAATCCTTGATTCATATCATCTCCGTAAGCTGCTCTCCGTGTTGAGCCTGCAACGCTTGCTGCATCGTCATAGCCTCTTCGCTGCGATCGAATGGACTGGCCATCAGCTGGAAAGTATGGGTGTGCGTGCCGGTACTTATCGTCATCCGCCAAGATCGTCCGGGGTAAGGAATTCAATGAATCTCTCGAACCGCGTATGCTAGGTGGCAGCATATACGGACTGGGTCCTATGTCAAGAGAAATTCCCTTCATGTGGTTTGGTCCCTTTTCTTGCATTCCGGTTCTACCGCCGCTCGGCGCCAAATCCATTCCGAAGTCAAGGGACTTGTGCTTATCATTGGCATCTTCGTTTCGAAGCTTCTTCACATTCCGACGATGTAGGAAGATCAAGACTATAATGGCACAGACAATGGGGATGCTGGTTATGTTAGATTTGAACCATATGCGGTGGGAGGTGAGACATACACTGCTCCTAGCACAACAGGTAAAGTTGTATTATTCGCCGTACTGGTGTTCTTCTCGCATCGGGCTGAGTTGTCTCCAGGTGAGCAAGTTTCCACTGTGCCAGACTCTGTACTTGGCACTGGATCTCTTTTCACCAAAGTTGGAACTTCGGGCATGAGCAAGTACGGTGGTCGGTTTCGCGGCATGGCTGCTGGTTCGACAGGTGCAAAGCGAGCTCCCAAATACTGGCCATGGTGATGTTTGTGCTGATGAAGCCGGTGCATGGTCGCCTAGCTTATGGCACGACTATCGACCCCAGGCATCCAATTTGATCAAAATATGTGAGGCAAAAGCCCAACCATAGATTCAAGCGACAGTCCTTGACTAGCTGTTGGCAAATCAAAGTGAGATGTGTAGAAGCTCCTTGGTAGCAATCGGAGGCAGATAGTCTGGAGTGGCGCAAATCGACGCGAGGTGATGCTGAATGTGTAAGGAGTGAACGGAACTCAATTCCAAAAGCGAGTGGCGGCCAGTGGCCAGGTGTTATGAGAAAGGAATGGATGGATATCAAAAGAGCGATACCCTGGAGGTTGAGAAAGAGCGACTGGGAGGTGAGCGAAGAGGTAAGAGGAAGAGGAAAGACGGGCGGGAGACAAGAGGATGTCGGGAAGAGAGGGCAGCGCCCCATTTGGGGGGAGCCAGCCTGGCATACTACTAGTAGTACGGAGTACTCCGTACGAGGGCAACTCGGTAGCGGTCTAGAAGAGCGACCCGTTTGTCTGAAGGAAATTACTCCGTAAATGATGTCCTATTAGTTTACTTGTTGGTGACCGGCGCTTGTGTGGGCCGCAGATTGTGTCTTCATCCTCCGTAGGCAAGGACTCCTGCTCCCTCTCATCGGCCTTTACTCCGTAGTTTTAAGTTTCGATTGGCCTTTATTGACAGTAAGTTCCATCTCGCATTAGCATTCAGGGTTCAGGCTGATGAGCTTTGCCCGTGGAAGGGAGGCTGAGGGCTGTTCTGACTTTGGCTTCTAAATTCGCTGCCCCTGAGCCGGCGACCGGACGATAAAATAACATTGGGCCCACCTCCCCTCTGTGCATGCCTATCTTTGATAGATTATACATTAAGATAGGAGTACAAAGTACCATAGACATATCCTAGATCAGAGACTGCATGTTCTGCAACATCTTTTCTTCTTCTCTGCACCCTTAACCCCTAATTGCCCTCCCTTAGAGCAAGGAGAAGCAAGGCGCTAAGGCCTGGACTGGACCTGTCTCCTCAGGCTCAGAGTCCTCACCCGCTCCTCCTGATGCTAAAGTCCGAGAATAGTCTAGCGCCAGGTACCAAGCCATTGAAATTTGAAAGCAATAACAGGGTGATCTACACTGAGGCTACTCCGTACGGATACTCGGGTGCCAAAATTCTTCCATTCCTGATCTTATTCCTTGCCTGATCTTGCCACCTGGCTACTCGTCTATCCACGCTGTATGGGCCATGGCCTGGTATCCATGAGCTACTAAGTTTCGCATGTATGCGTAGGGCTCTTTCCAAAATTTGGACCGAGACTGTTGTGCAGTGTAAAGATATCTGATATCCAAACCTGTAAGAAAGCAAATAATTTGTCGCGTGCGGCTACTCCATATCCATTATTGTTTATTTATCCGTATCCATACGATCTATTTTGGTGCAACCCAATCAAACATGAAACACTGGCACCAAGCTGCTTGTTTTTCAAGAAGACCTGTGCCACGCTCTTGGCTTCTAGAATTCGAGTCTATACTTTGTAGTCCATACACTTATTTATCTAGATAATTTGTGCACTGTGCTACCTGCAAAGACCTCAAGTAAATACTATTGCTTGGGCAGCTTTCTTGGTGGGCCTTAAGGATTGAGTGAATCTGTGTTTTAATTGCCCTATTCCTCACTGACCAAAACATTTCTTTCAAGCTGAGCATGCACACATCCCAGAATGCACACTGTGGCCTGTAAATAATTACCTGCCTGTTTTATTAGCCACCCTTTAAGCCTGTGGCCATTAGCATGTTTGGCAAGACAGGTATATAGTAAACATGAGCAGTCAAAAGTTTGCACAGGACCAAGGAATTGGACCTTGCTACCTACATGGGTACCTATTGAACTTGAATATTATAACTTAACCTAGATATGTAAGACTAATCTACTTTGTAAACCATGATATGGACACTTGCTCTAGGCCTTGTAAATAGATATTTGCCTACGGAGCACTTCCGAGGCTAATTTATCCCTCGAATCAGCATGACGTCAGTTTTATCGGGCATCTTTCCAGCCCTTAAAGATACAACTGTTTATCCAGGTGGACAGACCTCCAGGCCATGAATGTGGGACGATATAGCGTGAGTATAAGTTGACTAGTACAGAAACGCGAGTTGGTATACACTCCCGAGCGTCTGCTCAAGGCATTCGGCATCTTGTCTTAGAATAATTGTGTCTGCAAACGTAGATACCATTTGACAGCCCTGGAGCTGTACGATCTTAACCAAATGCGGACTGTGTAGATATGAACCTTGAAGGCCGCCATCGAGTTGGAGCCACGTAGTCCCTACTAGTAGCCTCGAGCTCCTCTCTAATCCATGAGTTGATGCCCAAGTGGACGCTAAGTGGCCCTCATCTCGCAAAATCGAGAGATAGTTGAATGCCTAAAACGTAAAGATTTTTTGGCCCGGCAACATATCCGAATAACTACCAATAATTATTGAAGAGTCACGAACCGCCTGTCTCCCATAACTATACTAGCTTACTGCTCTACTTTTACCATTCCTCGCCTGCGTTGTAAGGAATTGATCCATGTGCTCATCGATTATGCATCCCACGATGGAAGAATCTGAGAAGGACGAGCGCCGCGTAAATGACTATAGCTCGGACAGTGCTAGCCAGATGCATCGGGCTGATTCTTACTCATCCTTTGACACATCTTCGAGCGACGATGGTGTTGAACGCATGTCTCGAACGCAGACGGCGCAAACCCAACCTGGTTATGGTTTAGAGCGCCACCCTACAGCCCTCAGTCGCATCGCAACCCAGCGAAGTCAGCACAGCGCAACAGTTGGAGCGCTCAGGACGCGGTCCTCTAGGAGACCTCTTCCTGAGTTTGGGGCAGGCAAGCCATATCCGCCTCCACTTCCAGAGAAGGAAGAGTATGTAGTGGAATTTGCCGGGCCGGACGACCCTCTACATCCGCAGAACTGGCCGACCAGAAAGAAGTAGGAATCCCGCAATTCCTCTACGGTGTGGTTATTGACATATCAAACAGATTGCTTGTCTCGGCTCTACTCGCCTTTACAACTTTTAATTCCACATTCACGAGTAGTATCTTCTCTTCCGCCAATTCTGTGGTATCCGCAAAGTTCAACGTCTCCACCGAGGTAGGCACTCTGGGCATGTCATTATACGTTCTTGGGTTTGCATTCGGTCCTACACTTTTTTCGCCACTGTCAGAGCTGTTCGGCCGGAGATTACCCATCCTTATTGGTGTTTTCGGGTTTACGATCTTTCAATTCGGTGTTGCTACGGCCGAGAATCTTCAAACCGTCATTATCTGCCGTTTCTTTGGAGGATTCTTTGGGGCATGTCCTATTGCTGTTGTGGCGGCTGTGTTCTCAGACCTTTACGATAATCGTCACCGTGGTCTTGCCATCACTATCTTTACCATGATGGTCTTTACGGGTCCGCTGTTTGCTCCGTTCATTGGGGGTTTCATTGTGGATAGCTACCTGGGCTGGCGATGGACAGAATATCTTACAGGAATCCTTGGAGCTGCCGCATTTGTGTTGGATGTTTTCTTTGTGCACGAGACATATCCGCCTGTGGTACTCATCAAAAAGGCCGAAGAGCTGCGCCGGAGAACCAAGAACTGGGGCATTCACGCGAAACAAGAGGAGGTCGAGATTGATTTAGGTGAGCTTATCGCAAAGAACTTTAGCCGACCTGTGCGAATTTTGTTTAGCGAACCAGTTTTGCTCCTACTGAGCATCTACATGGCGTTCCTATACGGGTTGCTCTACCTTTTTATGACAGCATATCCCATTGTCTTCCAGCATATCCACGGATTTAACAAGGGCGTTGGCGGGCTGCCATATTTCGGTCTTATAATCGGCGAGTTTTTCGGAGGGCTTTCCATCATCGCAATGCAACCCTGGTATAACAAGAAGCTGAGTGCAAATGGCGATATCCCGGTCCCGGAGTGGAGATTACCTCCAGCTATAATTGGCGGCGCGGCATTTGCAGCAGGTCTGTTCTGGTTTGGCTGGACTGGTTACACTGACAGTATACACTGGATCGTGCCTACGGTATCAGGTCTTCTTACTGGGTTTGGACTGCTATGCATCTTCCTCCAGTGTCTTAACTATATAATCGACACGTATCTTGTCTTGTAAGTCTTGCCCAGATCAATCCATGCCCTCCGTTATGCTAATCAATCTCCAGCGCCGCGTCCGCCTTGGCTGCAAACAGCATCCTCCGTTCCATGGCTGGTGCAGGATTTCCTCTTTTCGCTCCTTACATGGTAAGTCACCCTCTTCGAGACAAGCATTCCGCGTTTAATTCCTTCATCAGTTCAACGCCATAGGTGTCAACTGGACGGGAACTCTCCTCGGCTGCGTCGCTGCCGTCCTCATGCCCATTCCGCTCCTATTTTACGTCTACGGCCACAAGATCCGCTCAAAGAGCAAGTTCGCCGCCGAATACACTACCGTCGTCAAGGCCAGTGCCGCCGAGGAATAACAGTCATACACTAAAAAGCTGCTACTGTCGCCTATTAGATTCGGGTAATCATAACAATGCTGACCCCCCAACGACCTTTCGGCCCAGCTGAACCTTTGACCGATAATCAATTTACACCGCTGATTGAGAGCGCTGGATAGGAAAAACATAAGGGAAGAAAGAAAAGTTCTTGATTTCTTTAATTTCTATTGCATATTATACCCTTTTGCATGGGATGTGTTTGACCAGAGATACCGAACTGTTTCTGGTTGGTTGTCAACAGCGAGTTTTGACTTCATTTTGGATATTTGGCGTTCATCTTGATGCATATATATCTATAGATACTTGGGAAACATATATTACAAATATGATCCCCCCATACGAAATCTTCCACTCTACCGGAGCAGCACATAACTTCGCGGTCATCCACTAGACTCGGTCAATGCCAACCCAGGCTATGGAACATTTGATCATACTGTCTAAGTTGCCATTATGGTACAAATATAAGTTGTTTACAAACTTTTTTTTTTTTCATTTTACCCTTGCTTTAATCATGCACCATTAAAGTCCCATATCCATAGCATCCATCATGCACCGTTTATGACAAAATGAAGAAGAGTGTGATAACACCAACAGGTAAGACATGCAAAAGAACCTCCCAAGGTACATAAGACAACTCCACAAGGGGACGATGGATATACACCAACACGATCAGTTGTACAAAAATAAGGAGACCTATGTGAGTGGAAGGAAGAAGAACCAGAAGAACTTGAAAAAAAGCTAGCTCATGTAGAAGAGATTGTGGGAAAAGGAAATCGATGGAAGTGAAGGCGTTTCGATTAGGACATTTTCGGTCATGTCCCATATGCTCCGATGAGTCATTAAACATTTTTGTAGTTTGTACAATTATGTCGAGAGAAGGGTATAAAGCTGGTTTTATCGAGTAAAACGTGAAAAGCCAAACGCCTCAGCCAATGCAGGAGGTCTCAAATTTCGAAAGGTCACCATGCGGCGGATGCTCGAATATGCGACTGAATGGTGGATGTGATGGATGCGTATTTTCTTCGGAACCATTTGGAACCCCCTCTGCCTTTCGAACTACTTCCTTTAGGGCACGAGTCACTACACTGGCACGGACGACGAGGTCGCGGAGAGACTGTGTGTCGAAAGGGAGCTTTTTCGACCGGGGAAGGTGGGAGTGCATCGTGGCGGGGTCATGGGAAAGGCGTTGTTGATAGATCAGATCCAGAACAGAATTTGCTTTGGTGAGCACCGTATGTTCAGTAACAGAGGTGGTAGGACGGAGACTCGAGTTCTCTGAGAGCGAAGCCCTCCACGAGTCTCCACTGATACGTTTCCAGGGGTCATTTAGCTGGGACGACTCGCCTTCAGACTCATCAAAGCTGAATGTGAGTGATGAAGGTGACCTGGGTGGTGATTCGTTGTTTTCATCATCGTCGAGTGTTGCTAAATCAACGATACCTTCCGCTTCTTTCCAGAGCTCATTGGACGGACCATGAACGATGTCCAAAAAGCTGGCTTGATGCCTCAATCGTTTCAATTCCTCAACTAGCAAGGTGAGCTCTTGAACGTGTCCGAATTGTCCATGAAGACTAGCTTGACGTTCCATGATAGCCTGAGGTACTATCACGCTCTGGCGGCTGTTCACGTCTTTGTTGCGGTTAACATTTTCGTTCATGGCACCCTCATCCTTGTCCTTGTCTTCGAACTCGAAATCGCTGTCCCAGTCTTCACTGACACCCTTGCTACCTAAGCCCCAGGTCCCAAATTTACCCGACGACTGCCTTGACTCATTGGGTATGGCGGGCTCCCTTGCAACGGGAACACTTTGGCTGCGGTAATGTAGAGTACTGGGCGGTTTTCGTCCGGTTGCTCGACTGCCACGGATGCCAGGCCCATGTTTTCCATGAACTGTTCGTGGACGACCATCTGGCCCAGACCCCTCGCGGTCCGGTCTCGGATGTTCGGACCAGTCGAAGATGTTCGCCCTTGAAGATGTATCGTGAGCTTCCGCGGTTGGCCTGTTTGAAAATTTTGCCAACCGTTGGTCCTGCTCTCCGGTGGTGTCCAGCGATAGCGCGCCGAATTTGTGTCTAAGAGGGTGCATGGTTTTATCTCCAGGCAAGGAAGCCACCATACTCTGCGAATCGTCATCGTCGCTCAAGTCAGATGGGAAGGAGATTTCACTGTCTTCTTCATGGGCTTCCGCGAGGATTCGCGCCACTGGGGTCAAGGAAGAGGTTCTGATTGTTCGCCCTTCCTCGTCAGATCCTCGTGACTTTGTCGATGGCAGAGATGGGCGGAAACCATCCGACCTTTGGCAGGGCTCAATAGTTGTCCTTAGTGGCACAGTTCGATCGAAGATGGTCTCGATCCGAGGCGACTGAAAACAGGAACCGTCGGTGGTGATATGAGTGCGGATTGAGTCAAAAGCGGTATCGCTCATAAAGTCAGTTTCGTACTCGTCACCAGAAGTGAAGACTCGAGTGTCATCGGAACCTATGACCGTTGATGCTGGGTCCGAAGCAGCGATTGAATGGCGCTTGGGGCACTGGCCCACTGAACCGTATAAAGACGACAAAGCTGATCCATCTGTTGAAGCATTCGGATCAAATTCTTTGCGGTATGGCGAAAGAACCTGTGACTGCGATCCCATAATCCCCGAGTTGTACAAAGATGAAAGCCCGCCGTTCGCAGTGTTTGTTGGTGGCCGCCTGAAGACATTTGGGTCAGTAATGTTACGCCTTTCAGGTACTCGGGGAGAGACCCAGATAGCTCCTTCCACATTTGCTAACCCAGGTAGAGGGGTTGAGGCCGCCCTCCTCTTCGGCCCCGTAAATGAACCATTACGAAACACTCTAATGTCTAGTGGTCCAGCGGATCCTGCGGGTGATTTCGGGCGCGCCTCCTCACATGGCGTTTGGCAAGTGTTCGTCTCCGACGAGCGTGTGTTTGGTTCTCGTGGCGGAGCGTCATCGGTCTTGAAAGGGTCCCGAAACTCGATAGGCGAAGTTGGGAGCGTCGCTCCTCTCGCCGTGCCATCTTTTTTTCCTATCGAGGTTGCGAGAACAAGGGCCGGAGTGACATCGGTTTGTGGAAAGATCCGTCGCAAAGCGGGGTCTCGAGGTTTTGTTGATGCTGAAAACCTACGATCTAGTCGCTCGGACGAAGTGTCGGGTTTCGACACCATGTAGGGTTGCCAGGGGTCGTTTCCGGAAGGAGGTTCTAAGAGAGAACCAAGCGCCAAGCTGGGTTCGAAACTCAAGCTTTGTGCTGCCTTGTGTTTGGAGGTCTCAGATCGTTGGTAGCTCGTTGCAGGTCTGCGTAGCGCGCCGGATGCGGAGGGCGAAGAAATGGTATGGGCAAAGAAGTGACTGGCATTTGAGTGCTGCGACTTTGGTCGTTTGACAAGTTTATTGGGCACCCTGCGTTGACTGGGCGGCCGCGAGAAAGCTGGACTGACTGGTTCCGGGAATGATAGGGTATCCGGACTTTGAAGCGAGAACCGCTTATCTGGTTGGAACGACAGCCGCCGGATCCATGAAGAAGACGGTCGTCGGCCATGCGACGAACTGGGCGGATTATCTTCAGTTCGTACCGGAGGGATGGACAGAGTTTGGCCGCGACGACGTAGTCTTATACCTGCAAAGGACGTTTTCCTGAAAACATTTCCGCCTTCAACCTGGTCCGCAAAAGGAGCGACATTATCTCGAGTCTCCGGGAAATTAGGGTTAACAGGAGACTGTGTCTCCGCTGTCGCAAACGCCCTGGAGGGTGCTGCGTCGAAAGAAGGAATCGTATCCGGGTCCGGCAAAGGAGCGCGTTGTAAATTCGTCGGTTCTATAAGTGCTCGTTCGACGCGACCGAGTGCAAAGCCGGTGGCTGCGATACCGACAGTGCTGATCGCACAAAGCTAGAACTGGGATTAGCAAGCTCATATATATAAGCCGGTGAAAGTAATTTGACAGCTCGAAATATTGTGAAGCGGGCGGAAAATAGAGACGGGGATGACGGCGAAGACAATTGAGGGTCTTGAAGATAATTGGGAAACATGGAAGCAAGCAACTCACCGTGGATACATGTTCCATCCTCAGAGAAAGTCGAGAACAGTATCAAGTATCATGAGGCTTAGATTAAGGACATCGATAAAACGTGGAGGAGTTGACATCCCATCTGCATTGTCATGCACGAGGAAGCTCAGGTGGCTGGACACATCAAGTATTGCGGTTGACGGGGCGGGAGATGATCGGCTTTCCGAATCGGACAGCAAAACCCAATAAGCAATGGAAAGATCTTTAGAACTGCAACGGTAGCCGAGCAGCTTGCTTTGAGCTCGAGGGATGTGTTGAATTGACGTGCTTCGGGACGGGGGAGCTTGGAGAGGCGAAGGAATGGGGAAGATCGGAAACAAATGCCAGGTACGAGATAAGGAATGAGAACGGAGAGGCTATTAACACCGAGAGACCTTTAAAGAGTCTCTTTCCGGTCTTCAGACCCTTTGTCAGACCGTGACGATTCGCTAAAGGAAAGGAGGAAGAAAGAGGAGGAAAGAAAAGTGACAGTTTAGGTGTCAGCTGGATCGAGAAAGAAGCGGCAGAAGCATAGAAAGAATATCAAATCAACAAAGCCGCAGGGTGGGACGCTGGTGGTCTAGTACCGGGATGATGCCCAGTCTAAGATGGAGGAATGGAGCACGCTAGGAGTGCCCACCCCCAGCCAACAGACTCGATCTTGTTCTCCTCGGTGATACTTCCGGTGTTCTGACAGGAGCCCAATTATTGGCAAACAAGGTATTTCTACGCTGGGATCTTTAGCTATCTATCAGCCTCGTGACTGCTTGGATCAATATTTCCGAGCAGACTCGCAGACAAGGCGATCCCTGAGTTATTGATCAAGCTTCCGCCATCGAGATGTAAACAAACAATTGTCAGGAACAAGTTACTCCGTAAGATCTCCATCTTGCTGGACTAGCGAGATTAATTGACCCAGGGCTAGATGTGATTTCTCATTTCCAATGCATGGGCCTTTAGACATCACGCAGGAGACAACAATAATAACAACAACCGGAGATTTAATCTTCTAGTGTGCATGATGCTGTTGCAGTGTTGCGACGTATCCATGGTCGGACAGATGGGGAAAAAAGACAGGGATTGCCTTGCTGAATAGGTGTGAAGATGAAACCAGGGCGCCACAGGTAGCGTTCAGCTCACCTGTTCCTCCTTGACATCCCTTCATGTCTATTGGCCCAGGATACTAGCGACGCGCTATCTGCTTGAGTTGAGTATTGGCTATAATTGATTCCCTGTCTATGGGCTACTGACGCCAATTGTGCAGATAAACAGCCGAGTGTTTTCGCTACTGCTCCTCTGTACACGTCGCGCGAACTTGGTCCAATTATCGCAATCCGCAACATCAATGCCCTTGCCCTCGTCATCGTGGTTTATGTGATTGTTTTTATGGGGCTAGAGCGGGATATTCCAAGGAGCGAGCGACTCGATGGAAGCCTGGAAGGATCTCCACCCCTCGATCTCACTTGGACAGTGGACTTGGCTGGGGCGGCTGGCTGGCTGAACTGGTCCTCTGCTCCAGCAAAGATGGGATCTCGCACATAGACGATCGCACCCAGGAACGGGTTTTTATTTCTGTGGATCAAGGGATCCCAGGCCCAGGGCGAGGAACAGCGGGAGCTTTCCAAGGTTCATCGTCCACGCAACTTTTCCTCCTCGCTTCACTTTTCCAAGGGTTGATTGCATATGCTGCCTGTTCTCACATCAGCAGACCTGGCACTCGAGAGCTATATGCGCATCTGGCGTATGTCAACCATCAACTGTCGGGATAACGGGATATGTGCTGCGCGGCAAGTCTGGCCTGTGGGATAGACGGGAGGTCGATCCCAAAAGTCTATAAAAAAAATTCAAACGGCAGCAATTCGAGACCTTCTCCATCGCATCCCGTCGCGGCATCGAGTTTCGGCGCCGACTCTAAGCCCGAGACTCTAGAGAGATTCAAGATCCGTTAGGTAAACGTCACTATGACGTAAATCATTATTATGGATCTGCGCCGTTTAGGGTACGAGGTCCCAGCGTTCACATAAAATAATATGTCCAAATTGATGAATCTCAAAAAAACAGGTCTCATAATATCTTGCTTACCTACAGCAGCTCGTGGTAGGGGGCACGAAGTACAGAATACAGAGAATGCTGGGCTTCGAGCTTGTCCTCTAAGAGGGGCTCATACATCACCCTTGGCCAATCAGCGCACTACTTGGTCGCTAGCCTCGCTTCTCCTTGACAAAAGTAACTTCAACAAATTGCACAGCCTCACAAGGTATCAACACCCCGGATAATTAAAGCTTCACGATTGGCTGATTCTGTTTATACCTGCTGAACTAGTTACTAGTCACTGTTGTCACTGTCAGATCTCTCTAGTCTTCTAGTGTTTCACTGGCCTTCATTCTTCGCAGCACCCTTGCTGGTGAGCCGCTACACTGTGCCCTGTTGATGAAAATAATAAGATGCTGCCCTTGCCTCCGCTTCAAGGGGAATGGGGCATAATTCGGGAATTAAGACAAGAGACTATAATGGTTGTTTCGCACCCTGCGATCGCTCCTTGTGGGCAGTTCACACTCAGCTATGCTGAGACAAACTGCCTGGTCAGTGCATGAAGCTTGCTACCCCTCAGTTTCATCCCCTTGACAACGAACACTGATAATTCGCCTGTGCATTAATCTGGCAACACTAAGCTAGGATGGCACGGCCTTTGTTGACAAATGTCCAGCATAAATTATCAGTAAGAAGGCATTAATCCCTACTCTGTACTCTGTACTCCGTGGTAATCAAGATATTTATAGCACTGATGTAGGGTAATCCTTGCGGACGTATGGCACTGACCCTCTGGAACATGGGAAATTTACTATAATGCGGTTCAACCCTTAGAAGTGCAGTAACTCTTTTAGTTAACATGTGTACAGAGCAGTTGGCTTAAACTATCAACTAGTCAACAGGTGACTATTAAATTTATAGCTTTAAAGTATTACACCAGGGTGTGGTATGCACAACTGTGCATGATTAACAGGCACGAGTCATGTGTTATCACCATTATGGTGTTGCAACTGCGCAGTGTTGCAATAACGCAATCCGGCGGCCTGAGGCCGCCGGGCGGAGGAACTTCGGCGCCGAACTGGCCGCGTGCCAAGGCGGCGGCCAGTCACATGACGCACAGAACACCAAGTTCGACTCCGAACTCTGACTTAGAGAATCAGCGATTAGTTCCTACTACGAATACACGACGCCTTTCCTATTGCAGTAATTCACGTTCTCCTAAGCTCACCGCAGTATACAAACGCGACTCACATCATGTGACAGTGATATACTTAGGAAAGATATGCAATAAGTTAATTAGCATAATTAGCACAAGGGAGAATCTAGAAATTTTAGATCTTTAAAATCTACTTTTTACTTGTTACAGTAGACTGATATATTTTCTTAAGACCAAGAAAATAACTCACAGTGACTAAGAGATCTTTGAAGTCACAAGTATAAATAACTACCCTAAAGTTAGGTAATCCATATTTATTTGGACTGCATAATCATGACTCCACATTTCCGCCACTTCAAAGTTTTGCAACCACCAAGTTGACCTTGAGGGGGCTATAACCGCTAGCCCTACCGTAAGATATAGAACCTTTTTTCAGGGAATTGGAAGACATATCATTCTCTTGCTTGTAATCGTCAATCTTGACGCTACAAGCTCTATTCCCTAGCTGTGATGGAGGCGGAACTGCAATTACAGATTCCTGGCCTTGACCATGTGATCACTGAGTACTCAGTTGTAAGTGCAGGCTCACCCCAATAACTGCCCGAGTTCTAACAGAACCACAGGGGTACTTAACTCATGCCTCAAAAGCCTATGTTGAAGATGTGAATGCTCCATCTCCGGTGACAGAAGCCGCCGACATGGTTACGGAGCTGCTTGTCTCTGCTTCCGGTGACTTCTCCGCTCAAAATGAAGAGGCCATTCGTAACCTTGTAGAGAAGTTTATCTCATCTCTGAGCTCCTCCGACGGGGTTGATGCAGAGCGCAGACAAATGCCATTCGCCGCTAAGAAGCTCGACCAGGCCATCAATGTCGGTTCCCAGCGGAACATGTCGTCGACCCTTGGTTTGGCTGGAGGAAATGTTGACCTTGAGTCTGTTGGTACACGCAAGATGGAATCTCGCGTTGACCGCAAGAAGCTGGAGAAGGCGGAACGCAAGATCCGTGCCAAGCAGGAGAAGAAACAGATGAAGACAGTGCAGTACGAAGCATCTCGTCTGCTTAACGAACCAGATGCTGCTATGTCGTATGAAGAGTTCTTCATGGCTGTCAACCCTCTCCAGCTGGGCTCTGACTCTCAGGCCAAGAGTAAGGATATCAAGCTCGACGGCATCGATATCTCAGTTGGTGGCAACCGTATTCTATCTGAAGCCGCTCTTACGCTCGCTTATGGCCGCCGGTATGGTCTAGTTGGTCAGAACGGTATCGGTAAGAGTACGCTGCTCCGCGCTCTGAGTCGTAGAGAAGTGGCAATTCCAAGCCATATTTCGATTCTCCACGTCGAACAGGAGGTATGACTTATCTTGATTTATGCTTGGACGTCGCTGACAGTATAGATTACTGGTGATGACACGCCAGCACTGCAAGCCGTGTTGGATGCGGATGTGTGGCGCAAGCGTCTTCTTGCGGACCAGGAGGTCAGTTTCACGACCTTCAATATCAAAGCCTGCTAACACTGCGGTAGAAAATTACCAAACAACTTGCCGCCATTGAAGTGGAGCGCTCCTCGATGGCCGACACTTCTACAGACGCTGCGAGGCTCGACCATGAGCGAGAGGGTCTGGACATCACGCTGAATGATATCCACTCGAAACTTGCAGAGATGGAATCAGACAAAGCCGAATCCAGAGCAGCTAGTATTTTGGCCGGTCTTGGGTTCTCTCCTGAGCGACAACATTATGCAACGAAGACCTTTTCTGGTGGTTGGCGTATGCGTTTGGCTCTGGCTAGAGCTCTGTTCTGCGAGCCCGATTTGCTTCTTCTGGATGGTAAGCTAAGGCCATGACTCGGTGATGACAAGCCGCTGACTGTCACAGAACCTTCTAACATGTTGGACGTGCCGTCTATCACATTTTTGTCAAACTATCTTCAAGGGTACCCAAGTACTGTTCTCGTCGTTTCTCACGACCGAGCTTTCTTGAACGAGGTTGCTACAGATATCGTCCATCAGCACTCTGAACGTTTGGACTACTACAAGGGAGCCAACTTCGGTAAGTCTTAAACATCATATTCTCAGATACGGTACTAATTGGTCAGACTCCTTCTACGCAACAAAGGAGGAGAGGAAGAAGCAGGCCAAGCGCGAGTACGAGAAGCAAATGGCTGAACGCGCGCATCTGCAAGGTTTGACCTCTGCTCTTATCGCTCCATGAGAAACCGCTAACCTGCATAGCGTTCATCGATAAATTCCGTTACAACGCAGCCAAATCCTCCGAAGCCCAGTCAAGAATTAAGAAACTGGAGAAGATGCCCGTTTTGACACCCCCGGAGAGCGACTACGTTGTGCACTTCAAATTCCCCGAGGTGGAGAACCTTTCTCCGCCGATTGTGCAAATGACCGAAGTTACATTTGGATACTCGAAAGACAAGCTTCTGTTGAACAACGTTGATCTAGATGTCCAACTCGACTCTCGTATCGGTATTGTTGGGCCGAACGGTGCTGGTAAAACCACCGTACTTAAGTTGCTCACTGGACAGCTCGAGCCTACTTCTGGTCTCATGTCTCAGCATCCGCGGTTGCGCATTGGATACTTTGCGCAACATCACGTCGATGCTTTGGATTTGACAACCAGCGCCGTGAGCTTCATGGCCAAGACATACCCCGGAAAGACAGATGAGGAGTACCGTCGGCACCTTGGAGCGTAAGTTCCCCTGGTTCCTCAAAAATTGCAATTCTAACGGCTGCAGTTTTGGTATCACCGGAATGACCGGTCTACAGCGCATGGAGCTGCTATCTGGAGGTCAAAAATCTCGTGTCGCTTTCGCCTGCTTGTCACTGACAAACCCACACATCCTTGTTCTTGACGAGCCTTCTAATCACTTGGATATCGAGGGTATGGATGCGTTATCCGAGGCCCTACAGAAGTTCGAAGGTGGTGTGGTGATGGTATCTCACGATGTAACCATGCTGCGGAATGTTTGCACCAGCCTCTGGGTCTGCGACAAGGGAACGGTCCAGAAGTTCGATGGCACCGTCGACGCGTACAAGAAGAAGATCAGTGCTCAAGCGGACGAGGCTGGCGTGGCAGCAGCTCATTAGATACTATAGCTCAATACACTTAAATCGCTGATCTGCCAGTGTCCGCCTAACTCTTTATTATCACTATAAGAGACAATAACCCTATTGACTATCCAAGATCTAAACCAAGAATGTTACTCAAGCAGACCTATTACGAGCCCTGACCAAGCTCTCCCTCACACCCCAGCCATCTGCAAGAAGATCCTTTACGTCTTCAAGCTTGAGCCCATTCATCTCAGGGTAAATAGCACGCACTCCAAACCAGCCAATGATGCTAACAACGCTGTAAAGCGTAAAGACCAGGCTTGGAGACAGCAGCTCCATCATAGGGAGAAAGGTTAGCCCAATGATAAAATTCGAGCCCCAGTTTGTTGCAGTCGCAAGAGCGGACCCGAGTGACCGCACGTTCAAAGGAAAAAGCTCCGATTGTTGCCAGGGGACATTGCCTAGGCCAAAAGCGTAGGCTGCAGTGTAGATAGTGAGACATAGTAGGATGACCAATGGGAGAATGGAGCTATGCGGCGCAGCTTGACGAGCGTGTGCCTCTGGCGAGTTGTTTGGCAACTCCACAGAGGAGAATGTTAGGGCGCAGACAAAGAGCGAGATGGCCATGACTGGTATTGAGCAGAGGAGGATACGGCGGCGCCCAATCCGGTCGATGTAGACAAAGGCAAGCAGCGTGAAGATGAAGTTTGTCATGGCAACAGATAACGAAGTAAGGGTTGGCGAGGAGAACGAAAGAAGGGAAAATATTGTCGCTGAGAAATACATGAGACTGTTGAAGCCGCATAGTTGCTGCAATGCTTGGAGCATCACGGCGATTGTCAATGCCCTTCGATTGCCCCCTATCTGGAACAAGTCATGCGCTCGCTGTTTAACGCCTGCACCCTCGGAAGTTTTGGTGACAGCCTCCTCTTCGGCAACCTCCTGCTGAATATCCCGCAAGGTTTGCTTCGCGATTTGGTCGTCTTGATAGACCTTTGACAGGATACCCCGGGCTTTGTCTTCGTGACCTGCCTGCACCAGCCATCGCGGTGTCTCAGGTAAAGCTATAACGATGATGAGCTGGAAGATTGCCGGAAGCATTCCCAAGCCGACAATCCAGCGCCATCCTCCATCAACATAAGAGAATAGCCAGCCGACGATGTATGCCACCACTTGACCACCAGTAATAAAAAGACTCAATATGGTGACAAGCCTGCCTCTTGCATCTGAAGGTGCTAGCTCCGATATATACCTGGAGCTGTTAGCTTCATATGCTCCACGTGCCGACGCTGCACCTACAAGGGGGTAACCAAACTAGCACTGCCAACTGCAAGGCCAACAATACTTCTACCAATAATCATACTCCACACTTCGCTCGAAGCAGCCTGTATAAACGCTCCGACGGTAAACAAGATGTCCGCGACAAGGATGACCTTCTTCCGACCGAGCCTATCCGCCAAGATTCCAGCGAGCGGGCTTGCGATGAGGGCAAATAGACTTGTGCAGGACGTAATGAGGCTCTTATCCAAGGTTGTAAGGGCCCGGTTCGAGAGATCGGAGCCGATAGATACAAGGGTGGATGAAATAACGCCGGTGCTGTCACGATTTTGTCAGTTGCAAACTCGGAGCCATAGAAATCGGGCAAATATGTACTCATATCCAAAAAGGAGACCGCTAATTCCAGCGGAGAAGGTGAGATACCATATAAACCGACTACTTGAGTGCCTGGGCTGGTCTACCTCGTTATGCTGCCTCGCTGGAAACTCCGGAGCGAGGAGCGGAGCATGGGCGGCAGACGGATCGGCTTCGTCTCTGCTAGTCATGGCTGGACCTCGATCCTTGTTGGAGTCATCGGCGATGAGCTGGGAATGTACTCCTAAATAATATATTGCTGTCCCTAAGAGCGGTCGGTTCCTGAGTTGTGTCAAAATCATGGGGTAAGCTCGGAGTTGGAGCTCACGAGAGTGCCGAGACCCACACGACCGCTTCTAGAATTTGAAAGATCAGATGTCGACCTCACAAGGACTACGGACTTGTCGACGCTAAACAGAGGATGGGTTCATGGGTCTGTCTCATGTCTCCCTGTAATAACTTACTAAAAGTTTTCGACTGCATAGCCAGGGGCTCCTTAAGAGACATCATACGCGCCAGAAGATGAACGGCCCCTTTGCACCAGTAGCCTCATCTGCTCGAGGATCCCACCAGTGCCCAACCATAAGCGAGCTCCCAGGAACAAGCACTGCCTCATATCCATAGATATAGTCGAAATCGGTATCCATATCTATTGGCGGCCATAATCCATTGAAGAAGGAACTTCCCAAGTCTTGCCCCTGTTCCTGTTCACCATCCGAGACTTTAGTCTGTTTATACGCGACCCAGCAAATGCGCGACCAGCATTCACGGAGCCCGGCGCCGTAGATGCCCTCAATGAAGCCCCGTATCGCAATCGAGCGACTTTCGCTGGATCCGTGATACGTCTGAATACCGCGGAAGAAGGTCGTATCATGGGTATACTCGGTTACGAACTTCTCAAACAGATCAGGCCAGTTTTTGGGATCATCATGTATATCCAGTTGGAGCGTCTGGCCGAGGAGTCAATGGTCAATTTCTCGCTGGTATTGGAAGACACTATTAATGCTCACAATATGCTCAACTTCGATGATGTGGCCGCTCCCGTCAGCACAGCTATGTCGGACCTCGAGATCACTTGAAGTAGGTGGATAAGGGCAGAAACATGCTGAAATAAGCTGCTTATTAGCAATTTCTTTATTGAGTCAGAGCTGTGGATGAGACTGACACTCATAACCAAACCAAGACAGATGAAGCTTTCGCTTTTCGTGATATATGGTGCCCAATAAATCAGGATTTCCTGGCCTGTGGCAGTCGGGTAGACTCAAATACGAGTTATAGAATATACTTTCTTCCGGATTGAGGAGGTGGCGGACCCAGAAATTCCGTATATGCAACGCTGTTTCGGTTGAGAGGTGGAATTTGTCGCTGACTAGCCCCGATTCTGTGTCGGGACATGCGTACACGATTCTGGCATCATAGTCGGTCCGTAAACATTTAACAGACATGAAGGGATCCAGGGCCAAGTATGTGAATGCCTGTAGAGCAGATTGAGCCAGTAGCCTTTATCATGGTCCGGCAAACTCACTAGTCGAACAGCACAGAACAAATCCGAAGGCAGATCAGGCTTCTCCATCAAATGCCCGCTTACAGGGCGATTCAGAAACTCAGTTCCAGCAAGTACCTGGCGAAAATGGTCGAAGTTTTTGCTCCACCCCTTGCTCTCCTTTTGCCAGAGACCTTCCCTGACCATGTTTCCCACAAGTTCAAGCCAATATGTTTGCCGTTCTTTCTGGCCATGTCCGAACTCCACAGTCCTTGGAAGGACCAAAGCTCGAATCTGATATTCGATCTTGTAATCAACAAGAGTACGGTGCGGCAAGTCGTCGTAAGTATCTCTAAACAACCTTCGCCATATATGAGATTCAGCCGGTAGAATTTTATCTTTCAGGCCTTTTGAGCACAATGCAAAGTTAACCCTGTCTGTGTTTTCGGGCAAGAAGTAGGCGACATGCTGGATCAGCTAAAATTGAATGTGTTAGAGAAGTCATGGAGTGTTGCACAGTTTCACGTACCTCGGTGGGCATTTGAAGCAAATAATTCTGTTTATTACTGCTGGGAGCAGGGACGAGATCATTCGATGCCGGCGCGTCCTGCATTGTATGACCAGCAAAGATCGAACTATGGGTCACCTTGAATGATGACAGGGACTGGATGTGAGATCGACGAGATCTATGTGCTTCCAAAGAGCGCGATCAGATGTGACGACGAAAGTGACGAAAGGATTGGTGTGCCTTATGAGGGCTTAAGCGTATGAAGAGACCGACAGGTTGGAAGATCTTGAAAAGAAACAAACCCCCCGAGAAGTGAAGTGTTGAAAGATCGATGATGTCGTCGAAGCAGAGGCAGATGAGGGAGCTGGCGAGCTCAAAGCAACAGACGTAGGTGACGAGACGAAAACAGAAGCAAGGCCAAGAAAGCATGAAGTAAGTTACGTTGTATGTATGAATTATTGGCATTCGAGTGAACATCAGATGTCTTATCTGATACTTAGGTCTCTCTTTTCCTTAGAATTGAAGCTCAAGAAAAGCCAAAGGCAAAGCCAATCGAAAGCGAAACGGGGAGTGAGTTGACATGAAGTTTTATCTCCTCAATTTAGGAGAGTTGGGAGCAGATGAATCATCTGACTGTACTTAGACGGCTGAATTTGAAGGCATATTTATTTAAAGCAAGCAATGTACGCGGTTGCGGGTTGGCATAGCTTGTTCAGTCGCATGTAGGCTTTGGACCCAGGGATAGGCTAATTGACGAGCTATAGGGTAAGCTCAAGATACTAGAGGATCAGATCATCCAGTTCGGTTTGTTTAGAGAAGATGTATTAGCGGATCAGCCTAAAGGTCTAGGTTTTCTGAGGCTGGATATAGACGGGTAAAAATGATGTTGAATAGAGAGACGACAAGTCTGGGAACACGATCATTCTTCAATGTCCTTTACCTTCTCCCATTGCCCCCGCAAGTTTTCCTTCCACAGACTGACCTTGTTGTCCCCCCCACTCACTGCAAGGATGTTTCCGCTAGGGCTCCAGCTCACCCGCCACAGGACATTGTCAAAATCAAGCACATGGCTCGTCCACTGTCCAGGGTTTGATACATCGGCAGTCCAGACCCGAACGGTCTTATCTTGCGATGCAGAGGCAATGTATGACTTGGAAAGAATGCTGGGTGACCAAGCAACGTCCCGGACCCAATCGGAGTGGCCTTCCAGCGTCTGCGTAGTATTGTAGGTCTTTGTCTCAGGGCTGGTAGAACAGATGTTAGCAACTTCAGCTTCTAGTACAAGAAGGGTAGCCGCACTTGTAATCCCAAATCTTGAGCAGGTTGTCACTACCGCCTGTTACGAATCTCCGCTGCTGCCCAGACCCAGGGTTTGAGCTGACGAGACTACCGGGGGCGGAGGCAGGTGCCCAGCTAATAGAGTTGACGCCCATGCCGTGGGCGTGGAAGATTTGATGGGTCCAGCTGTTGTCGCGGAACTCGAGGACAGAGACATGACCGTCAGATGAAGCGCAAGCAAGCAGGCATCCGGTTTCATGCGGAGCCCAAGATATCATGTTCACAGAGGCGGTGTGAAGGGAGAAGTCGAAGACTTTCGTCCAGGCACCGCTGCCGATAGGGGCAGTGGAGCTCTGGTGTTGTTCGCGCCAGATGAGCACTTTCCCATCATATGATGAGGACGCCAGAATCGTGCCAAACTTCGGGTGTGCCTGTGATGTCGGAAGAGATGAATTAGTCGGGCGTTGCTTATACGCTTGCGTCGGTCCTCTAAGTACGTACCCACTCGACGCACCATACTGGACCTTCATGACTGCGGACTCGCATTAACAATTGATGTATTTAAAGCATATTGGTCGAAGAACCTCACCCCTTCAAGGTCTCGACAAGCTTGTGCGCCTCTCCCTCAATCTCAAATATCTTTATCGTCTTGTCGGATGAGCATGTTGCCAATCGGCGTCCGTAGTAATCAAGGCCAGCGTCGTGCTGCGGCGAGAAAAAGTCAGACCAGATATAGCATGAGATAGTTTGAAGTCAGGGCCCTTACAATCATGTCATCATGACCAGAGTTCGAAATCACTTGAGCGGCCGCCTGGACTCCGGACAAGGAGGTAAGCCAAGGTCCCGCAACCGCTTTGGAGCAACGAGCTGATTTGACAGAGACGACGTACCATTCTGGGCTATCTGCAGCTCTAGTTCAACAGAATTTGGTATATTATGAAAGCAAGAGAATATTATTGCAATTGTGGTGATAGCGAAACAGCAGAACAACGGACCAACAGCAGCAAAACACCAGCTGGTCCGTTCGGGGTCCATTTCGTGTGGGATCTTATCTTATCGAGAGCTGAGTCAGCGGCGTCGGCACGTGAGAATCGGGCCTCGGCTCTCTTTACGTACGGAGTACTTGCCCCACGCTGGCCTCGTCGCCTCCGGATTCCGGACACTGTCCCTTCTCGGCCATTCTCTTTCTGTTTCTCTTTCTCTTCTTAACCCTGATACTTGTATATTTTGAAGGCCACTTCATACTTTTCAGCTCGCTGTATCCTTCATTAGCCCCCGGCTGTGCAAGGGATTCGCTGTGTAGTCTGAGGAATACTACCGCGTCGCCCTCATTAGTTGGCAAACATGGGTGACGCCCTGTGTGGACCGTCCAACGCGCTACAGAACTTTCAGAAGCATGTTTCTGTGGACCGGACTCTGCAGCAGGACAGGCTCATCTCGCGGCAGTCTCCCTCACAGGTAAGCCAGTGACCGTACTCAATCCCGACGGACGCTGACGTCTTTGTCCTAGGGCTTTCGCTCTCAAAACCCGAGTGAAAGGATCCTAGATCCTGAATTTGCTGCCTTTGAATCGAACAACTCTGTAGGGGCCACTTTACCCAACATTCAACATGGAGGCCACTTTATTACGCCCGCTCCACATATGCCCATGTCCCATCCCGCCGACCCGCCGAACTGGGCAAGCGATTTTCAGAACCTTCATATCTCAGGGCCATCACAGCCTATCAGTCATCAGCCTGGGCCATCTGCAGCTACCATGTCGACAGTGCCACATCAAGCTTGGCACAGCGAGTTCTTAAGGCAGCAGCAGCAACAACCCCAGCACACGCCCGCGCTGCAACAGAATCAACCTTCTGGTCAAATGTTCCAACCATCACTTGCACCTGCCTATGCCATGGCCGGATTACCAATGGGTACTTACGGATTGGGACCGGAGACGGTTCAATCTTCGGGAGTTGGAGCGCTCGATGACTCGGCCTTCGAGGCTGCATTTGAGCAGGCCAAGGCGGACATGGCTTTTCAGTTCGAGGAGTCGGCAGGTGAAACGAAAGTCACCGAGCACAATTTCAATCATGAAACTGAAGAGGTGGCAACTCAACCAATAGCTCAGGGAACAATACGGATTGGGTCCGACACTATTCCGCAAGTCGACAAGGACGATCCTCAAGCGGCGGAGAACGAGGCAGACGAGCTTGCCCGGACCGCGGGCCACTTATTGAACAGCGTCAGTCATGAGACGAATCAAAAGTTCCGAGATAGTAATTTCCTGGCGTTAATGCGGCGCATACGAGACCGTGAGGTCCAACTCGAGGGAGATGAATTTCGCGAAGTCAGTGGTCCGTGATTGTCGTAGATTTCGACTGGCGTGACCAGCGCGCTGGTATAATCGAAGCGTTCAAACTGGCCTTTGTCTCTGCTAATCAGCGTTCAGACTGCGCAGTCTTTGCATCCTGGTGGGCCGTATTATCCGGAAGGTAAACGGCAAGAACTTGAGAAGAAGAAGTCCTGGAGGCCCATTGGCCAAAACGACTATGTTCACATTACACCCAATGACAGAAGTAAGTTCAGTGGCACGGCTACGCCAAGCACTCTACGCGCCGAGCAAAGACACAGGCTCCGAGACCTGACTGCTCCTCAACAAATAGATGTTATCTCAGAACGCATGACGTCCCATGTCACAGGCGTCGCGGTCTCGAACACACCGACTGCCGAACCCACGGGAAGCCCGGAGTCAAATGATCATGACTCGATCTACGCAAGTTGGAATCACGGTGACCGTTGGGCTTAGTTTATGCTTATCCCCATTTCTGTTTGCGAACTAGCGGAGATCACCTATAGCATTAGACCATTGCATGCCCGATTGGGACAAGGCGTTTCACTTTTGGCTACCCTATTCAAGAATATTTCGCTTGAAAGGAATTTCAAACTCCTCATTGTATTGGTAGTTATTATGTTTTCAAATTGCGGTGCACCCATCCTATTGACAGCTGGCCGAACACGTGATACCATTGAAGTCCTATTGATGGAGCGAGAACAATCGGAGCGTCTCAATAAGCGACTACCACCCTTGACCTGATTGTTGCGCTTCCCTCCTATTGAGCCCATCTCCCGTCAATTGGAGTGGGCCATTTACACTAAACTTCCCAGTTTTCTTTTTTACGATTGTGATTGTTGTGCTGATTGATCATCAATTTTGACTGACCAGGGTTGGGTCACCCTTGCGAGGATCATGGACGGTTAGGAGTACTATATATTGGCGCACCTCCAATGGCTGTCTCTATTTTCGTTATAGTACTCTATCTACTATTTAGTCCTCGCAGTTGATACAGAAATACTGTGGAGTATTTTCTCTGATCCCACGGCGTTGTCTTCATATCTTCCCGGCGCGCAAGAAGTTAGCCCTAATTTACCGTTGTATACAACATTAGCCCCTATTCAACCCGCGCCTACGACCTTCACCAACGTCTCCAGAAGCTCACATTTGAAACCCAAGCTAGGCCTCCAGCGACCGCTATGGCCACTATAACCTCTCAACCACCTCCTCCCAGTTATACGGCAGCCATCGCCGCCCAAACTATACATCCATACGATGACGACGATTATGATGAGCACGATGATGACTACTATAATCACGATGATTCGGCCGTATACTATCCAAACACAACACCCATTAATCACAATCCCTCGAAGACTATAACGATAAAACTGGACTTATCAATCAATATACATGGCGATGGAAACACCCTCGCTATTGCCTCGCAGCAAGTTCGAGACCAAACGCAGCCATCGAACTCCAGATCCAAAGTCGCAAACACCACAGCCTCCATCATCGCCGCCATCCAGCAATCAGGGATCATAGCGCAAAGGCTAGATTCCGGTTCCGGCTCCGATTCCAGCTTTGATTCCAGCCCGGCTGCGGCATCCACTACTGTGCAGATCAACATCGATGCAGGGGTCAGAGTTCAGGGGAGTCGGAATATGGTCTGTTTCGGTGTTCGGCCTGGTGCACGATCCCCTGGGTCGAAGAACAATATGGACACGAACATCTATAATGCGAGGAAGAGGCGGGCTCAGTCGGTATGCTCTTTCTTGAATCATTTGCTTGTTGCGATCCCTCGAGCTGACTTCCGTAATGGTAGGAGCCCGCTCTTAGTGAAATGGAAGGGAAACGGTGGAGGAGATGCTAGTTAACCATTTCGGTAGTTGAACTTGACATTGTTTCAAGCAATTCCGATGTTGCTTGTGTATTAGGTCGGATTGAGCCAGCACCTTCCGGCTGCTTTAGCGAGTTGGCGAGGTACAGGTTTTCTATCTTAGAATCATTGACTCAATGCTCATTTTATGACTTATATACCCATTATGAGGCTTATCAAAAATTCTAAAGACGACCCAACGTAGTAAGCATCTTTGTAACCTATGAGACGATTTCTATTCTGCTTTTCACCTGATCTAGCAGTAGAGAAACGGAAGGTATAAAAACCACCGTCACATCTGACACGCAAGTACACACGTCCACAACGTAAAGATTCGTTATACGGATAATAATAATAAAAAAGTAAACGAGAAAAAGCAAGAAAAAATAGAGTAGGTACAGTACGCCAGTGCTGACTGGGAAAGGTTCATTAGATATCATGGCCAAGCATAATAATAGTACATGGACTAGGTAGGTTCCAAAATGAAGACGGCTGAAGCATGACTGCCATCCTGTGTTAAGACAACGAGTCATGCTAGCGGTGAGGTCGGGCCCTTGACGGGAACAGGCAGAGTAGGTTGCGGGATTTAGTTCCCCGATGAAGTGATCGAGACGCTGCTCATACGCGTCCGACGGGTAAGTCGTGGCGGTGTAGATTTCTCGACCATTCAGGGACAACCTTGTCTCGCTCGTAAAGAAGACCACAATTGTGACAGAGTGTCTGTATATATGTTAGTGAGGGAAGATGATCCGGACTGAGTTTGCATACCCTTGGACCAGCGGGTCCGTCTCGTACAGCCCATACTGCTGAACCCCAGACCATGCAGTTGCTGCATCGCCAATTTTGTCGTTCCCTACGGTTGTTAGTTAATGATATAGGACAAGGGCAAGAAATACCAACCAGTCGGATAATGTACCGCCACCTCCACCGTAACCGGCGCCTGATCCGGTGTCTGGGGTGCCTCGCCCACCAGGTGTACCTCCCCTGCCGGACGGACTGAGACTACGGAAGCGTCGCTTTCGCTTATTCCTCTCGCCTCGTCCCAGGGGCGTCTCGCTATCAACATCGAAAAAGCCACTTCCCTGTCGTGAAACTTCTGGCGTGATGCCCGCCGTGGAGGAAAACCGAGCTGTTTCGCGACGTAAGCGTCGGATTTGTCGCTCGCGATCTCCCTCACGCTTCTCGATCTCTTCCTTGGACAGAGTCTCAACTTTGGGTTCCCACTCGTCGCCGAGACCTTCGGGGTCGTATCGCCAACCCGCTTCAGCGCCGTTCGCCGCTTGGTTATCGATTTCAGTTCCATAGCTGCCCAGACCGCTGATAAGACCGCCATTTTCGCAGACCTCTTTTTTGAGCTTTAATACTGCCTCATAGATCCCATGGGCAATAGCCCCGACCCATTCCCCGCCCAGGCCAAGGTCCGCGCAGGTAACCCTCGCGAATTCCTCAGCCATCCCTGGAGGATGTAGAAGAGACCACTCGAATTTGTCTGTATACAGCTTATTTTGTAAGTTGATATTCAGATTAATCATGCACCTGTACGTATCGTCCGGATTCAGGATGCTGTCGTTCACGAATGGTTCTTTCGTCGCTGTCACCAGAGTGCCTCGGCTGTCTGGCGTCGCAGCATGCGTAGGCGCGGGAGTGGCGGATACATCACGCGAAAGACCTGTTTGCGAAGCAGCTGGCTTCGGCTGTGTGCTTTGGAATAATGGATGTAGCGCAACGCCGGCGTATTCCTCTAATTGTTGGCGGATCTGGGTAGCAATCGCCAATGTCATCGCGTGCTGGTTGGGAAGGTCCAAGTCATGGACAAATCCATTGGCAAACTCTTCAGGTGTAGAGAATGCTTCATGCAGGTTCCACATGAACGTGTCTTTGATTCGAAAAGCTGGCAATGGGTCTGGTCGCCTGTACGCCGGCAATGTCGGGTTAATCGCTGGGTCAAGAACATGCCGAGGAAACTGGAAAGGTTCGAAAGGTTGATGCGCCGGGACTTCGAGGTCAATTCGGATGGGTATAAGGGTGAGAGGAAGCTGTGCTTGGATCTGCAATTGGTCGGCACACCTAATCCAAGGACGGCGCAAATCAGCAAGGACCGAGAAAGACTGGTTCATTGAGGAAACACATACGCGGGCCGTATCATCTTTTTAATCACCCACTCCCGAAATATCCCTTGAACCTCTACTGGCGCGTGTGTCTCCTTCCCTAACTTTTCCGCCAGTGCCACCTTGTCAAAGGAGGATTCCTCGCGTCGAAGACTTCTTAGACCTGTAGGGCGCCGGGGACCTTCGCTATCATCAAAATCGTCATCGTCGAAGCCATCTTCCGCGTAATTAATTGCTGCAGTCCCTCGTTTCGTGGTCCGCGGTGTCGGACCAACTTGAGTCTGAGGAATGACAGGTGTGAAGAGCGCGTTCGCATATTGACGCAGCCGTGGTGGGTAGGATGTGATATATCCTCTAGAAGGGGACATGTTGGCCATTTAGATGGTCATTAACATGTCCCTGTCGTGCAGTGTCTCGGCTCTTGGGGGCGTTATGAGCCGCAATCTGCGATAGATAAATACCGTCTGCGAATTTGATCGTTCAAGAACCGGCGGATGAGTAAACGGAGGTGATTGCAAGGGGACGGCTCTAAGTTGCGTGCGTAGGAGTTGCGTCTAATAACAGGTACCTTCGATTGAGTAGATTTCAACGAGTAAATCGCGTGCACTCAGTTAAAACCAAGAATAATTCCAGCGAGACTTGAAGATGGGGATCGCGCTCAAGCTCCGCGTTTTACCAAAGGATGCACTGCGCTATACCAATTCCAGAGCCACTATCACGTGACCAGAACTTGCAGCTTGGATTGGAAAGGATCTAGGGGGTATCGGGGTCGGGGAGGTTCAGCATTCTGCCAGAAGATGTCTATAGACACCGGCAATTCAATAAACAAGGCCAGTATGTATCCTCTGTATGATAGTTGGTATTATCTAGTAAGGCTGTTGAAAGTATCGGGCATGTGCTATCTAGCGGTTCGTAGAGGGCAAAGTATAGGACAACCTGAAAGGGTAGACAGGGTACGAGGCGGGCGGAATAGAAGAACGACGCAGACAAATCAATGCATGGAGGCCGGCCTGCGATTAAGCACTATAAACATGATCACACAAGCTCAGAATGACAAGCACCAAATAATTCACAGATGCCATTTTTTCTGGTCTGCGGATAGACTCTGAAAACTAGGGGATATCGTAAATTCCGCGAAAAAAGCGGCTCCAAGGAATAGGATACAGATTGCTGATCATAACATTGTGTCTTTGGTATGCATCGGAACGCGACTGGTGAGAGGTATGCGGCGGTAGCTGGTATAACGAGACAAAACAAATGAAAGAAAGTTTTCAGGGCTAGTCGTCAAGACTATCGGAGCCCAATTACGCTCTAAGGGCGTGTGAGTAAATTGGATAAGAAACAGCACGGGAAACCAGGAGACTTACCATTTCTAGGGTCCAGACCCTACGAATCCAAATCTTGATTTTGCCTTCAACGCCTTCGACGTCGTCCAATTCAACGCCTTCCCACCAGCATCGTCGTGCTGGCTTCCGCCAGAAGAGAAGAAGCTTTTGGGCCATTCCAACATTGTTGCTGGCGAGGTCACCCCTGATGTCGGTTCGAAGCTTAGCCAATGCAAGGCTACAGATTACCGCTTTATTAGGCTCCGGGGCCCGGTGGCCCCAATGATCCTCACGATCGAACCCCCTACCGCCAAGTTAGTTCTTTGATGGCAGGGCAGTTGGAAAACCAAGGAGAGCTTACCCTGCGGTGAGCATCTCAATTAGATGTTGCTCTGTAGAACCAGGCTCATCGCTTTTCCTTAGCCCTGAAAATATACCATCTTGTCGTAAGAGCGCCTTTGCAGCGTTCCTCTTAACCTCCATCATCTCTCCGTGATCGATGTCTGGTCGAGGAGGAATGACATAAAAGTCTAGATCTTCGCGTAAGACAATAATTCCCGCGCGATCCTGGAGCATATCTCTTGTCGAGCCCTGCATAGAATCAGGAGCTACGTCAAGGTCTGGAGAGGCAGACGCTGAGGATGGGATAGACTGGGCGACGGAACGGAAGAAGTCTAGCATATATTGGAGTGAGGCTGGATCATACTGAAACAAAATATTAGCACCATTAAGCTTAATTAGAAAAACTGCTCGAAAGAGCTTATTAACTTACATCAACAGGATATACATCGCTTTCGTGGAAGCCATTCATATGCCCGTCCGGAAGTAAACCATTCGGGAAAAGTGACAGCAGGACAAACTCCGGTAGTGTCAATAATTCGTCGCGAGATAGCGTAAATCGAGTACCCCTACCAGGTAATTAGACCTTGAGTTCGATGGCGCAACTAGATAAGTCCTTACCGAAGATCCAGAGTAATGTGCTCGTCGCCGCCAACATCTAAAACAACCAGCCCATTAGCGATCAGACCGTTGAATTATGATCAGGTGGAACTCCGAATGCGCATACCGCCAAGTGTGTTAATCGGAGGCCCTCCCGTTTGTTGTACCTGAGTAATAATACTCGACGCGCCCCCTGCTGCCGCCATAACGTATGCGAATGAGTAAATAGGGCTAGATCCCTCAGTGTATGGAGGAGGAGGTTCTCCTTCGTCAGAGCTCTGGTCTCCCTTTGGATCTCGAGCGAAAGATGACTTGGTTTCCGCGACTAACGCCGAGGACGGCTCGGGCTCTAAAAGACCCCCGTCGGAAGGTGGAGAAGTAAAGGTAGCGCAGCTCGGTTCGAAAGCTGTAGGCTCTGGGCGATGAGGATCACTTGTGGATGCGAAAACGAGCGATGAGAATGGGGGTGGACAAGAAGAGGCGAAGCTAGAGGATGAAGCTTCTGAGCAGGGGGAATGCGGCGGCGGTGCGGTATAGGAATCGTCCTGGTGGTGAGGCGGCCGCGCCGTGGGAGGCGAGCCACGAGAATCCGGTGGCCACGACAAGGCGTCGAAATGCGTAGCGATGGGCTTGGGGGGCCGTGATGTAGATGAACTGACTGAGGGGAGTCGACGTGGACTAAAAGGTCGTCCGCCCCGTTGTTCGGAGGTGATCCAGACTCTAGGATCCTACTCTTGTCGATCAGGAGCCCACCAGTCAGGCTTGTCTGCACATGAAAGCCGGAAGAATCCTGGAGGAAATGAACAAGTCGAGAATTACCAGAGGGAATTGAGAATATGACGGTGAGATACAGTCTATAGCAAAGATAGTAGTTGTGAGGCAAGGGCAATGAAAGAGGAGAGGAGAGGGATGGCAGGAGGCGCTTAAGGCCATTGGCGGCCATGCTCCATCTGGAGGCTGATCCGGTGCCCGAGAGGAGATCCTAGATGCCACGACCACGTTCGATGCCACCGTTTCTTGACCAATCTACTCCGTACGCCCATGATACACACAGATTTACCACGCCCGAGCATACTTGCCTTCAGAAGCTCTAAGTTTCTATATGCTCTCCTGAGAAGCTTACGGGTTGGCTTTTCCACGTGATTAGCACTAAATAAGGACTAGCGCTATATACTCAAGCGTAATAATGAAGACATATGTACACCCTTTCGCCTGCATAAGAAAGACCCACGGGGCCAATTAGCCACGCTAGTCATCATACCCATACAGAAAGTATTACCACAACAGGTGGTCCTTCCTTTGCTGCAGGCCAAAGGGTGGGCCAAAGGGTGCATATGTATGGCCTTCAAATGAGATAACGGCTGTCAATTTGCAAAAGTCGTGTAAATAGGGCTCAAGACAGCTGGCGGTGTTCAAACGTTGCGCTCGACAAAGCTCTGGATGATACCTTCAAGTGTCGGCTCATACTCTTTGAGAATGACTTCGTCACCGTTCAGAATGGTGTTGCCTTGCACAAACACCTTTCGGGGTATCTTGTTCTTCAGAACGATATCGCGGACTTTGGTTCCCCACCACTCGTCAACGGAAGTGATATCGTCGTAGAGTGCTTTGCCTGCCTCAACATCCGCCGTACTCTTGTATACGTGTAGCTTCTGTAGATATTTTTCCACAGCGGGCCGTCCATGGCTAAGAATTTTGGCGCGGTCCAATTTGATTTTGAGGTCGGACAAATCCTCCTTGGTATAAGCGAGCTTGACAAAATCGTCACCGGCGTCGAGGAACGTGCGTAGGATACTGTACCGGGCCTGCATGTGAGCCTGCCCCCACTTCTTGGTCTTGGGGTCCCAAAACTCCAGAGCGACCAGGCCTGCACGAGCCATTTGCAGGTATGCAGCAAACAGAACATCACCTGCCTCATTTGAGATATCTTTCTTTCCATCTCCGAAGCCGAAAATCTTGAGGATGCTGAAGTCGCAGCTAAGGACCATAGCAACGCATTCGGCTCGGCACTCTTCATATGAAGATGCGATCGCCCCGAACACGGAGCTCCAAGTTTGACCAGGTTTATACCAGGAGGAGACAGGCTTCCCGGTTACTGGGCTGATCGGCGGATTGGACACATCAAAGTTATACTCGCCCGGAGCAGTCTCCTGAAGCAACTTGCCGGTACCATGTCCCAGGAGTTCATGGATACCGACCTGAACCTCAAATGCAGGATCACGGCAATTGCGGTAGACCTCTTGGTCCGCCTCAGGAATAAACGGGATCGGTTCATCGGGCGCCTTGGCTGAGAGTACGTTCCCTAAAGAAACATTCTTGAAGCCTAGGTTTTGGCGAATATCATCGTAATTAGGAAGATTGATACCAGCAGGGATACCGGACGACTGGAAACTCAGGACTTCTAGTGAAGTGAAATCGGGGCTGAGGAACTTGTCTTTCTCGAAGTCCTCACCCCAAGGCAGCTTAGGAATCATGCTCTCTGCACTGTCTACGAGTTTCCCAAAAGCTCGAGTGCGCTCTAGATTGACCTATTCTAGTGTTGGTTCGACCATAGTATTCTGAGGGTAGCGTAACTCACCAAAGCAACAAATCCCTCCCATTCTCCCCTTACTCCATGAGGATCCCTGTATGTCTCGACGAATCCGAGGTTAGTCTCCAAAACGGGCTTCTGATCTTTCACCCATAGGCGTTGACTCTCTTTGACCGCCTCGATAGACCCAGCACCGAATGATAGAGCGTACGCATCGAGCATCTTCTTTTGAATATCATTTGCTGCGTGCAGACCTGCTTGCTTGACGCTGTGAGCAATCTTCGCCATCTCCTCCTTATGGTCACCGAACACAAAGTGCACTTTCTTTCCCTTCAGCTGACCATCCAGATCAAAAGAATCTGCATCTCCTAGGTCTCTGTCTCGGGCCGGAGGAGAGGAAACACCAGAAGCGAGCAGCAGCTCAAAGTCGCCCGATGCCGTCTTTCGGAGTCTGGTATTCTCCAGCGGCATGCCCTTCTGCTCGAAGAAGTCTCCAATGGCTGTGATTTCATCTTTGGTGATAGTTGGCGAATCGGGATAGTACGAAGTCATGTGCCCAGCTTCTGGATAACCAAGGTGCATGAGAGACTGCTCCCTTGTTTCGTAGATACCTCCTCCCGTCGTGTTGGCTTTCTGGAACGCAGCTTTCGTCTCGGCCGTGGCCGAAGCTAGAGCTTCAAGAGCGTCGACTGGTAATCGCGGAATGAACTTTGCGTCACCAAAGCCCTTGTAGTTACCACAGTTTCCGAGAAACTGAGCAGAATATTCCAGGAAAAAGCGAAGGTTTTCATCGCTGACGTTCGTCTTCGTAGCCAACTCGGGCCAATTCCCATCGCAGGCTCGATACAGCGCAAGAATCAAGTCGTAAATAGGTTCAGACTCCGGTGAGACCTGGCGGAGCGTTATCCGGGTTCCTTCAAAGGCTGCTCTAAGATTTGAGGATAATCCAACGGTTAGTGTTATCGCCCACAGATGAAGGAAACGGTAGGAAACGAACCGGCTAATATAATGAGCGTATTTGCGTAGGTTCTTGTCCTTGAGATTGTCAAAGTGATGTTTCACCTCAAGACGGACCACGCTGGGAGGCGAGTCGGCGAGATAGTGTTGTTTAACATTGGCATCCATGATCGCTGTCGTTGATGAAAGGTGTTGGTGGTTTGTCGAAGAGAAAGGGAGTCGACGAGTGAGGGGATGGAGGAGCGTGGAGGGGCGGTGGAGGATGGAGAGCAAGCGCCTGCATACCCCTCTTTGTAGAGGGAACATGGATACCACCTCTCGTGTAGCTGAGAGCAACAATGCCTAGCCCAGTCTTGACTACGTCAGATTCCCGACCCGAGTCCCAATGCCAGAGCTTGCTTGGCGTTAGTGGGGATTCCATATTAACCGTATGATCTACTCCGTAGAGTCTGTACTAACAATGGCAAAAAAGCACGCAGAAGCCATACTGTTTCACCAAACGTGTAAGAATCCGCGAAGTCTCTCAGAGCATGATGAAGGAAGCGCTATCCAGTGATAAGCCACATTACTAACTAGGAATCACCCAAGCTTCGAGTATGCTTCGGGTTACGTTATGCTGCTCCAAAACGGGGACTGTTCAGAAGTCGAGGTCATGGCTCAATTATATCGTCAAAGTAGCTAAGCTAAATGGGAATAATGCAGTGATCTACATATATATACTCAGTGTACCGGCGAGCGGTCGAGATTCGCTGAAGTTGTGTAAAGAAAATGATGCAAGAAGGTAAGGAAACACCAAGTAGTCGGGCATTGTCATGCCATCATCATATCAGGCTCTGGTATTTGTCAAGCCCTTGTTTCTGGGTCCCTTGTTGTGGGTGCAGTGCGCCGTTACTGAAGAACGGGGAAGTTTGGGCAACAGCACCAAGTGAGGGCTGACTGTTCGCAAATGCAGGGGGAGCTTGTGTAGCAGGTGGAGGAGGTATTGAGAATGCAGAGTAGTTTGGCGTTTTCTGTATGTTTGGTCTTGCTGACGAGGTGCTGGACGAGTTCATACTGGCGAGCGACGAAAGAGAGGGACTCGGACCCGAGGTCCGAAATTGATGACCGGGGGTATTCGACATGCTCCAAGAATTCAGGGCAGATGGCTGTAAAGCTGGAGATGCTGACGCAGGGGAGAAGCTTCGTATCCCAGCGGGCTGCAATGTAGGGAACGCATTCAACTTGGTATCAGGAGTAACTGAGCGGGCGGTCAAGCTGGGCTGTATGGCAGCAGGACTGGCGGTCGTGGTCGACCAAGGGAATGTAGTGGAGTTTGATGGCGAGGTAGTGGATCGCACAGCCGGTGCATCTGAAACCAGCTCGCCCCAGATGTCTTGACCATGGTCACTTGATGCCGTCGCACCTCGGCCAAGCACCAAACGGTCGAAGGCATCCCTTGTGGATTCTGTCTCAGACTGTGCAAGGCTACTTGAGCCTCTCGAAGCGGATATTGTCCCATTTCGAAACCCAGATGAGTTTGAAGACAACTCTTGAAGTTTCTTCATCTGCTCACGCTCGACCTTTGATGAAATACTTTTGACCAGGGCCATAAATTCACCAAATTGACCCGAATCGAGAAGGGGCCCAAGACTAAAGCTCCAAAGAACGGGAAGAACTTCCAAGGCAAGAAAGTCGGAATCAGCAATTTTTTGGACCTGCCGAAACACGTTAAGAGCCGCCATCATGACAGCTGGCTCTTTCGTTTTGATAGCCTTTAGAGAGGGGATGAGCTTCTCTTGAATTGTGTACTTATCCAGGATCGAGGACTTTGTAGGCTGCGGTTTGCTCTTCTCGGTAATACCGGTCAGGTCGTCATCATGGTCTTTTTGATCCACGGAGCCACCACAAAGTACAGTAAATGCTTCTAGACAGCGAACCTTGACGGCAAGGCTATTCGTACGGCTGAAAGTAGATGCAATCGGAGGGAAAATCTCGTTTTTCACGGTACTAAAATCAAGCACAGGGAGAATAACGGGTAAACACTTAATGGCGGCATCCACTAGGGTATGAGTAGGGAAATCGAGTCCCAAGCGGATTAAAGGCAAGACGTCTAGTAGCTGGATTAGTAGGGCAACGTATGCCAAAACAGGCGACTTACCTTCTTTGAACTCCTTTCCAGGGCAGTTCTCAGCGATGACATTCATATTCTCAAGAACCACCAGAAGTCCTGCATCTTGTTTCGAATCCCGTTCCTGTGGGACACCTTTGCCTACTGGAAAGACCTCTTTGAGTAGCGGAATCACTTTTTCAGGAAGAATACGGCGCGCGTTGGGAATGCGCTGCAAAATGCCAAAGACATTTTGCAGAATTAGAGAAAGAAGTTCACGGTCTTTAAGTTCGTCCAGCAAGGCCATCAAAAGCTTTCTCTCCAGAACCGAAGCAGGGAACTCCGGTAATACCCGTTGCAAGCCACGCATGAACTGCGCTTTTTCATTTGGGTTCTTGGCCGGCAATGACTCTAAGAACCGGATAGTCGATACTAATATATTATCGAAATACTGAGATTGCTGGAACTCTCGAGCAGTGAGACGCTGGGCGGGCCTTCTGGTGATGAGCCTGGGCAGAACGTGCCCAAGAACATCCTTTGGAATCGACCCCGAACAGAGAAAGTTGTTGCTTTGAGAGGGTGTCGAGGACGATGAAGTGAGCAGCCGCTTGAAAGCGTCCAAGCTGCCGTGAGATTTCAGAGGGGAGGTATGAGGCGAATTGTAAAGGGCTATAATTATAAGTCCAAGGGAGAACAAATCAGCCGAAGGGTTGACATTGGAGTCCAGAGCAAAATCAGGCGAAGTGTAGTCTAGATTCAATTGAACAGACGGCGGAAGACGCGGGTCCTGATACAAAACCTCGGACAGGGCCAGAGGAGGGAGGGCAGACTTAGAATTTGATCTGTCTGAGGGACCAGCAAAGCCCAGGCCCGAGATCTTCCAGTCAGATTTGGCGTTAATGAAGATGGCTTCTGGATTGAGGTTGCCATGAACTAAACCAGCAGATTCATGAAGGAACTCCAACCCTTTGGAGACTTGAAGTAGTCCTTTCTGTATCTCTAACTCATCAATGTCCCTGTCCCTCCGCCTCCGCGAGCCGTCAGGCTCTTCGACCATGTATTGCGAAGGCCTCGAGCCTGTCCTTCCATTGTTCTCCTGCGAATCTTTGTCCTGCAGAAGTCCGGCAAGCGAGGCAGTGATTCGCTCGGTTGCGAACATGAGACCGCCATTGCGAGTCTCCTCGACAGGCTCGAGTACTTGCAAAATCGAAGGGTGCCTCAGACGAGCGAGATTTCCAGCTTCACGCTTTAGGCGTTCGACAACTTCCTCATGCAACTTTTTGATCGAGGCTCCGGACCGACCTCCCAGTCCGCCGGATCGAGGCTCAAGGACCTTTTTGTCGAATATAAAAATAGACGCAGCGGTGCCCGTAGATTTCTTTTTGCCATCGTGAATCTTCCAGGGACCAGAAACCACGGTAGGATGCGGAGAGAACTGGTAGTTTGCCGTGATGTTGGAGCTTAGCGATTTGAGCGCCGACGAGAACATGTTCGTAAGTCGGTCCGGGTCTCGGAGTATCAGCAACAAGATGTATTAATCATAGTATTTCCTCAGCATGCGACCATCGCCTTGCGTGCCTCGAATGGCCGCAGCCTGACACAAGTCGCGACTCGAGATGGCGGGGAGTAAGAAACAATTGCTAATCACCACAGAGGCGTACGGGCGAGAACCACGGTAATTGCCTGGGAATGCTAACACCTAGCCATCGCCCCACACATCCACAATTGAAGATGAGTTCCTTCAGCGGTTATGGTTTGAATGTCCAGATATTCCAGGCTGGTCCTTCGTGCGCTCAAAGTAGTCACGTGGAAAGGACAGCGTTGGGTGGCTCACCGCCTACTGCGATCTGCGAGATACTCCGTACTCCGTACCCAAAGCCGATTTCGGAGATCTGGCCGAGTGTCAATTATTGTGGATGTGCGGAGGACTGTAGTCTGTTTGGCAGTGGGTTTCTTTGCGCTGCTCAACTAGACTACTACTACTGCAAGCTGCGACTTGTGACTCAAGGGGCGCACGTCAATTGAGTCATTGGCACCGATCAGTCTTCAGCAATCCTATTGGTTCAAGGTTTGTTTCCCTAAGACATCAATACCCTGATAAAAGCTCCGTCCGGAGTTGTCACCACGGTCCGGGAAGTCATTTATATTTTGCTTTATGAGCAGCTTTGGAACACTCTTCCTTCATCATCGCTGGCATAGGATCCAAATTCTCCGTGCTACTTCGACCATACTAATTGAGCAATCCAAACAACCTCAGATATGAAAGCCCTCCATCAATTAGCTCGTCCGCGAGCGCTACCTGCCTTCGCTGCTTCTCGTGCTCAGAGCGCTCGCTCGAATCGGGTATGGCAAAGGTGCTTCAGTGTCACTCGGACTGCCTCTAAGGCTGCCCGCCTGGATGCCTCGAAGCTTACCATCACAAAAACGACTACACCCAAGGAATTATTACCCTCAAAGGACCTTGTGTTTGGGAAAAACTTCACTGGTACGATGCCTTAGGTAATCTACGCAAAAACCACAGTGCGCTGATGCAAATATTCCTCTAGACCACATGTTCACCGTTGAATGGACTGCGAAGGACGGCTGGCTGGCTCCGCAGATCGTTCCCTACCAAAAGCTTCAACTAGACCCTTCAGCCTGTGTGTTTCACTATGCGTTCGAATGTTTTGAGGGAATGAAGGCCTACAAGGACAACAAGGGCCAGATTCGATTGTTCCGACCCGACAAGAACATGCAGCGCTTGAATAAGTCCTCTGCGCGTATTGCCCTGCCTACTGTGGACGGCGAGGCCCTCACCAAGATGATTGGCGAATTGGTCAAGCTCGATAGCCGGTTCATTCCTGAGTACTGAAACCATTCGTCTAGCGGAATCTTTTGCTAACTCTTTACTAGTACCCGGGGCTACTCACTGTACCTGCGACCCACGATCATCGGCACTCAGAGCACTCTCGGTGTTGGCCCACCAGGCTCTGCTCTTCTCTTTGTTATTGCAAGCCCCGTAGGTCCTTACTATCCGACTGGATTCAAGGCTATTTCGTTAGAGGCGACAGATTACGCCGTGCGCGCATGGCCCGGAGGTGTAGGAGATAAAAAGCTAGGTGCAAACTATGCCCCGTGCATTGTTCCTCAACTGGAGGCAGCTTCTCGAGGATTTCAACAGAACCTGTGGCTTTTCGGAAAAGAGGAGTATGTCACCGAGGTTGGCACGATGAACCTCTTCGTTGCGCTGAAGAACAAGAAGACCGGCAAGAAGGAACTAGTGACTGCCGATCTCGACGGCACAATCCTCGAGGGTGTCACTAGAGACTCCGTGCTGGCTCTTGCTAGAGAGAGACTGATCCCCAAGGGCTGGGAAATCTCCGAGCGCAAGATTAGAATGTCGGAAGTCGCGGAGGCTGCCGACGAGGGAAGGTTGCTCGAGGTGTTCGGTTCGGGTACAGCAGCCATTGTCAGTCCCGTACGAACGATCAGCTACCGTGGCAAGCTTGTGAACTGCGGCTTGAAGGAGACTGAAGAGGCTGGAGAGATTGCTCTCCAGATGAAGACCTGGATCGAGGGCATCCAGTATGGTGATGAGGAGCACCCATGGAGGTAAGCTAGCATGCCATCTGTGTACCATCTTCGTGCTAACATGCTTTAGTTATGTTCTGTAACCGGATTATCCCACCGATCGAACACGTACTATATACCGATATGTTGGGTCAATTTGATGGTGTTTTAGAGTCAAGCACGAGCGTTAGATACTTATGACTCCATTTCATTTATGAAGCCAAGCAACAAACATTGTCCGCTATCCTGTCTAGCCGCAGAATTCTGCAGTTTGTTCTGGAACTTCGAACATACCGAATTTCTGCAACTGCATTATCGCTCAAGTTGAGCTTCCTTCGCGACCGCGCCTTGGCCCGAGACAAACGACAGCTTGTCCTCTCGCATACCTCCGAAAGCCTTTAGCTGTCTATTAGACACACGCACGTACCACGGCACGTCTAGCATTCGGCTTCCGAAGCAGAGCCCCAAACCAGGTGCAAAACGCGATACCCATCGACCCACCAGTTGAGCCTGCCCCCGTCACAGATATTAATAGCCCAACCAGTCATCGCTCTTGCATGCAGGACGCCTAAAACCCGGCTGCTACGCTGGCGCCCACGTAGTACAACAACTGATCAATGTACAGAATGGCATTATACACGAACGAGAAGAGAAGAGACTCGAGCGCACATTAACGTCGTCCCGCATTTTCAGCCGCGCCTCGTTTTGCCTCGCCCCTCTATCGCCAGATTCGCCAGCGTGGTGTAGCGCATACATTAAAAAAAGCTCATACCGTACTACATGCATTATTAAGTGTACGCCAGCGGCCCCGGACGTGACCGAGCTGCGAGACGCCTTGACCGAGGTACTCCGAAGTGTTCGTGTCACAGTCCTCCGATCATTGATGTCACATCACCATCTGGTTGGGGGCGTGCCTTGATGGTCGCGAGTAGGTTGATTCCTGGAAGTTATGCAGCATAAAAACAAAATAGACGTGCATTTGAGCCGGGCCGCCGAAAAGTTGCCTCGTTCGTTAGGAACGTAAAGCCTGCAGACTAGGACAGCCCGAATTTGTCTGTCGTGACGTAGATTGGACTGAATTGTATTCCCTCCAATGGTCCATCAATAACATGGTCTCGTGCTTGCGGAATTGCCGCGACGTGGCGCTGTATGGCCGTATGGCGTAGTGCTGCAGTTGCCCCGGTGCATGTGCAGATGCATGTTGATACTGACTACAGATATACGAAACCACCACCCCAAGTTCCGAGGCTGAAACTGACGCTCACTACTACATGGTATGTACGTAGCTACCATTAAGCAAGTGAGCACTGCTGTGCTAAATGAAGTAGTGGCTTGGTAGCCCGTAAGGCTGAGACTCACGCACGAGCGGAGGGATCCCGCGGACTTACGAATCACTGCATGCGTTCGTCCAATGCGCGCCTGTTGCGATCTGGACTTCGCGATTCGGATTCTAGTTCAACGCGAGGAAAGGTTGGGGCTGAAATGCCGGAGTGAGCCTGTGAGGGTGACGGTGGGCGAAGACGAGGGCGAAGGCGACGACGATGTGCCACTCCTTACAGCTGCCTGCGATGCTATCACATCCTCGAGTCCATGACCATGCAACACAACCCCAACCCAAGGCCCTTTTACCTGTTTGGGCTAGATGATGCGACGCATGCGCTTTCGAAACAGACTGGGCTGTCTGCTCGGCTGCATCGATGATTCGTTGACACGACGCGGGTTATCGCAAATCGAACATTAGATCACTGAACTGGGAATACGAGGGGTGCTAAGATTAGAGTCCTGGGGCTAGTAACTAGTAAATTCTGATTAAGACGTCTAACGGTATACAGCGTGCCCCATACGTCATCTCGTATGGCAGGGATCAGACAATTGATCAGTGAAGAGCCGAGTAGGTTCCGAAGTCACCGAATACGCTGGGAACGATGAATGGGTGGCGGAGTTATTATCTCTCATTAAAGTCGACTCAAACAAGCAACTGTGGACGACGCCGGAGAGTGCGTGTCGATAACTCATGCCATGCTGAGCTGAAGCCTGCAGACTGGACACAACCAGATCGACGCCCAGATCGACCACCAGTAATCTTGATTTCTGATTGGGTGTGGTATTTATTTCTTTTGCATGGAGCATTAGCTTGACACCTCAATCTACGGCAAGTGGTCCACGGCCACACCACTTATGGGACTATTGGAACTAATGAACAATGAACCCTCGCTCGATAGGCAGCCGCCCAGTCATTGATTTTGAACCGAGAGGATCAGAATAGTCTAATGCTCCTTTGGTAATCTGCAGGTGCAAATGCAGATCAAAGTTTAGTCAAGACTCAAGAGACATCAAGTGTGGTACCGTGCCCTCGGTATGGTCTAGAATCCCGCTTACGGAATGCCCGGTACGAAGACGGTCTACAGATACAGGCCGGAAGGGATGCTGGATTCCTCTGTCGGAGTTCGGAGATTAGTAGGTGACGGGACTGGGACTGCGATCGCCTGCAGGCAAGTTCCCGGTTCTTGGTTCTGGCTCCCTTTCAGACCAGGGCATACGTGGGGAGTTTTCAATGTCTACGGTCTCTGAGGAGGGTTTGGGGTAGCTCGGTGGCCTGATGTAGTTCTTTAGTAGCGTTAAGTTCTTGGAAGATCGTCGTGTCCAATTTAAAAGAAACAAAGACGGACTGTGCCGATGATCTATTCAGTGTGACTGTACTACAAAGGCATACTACCCAGGAAGATTGGCACCGGTATCCATTACCTAGTCGTACCCGGAGTCTCCGCCGCCGCAAGCTGAGTCGACTCTCGCACCCAGGTTGGGGTGTTTGAAGGATAGCAATGGCGCTTCAGGTGATACAGTAGGCTCACGATACAGTAGTGAATGTTGCTCTACTTGTTGCTTTCAGCTCAAGTATTGTAAGTGCGTAATTATTGCCCCGGGCTCTGACGCAGTGTAGAGGTAGGCTCCAGCCGCGCAGGAATGCCACGTTTGTAAGAGTCGAGACGAGGCTGGCTAATGATATGGCTGTTGAGCAACGCCTTGGGAGCCATTAAAACAGGTAATATAGGCTGCGCCCAGGGAATCAGCTAGTCCATCAAGCTCGGTCATCGTTTTCTTGAGAGCGAAGCGATCATCCATGGGATCAGCTGCCCATGTCCTATGTTTGAGAGCCCGATATGTTTTCAGGATAAGGGAGAATGTAGGGTTGACCTTGTGTAAGAAGTCTCGGCAGTTGGTCCACAGCCAGTCAAATCGTTCTTCGAACTCATTTTTGCCGCCTGGCATCTCCCTCAACCATCCCGCAAGGATCGCTTGATGAATAGGCTCAAGGGTCGAAAGTGAAACCCCCCACTGAGCACCGGGAGTTGAAGCCATGAGGCAAACGTTGTACCAGTCTTCCGCCAATCTGCATCGGAGTTCCTGCTGGCCAATCGGCTCGTTGTCCGTCCCTGGCTCGTAGTTCGTACCAAGAATACAGTCGATGGATCTCCAATCTAATTGAGATACGAAGGCATTCGAACTAGACATTATCTCAATGAGGGGTATCGTTTGTCGCAGTTGGCCGAAGGGACGTAGAAAGAACCCGTAGTCAAAGTCACGCAGACCAGGATTTCCCGGATGGACAAGGTCTTCTTCATGAAAAGATACGGTGAGGCGGCGTATAACACAAGCCTTCCTAAGCAGCTTGACCGCAATCTCAATGTTTCTCCACATGTAGTATATACCCTCAACCCCCATTGTGTATGGCGATTCAAGTATCACTTCAACTCCGTCGAGTATATGCCAGGGAAACAGATCGAGGCTGCAGGAGTCCATGTACAGGGAGGTCTCAACGCCGCCTTCACCAAGTAGAGAGGGACTGGAGTCAACTTGACGAGCGTGATAGCGCAAAAAGCGGAGGAGGGTATCAGCATGCGGGCCCATCTCGATCTGCAACGTGCCCCCGAAGAACAAAAAGCCGTTTATTTCCTCGTACATGTCCTTGCTGGCTCGTAGGATGCTTGCTCGGAGAATGCTGGCTCGTAAGAAACAAGGGTCAGAGGCTAGAAAAGCCAAATCTGTTGAAGGGTTCGTTTCTTCCGCGACTTCAGTCCAGATTAAGCATCGAACATCATATGGAAGTCGACCAAAGTCGCCCAAGCCTGACGCCCGAGACATGGCTGCTGTTGAAGCGCCAAATGTTGGCTTCAGTTCCACCTTCGTGGTTTCGCATATGGTAAAGACACGCGTAATCCCCAGTTGCAGTTGTTGGCCTTCTGATGCATGATAGTGTGAAGGTCTGTTGTGTTAGGTCCTGTGTGTTGAGAAGAAGGGGTAGAGGAGAGACTGTGTGGTGAAGAACACAGTATGCAAACCCGTAAAGGTCAAAGGCATTCTGTGAATGAAATTGCCTCAGCAAATGTCTTCAAACTCGTCTGTTCCATAGACAAAGTAGATTCATTGTCAAGAGATATTGGACCAACCCACTAGATTGGGCTTGATATAAGTGGGTTCTGATGGTTCAAGGCAAGGGCTAACGCCATTTCTTCTACAGTGTCACAACAATGTGAGGATCCAGTAGTAGGCACGTGAGACTAACAAGGATCATAATCCAAACAGGATGACAAAGCTAATACATCCCCTCCTGGTCAGCCACGAGAATCTCCACGGACAGAACACTAAGCTTTGGCCTTGACCCTGGCTAACATCATTTATCAGTAAGAGGAATCAAAGGCATTATTACCCAACCGGCCAATTATGACACGGATCATGCCAACACTAGACCACTGACCACCGACCACTGCCCGCCATTGTATTTGGTACCCTATGCTATATTGAGTCACACCAAGCCCTCTTGATTGATAATCTCCAGACAGGCAGAGCACCCATAAAAGTGCATGGACTCAAAAGGTGTAAATGCCACTCACAGTCTCATACAGGCAAGTGCATATTTTCGGCCCTTCCCGACAAAATTAGAATCTGACCGCTCATGTGGCTTGCCTCACTGCTTCTAGAATGTTTGCTGGGAATTCGAGTCTGCTGACCGCATGGCTCTGTGCACCCATTCGACATTTCTATTGCGCGGCTCTGCTCGAGAATTTGCTGGGGTCGAAACCAGTAATTACTGGGGGAACCTAGCTTGAAGATGTTTCAAGTCAAATCTGGTAGGGGAGCGATCGTGAGAGGAGTTAACTTGCTCGTCACAGCCAGTCCGGGCGCCGTTTGGGTTACATGCAAACCAACAGCGCCTGTTTCTAGGCCCCCAACCGGTAATAAAAGTTTACCTGTTTGACTTCAGGTCAGGCGTCCATTATCTTGTGGACTCGGAGCTTTTTGCATGGAAACACATCAACATGATATGCTTTAGTATGATTGGACAGCTCGTGGAATCCTGGACTGGCAGATTTTAGGGCTTTCTAGGGGGGCAGGCAGGGTCAAATTCGGCGGAATTTGCGGAGCTTGCGAGCCAGCCAATGATGCTCTGAAACTGCTGTTGGATTCTTCAGCCCTACTTACTGGCGTCCGCTAGCGTCCGTTATTGACTTATCTCGGAATCTTCAATCCAGTGCCAACTTGTTCAGCCGCGTCTCCATATGGACTCGCGAGGAATCCTCTACAACCTTGCTTGCGGCCATTAAACGGTCAGCCGCAGGGCTTTGAGGCTCATTCGGCATAGGCGGGGTCTCAGCTGAACGCGTGGTCTTCAAGGGATGAATTCGGCGGCGTTATGGCGGAGATAACAATATGCCGTCGGCTGTCGAACATACCTTCCCCTTGGCTCGGTTATTGGCGACAGCCAACTAACCAATAGGCGTTGTCGCATGCCGAGTCGACATAATAATAGTAGCAAACCAGGTCCACGAGCGAACTGGCATGTATCACAACCTGAACCACGAGTTTCATGTCATGGCACGGCAGGTCGGCTCAGCAAGGAGTCTGGGCTGGTGAGAACCTGAGAGGCTGAGAGCATTCTGGACCCCAACTCCAAAGGTAGGGAGCCAACGTCAGCCACGGCGGAGTTCCACTTCGACCTGGTAGCGCATGATCCACATGTACAGACTCTGCGCTTTGTAGGTCTGCACTGTTGTTATCTCCAAGGCACGTGGCGAGTCGCGAGAGTCATGGCAATGGGGATTTGAGTTAGGTTGGTGGCTTCACAAGTACGAGTTACCGAGACTCGCCGGGCTTTCTAAGACGCCAAACTCCCGACCTCAGAGAGCAGGATCAAGAACTGGGATCTACTCCGTCCGCGATTGCGTATCCACCCTCTTGGAGAGTGAGATCTTTATCCTTAGCCGGAGTGCCAAGATCAAGGGGTGCAACGTGGCCGAAATCGAGACCGTGCGTTTGGATAATTGTGGCATGTTTTCTCGCCGCATCTCAGACGCAAGAGGTCATTCGGGGCGCCCCCAACTCTGGGAACCGAAATGCAATTGTGATTGGGCGAAAGGCGTTTTCTTCATGTAGGGTAGGTGATACATGCCATGGCCCATCCTATCCCATGCTAGCGGTCGTCGCCCTCAAATTTGTCATGACGAAATCTCCTAGACGCTTAGTCGACGCCTCGACGGAGTCTCGCTGGAATTGAGAATCACCGGAGTTCAATTCATCAATTAGGCATGGATTACTCCGGAACCCGGACGAGACGACGGGTATGTCGCTATCTTGCCGGGGGAGGGGGGAGCCAAGCTCCAGCATGATCTGATCCGAGCGCTATGGTTCGTCCGATGCATCAAAGCACTGCAGGGTCGAGCGATACTGGTCGAATCGCGAAGATTAATTCGATGTTATTATACTCCGTATGAATATTGACAGTCTATGGGCGATACAGGACTGATCTAGTTTCCATGGGGCGACATTCGGCGCCGCCAATCTCAAACCCAGGGCCCGGAGTAACTTGACATCAATATTCAATAGCCCGTTACTGAGAGCACCCTAGCAATGCGTACTCTGGGCCGAGCTGATACACGGGCGTACAGGAGGAATCTGGGATATGCCGCTAATGCAGCGTGGTTTCGAAGGAAGGATCAACAGGCAAGAGCAAGATGTTAGAATATCACAGTGAGAAGGCTAAATTGTGTGTAACTGTAGATAGGGTGTTGACAGTCAGAATTATCCAGCCACGCACTGACTGCGGGACTCGCGAAGAATTGCCAAGTTCGAGCGTGGAGTCGAGGACGGAGCGATGACAGGCCGATTCCCCACAGGTATCAAAGAGGTCGCGCTAACCGCTTTCGTCGATCGCCCGGCGTACTCGGATTGCATCGTGCTCGTTCAGCCACGAGCCACTCTGCTAACTCTGCTAAAAAAACAAAATGGAAATGGAAATAAGGAAGGACCAATAAAGAAACTGAAGAGCGCTGATCTAACCCGATCTCCATCTATGTCGTACGCCGACAGCACTGGCAAGGGACCATGGCTCGACAGTCACAATTCACCCGCAAACGACAATTCATCGAGAACGATCACTACCATGATGGATCATGGATGGGTCAGTGTGGAACATTCCAAGAGCACAGCCGAGTGTTTCTGGACCAGGTCCCCTGCCTGGGTCCTGCATCCTGAGGCTACGCCCGTATTCCACGGAGGTAAAAGGGCGCTCGGTGATATCGGGCATCCGGGGTTCCGTGCATTGCAACAAAACAGCCTCAATGAGTGACGCAGCCTTACCAGCACATGGTCGTCCCAAAGCAATTTAAAATAATTGATTTTTTTTTTCAGCTACTCGCACGGACTGGCCCTCTATCGCAACGGCTCAATGGCACTGCCTGTTTGGGTTGGAGTCCGGGGCTTAGCAACAGCTCTTTACTGCTCCAGTGAATAAATACTCGCTCCATGCCTCCTCTGATTTTCAGCCGCTATGCCCATCTACCAGGCTGGACTTTATAACCTCCTTCCTCCCCATCTCGTCCGCTGTGTTGTCCAGAATCCATACTCATCACCACTCCTTCACTAGTACCCCCCACCCATAGTCCTGTCCCATACATGACAGCTTCAACAATGCATCGCTCCAACGGTTATTCTTACTCGGCGAGCTCAAGAAATCACAGCACCAGCAGTGCCTTCAGTCCCAATGCCAATCCAAATGAGGACTGGACCAAGATCTCCGATTTGGCTGAACGGCGCCGCATCCAGAACCGCATTGCGCAGCGGAATTACCGTACGTCTTGTCTTTGAAATCCCTGAGCATGTCTAACTAGTAACAGGCAAGAAGCTAAAGCGTCGGCTGGAGGATCTGGAGAAACGCGCCGCCTCAGCTTCCGAATCGCCAGAACGGTCCCTCGAGAAACCAGAACCCCCAGTCAGAGTGTCGGCCAAGTCTCGCGCAAAGCATGCCCGCGCAACCAAGTCCACTTCGGACGTCCACAGCCCTGCTTCGACAGATCGAGCTTCATACGATAGCTACTCCACGCAGGAAGATCGGGGGTCGATGTTTTCATATCAAAGCACGCGCCAACTTTCCACCTCGCCTCCGCCCATCCTGTCCTACCCCCCATACTCCTCTCTCGACCCCTACTCCCACTCTTCATACGGCAGCCACCCAGCAGCATACCACCACTCCTACAGCGACCCTTACCATCACGACTACCCGTCTCCGATGCCATCTCTCCTCCCGCTTTCAATGCACGGCGCCGGTCCCGCAACTAAGAAGTACTCCTCCTACGGCGACGACGACATCATCAGCCCTTTCAACATGAGCTACGCCTCGATGGCGGGCATCGACCTCTCTCCGCCGCAACAACAACACCACCACCACCACCACCACCACGCGGAGAATAGTAACGTTCCTGTACATACCCATATCCTCCCTTCCATCAGGGCGACCTACCCGCAGTTCCAAAGCAGAAGGAGCTAACGAACTTCTCTTTCTTCTCGCCAGATGCCAGCCTTGTCGCAAGGATACGGCGACGACCATTCTGAGAGCTCGCCTTCTACACCCGCGGAACCGTCGCTTGCCTGTCCCTTGACCCCGCAGTCGGAGCTGGAGTCGGACCAATTCCCTCTTCATTCTGCGTACCCTCCTCTACTATGACTTTGATACCTCCTTTTATTCTTACGACTTATGATTCCTGCTTGTGTTTTGGTTACGGCTATTGTACCTTCAGCACGATGTGCAATAAAGCTGGTTTGTTTTTTCTACAGGATAGATGCATGGCACTCGGCGTTACTTAGGCCTGGATTGAAGACTGGACTGGAGACTGGAGTACACGGGAAATTGAGCTCAATCCCCTTCTCTCATATCATCATATCATTAGACTACTACAATTCTACTATTACATCATTTCCATGCCTGTTCCATACAGACAAATCTTATCGCAATCCCATCTGATTAAGCCACTGATGCGCGCGGCTAGGCTAAATCAATCTAAGTTGTACGAGATGGGGCGAAAACAGACCGACCAATAGCCGCCCCTTTGGCCCCCAAACACGGCGCAACCATGGCTCATCATGACACCTCCTCATTCGGTCCCTCGTATGTCAAAGTGTAGAGCTGAAAACTAAAGATTCGGAAATGCTCCGCCGTCGAGCGAGGGCGCCATGGAGCGCGCGTGGAGATAGGAGGAGGTTGTACACTGTACACTACAGTACAGAGCTGGTTCCAGGCTCCTTAGTTTGATGGCCACGGCTCTCCTTCTTTGTCTTTACGTTCCGTTCGGAGCTCAGTGTATCCCGTCCCTCCGATCTGCAATGGAATCGACAAGCAGCTGTTGCCTATTGCGGTATAACGACTTTAATATCACTAAACTTGATTCGCTCGGATGGGAGCGGGCAGCTGCCTAGGGGTACGAGTACTAAGGGGCATAACTATTCAAGGACTTCGGACATAAGTATGCAGCCAGGAGTTTACAGCTTCACTCCATGGCCTCTAGCTTTCTGGTTCGAAGCTAGGAAAGTTGACTCATAGTTACTAATTTACTCCGTACTCCGAGTGACAGCAGCAGCGATCCGGCACCATCCGCTTGGGAATAACTTAGTCAAAGCCAAATAATAGAGGGAGGGCGTATTCTGGCGACAGACCCACCGCTTCCGGACCCACTACCGTATTTTTTGGTTACTTTACTATTCGCGTTTGTATAGAAAATAACATATAAACCTAAATAACCTTATCACAAGGCTATGTAGTTAAACTTTGCAGCAGACTGGCCGTAGTAACCTATAATAAACTTAGTTAAATATATAGGTATATTACTTTATATAATAAATATTATATAAATTAATATACCTATATATTAAATAGTATTTTAAGGGGGAAACTATATAATATTGTCAGGGCCAACATTTTTCCGTTTGACATCACCGGAGCCAATCCACCGTTAGTCCGGAGTTAGCGCCTGAGCTTTAGCCTCAGGCCGCCAAGGCTTGGCATCCCTTACCACCACGTTAGGCTATATAACTTAACTAGGTTATTAATATTTAGGGTCTTGGCTACTAGTTAAGTAAGGCTAAGGTAGGCCTTAAGTATAAGCTAGGGTAAAAACCTGTGTGTAAAGTATTTAAATTTATATTTACTTTTTAATTAAAAATAGCTTAAGCATAGCTTAAAGGTTTATAAAAGTGGCCTTAAGGCCAGCCTTTTTTAAAATTTTTAAGTAACTTTTTTAGTGTTATTTAACAGGGTTTAAAATACTTTATTTTTATTAATTAAATTTTTTTATTAATATTTTTATTATTAGTAAAGATTTTTAAAACTTATTAATTTTATAATTAAAGTTGCTTGCACCTATTACTTTTTAAACTTTTTTAATAATAATATTTTAAACTAAATTTTTAAAGGGTAAGCAAAGGCAGTTTACAGGTATTTTAGTTAAAATTTTTAAAACCTAAACTTAAATAGCTAAAAAAGTGTTCCCTTTTTTATTTATATTTAAGGATTTTATTACTATTAAAAATAATTAAAAAAAAAACCTAACTTAAATAATTTAGTTTACTAGCTTAGTAAAGCGTAGGGTAAAATATACCCTTTACCTTATTATTTTATATTACTATTAAAACCTATTAATTTAAAATTTATTATAATTAAAGCTATTTTAAAGGGGGAGCGGCCTAAAACTATAATTTTTAGCTTATTTATTTTTTAACCTTAATATAATTAGTATCACGTGTTAAAATTAAGATATTTTTTAAAAAAAAATAAAAAAAAGTTACCCTTGTAACCCAAAGCTAAAATAATATTAAATTATTAGTTTTTATATTAATTCTTTTATTAATCCCCGTGCTAATTTTCTTATTAATACTTTTAATAAAATTTAAAAAAAATTAATTTTAGTAATCCTTTTAATTTTAGTTTAAAGTTAAGCTTAAATAACTTAAGCTATTATTTTAAAGCTACTTTATTTTTAAAACCTAGTGCTAGTAACACTAGCTTTAAAAGGTTTAAAAGTTTTAAATATATATAAAAAAGGTACTAAAAGGCTATTAAAAAATTATAAGCTTTATTAAAAAAAAAAGGCTTTTTAGGAGCCTAAGATTAAGTTTAAAAAAATTAAAAAGTTAAAAAAAAAATATAATAAAGCTTAAAATCTAGTTTAAAAACCTAAAAAATTACTTTTATAACACCCTTAAAAAGTTTTAAATAAATAATAAAAAAATTATATTTACTATTTAAAACACTCCAAGAAATGCCCGTAATTATTAAAAAGGTTAAGTTAAATTTTAAAATAATAAGTAAATCTAGGTAAATTTTAAAAAATTTATATATATATAGGTTAACTTAATTATAAACCAGGGCTACCGTGCCGCCTAGTATTTTTTAATTAAATAATAAAGTACTTAAAATACTATTTTTTAAAAACTTTACTTTATAAAGTTAGGCCTGTACTTTAATAATCTAAAGTTTAAGGTGTAAATACTTACTAAGACTTATAATAAGAATATTTACTTACACTTAAAAAAGTTAAAAAAACCCTTAAAAACTATACTTAAAGTAAATACAGCAGTAATTTATATAAAGTTTATTAATAAGTATAATAAAACCTTAAAGGCTAAGAAGAAGAAAAAGTTTAAAGCTAGTTTTAACTTTAAAAATAAAAAAAATAAAAATAACTTAAAATAAAACTAGAACAGCAGTAAAGTGGCTTTTTTAAAAAAAAAAAAAAAAAAAAAAGCAAGAAAAAAAGTAATAACTTACTTTTTAAAAAAAAAAAAGAGCACCGCAAGAAAAAGGGTTTTTATTTTAATTATAATAAATTAAGCCACTTGTTAAAGGCTTATTTAAATAAAAAAAAACCTAAAAAAAAATTAATAAAAAATAAATAGTAATCCCCTAGCCCTAAGTTATTAAAGTTATATAATTTAAAAAAGGAGACTGCTTTCCCTATTCTTACAAATTTTAAAATATAAAAAAATAAGGTAAATTAATAATTTAAGGCACTACTTAATATTAAAATTAATACTAATTTTATTTTAGTTTAATATTTATAAAAGTAAGGTATTAAAATAAATACTAACTATATAACATAGCTAGTTTAATATATTAATAGCACCTTTACTTTTTACTACAGGTATTTACAAGCTTATACTTAGGTTTATAATTTAAAGGGAGTTATAAAAATATTTAACTTAGTATATTATATTATTAATTTTATTTATAAAAACTATTAAGTAGTCCTAGGACGTCCCTAAATAATTAAATTAAATTTAAACCTTTATTTTATTATAGTAAAATAGACTTAGTAAAATTATATACCTTTTATTAAAATTAAAATATTATAAAAGTTTATAAAAACTATGCGCAAGAAACTAGTACTTATAATATTTTATTAATTAAAAAAAACTAAAGGGGGAGTAAAGGTGGTCCTGCCACCCTAGTATATTTACTAAAGTAAAGTTTTTTTTAAATAAAAAGTTACTTAACTTTTAACTAGTAAAGTAAAGTATAAAATTTTATTAAAAAAAGGTAAGAAGCCTTTATGGGGTTTTATTTATAGTTTTTTTTAATATAAGTTATAAATATTAAAAAAGTATTTTAATAAAATACTTAAAAAAAATAAATTAGGCTATTTTAAAGTAGCGCTGGAGCACTAGTGCTTTTTATTTAAAAACTTAATAAATTTTTATATTTTTATATTAACTATCGCGGATTAAATATAATAACTAATAAAAATTATTATTTATTATTATATATTAATAAACTAATAAATTAGCTAGTAAATATAAGATATTTTACCAAGCTAGATTTATATAACATATATTATAAAATATAAATTAAAAAAAAAAATAAGTAAAAGACAGTATTCTAGACCTGTTATAATTACTATAAGTATATAGTTATACCCTTTAGCTTAATAAATACGCTAGTTACATTTTAATTTTATATAAATATAGTTATAAGCGGGATTTTTAATAAATTTTATATTATTTACCTTAATAACATTCTTATTTTTTTAAAAATAAAAAAAAAACATGTGCATTATGTTTAGGAAGTCCTTAATTAATTAAAAAGCTATAATTTATATATAAAATTATTAAAATATAGTTTTTATAAAAAAAAGGTAAAGTTTTTAGGCTTTATTATTAAATAAAAAAAAATATTTATTAATTTAAACCGCAGCCGGACTGTTACTAATTAACTAAAATTAATATTATTTTATAAGTTATAGGTTTTTTTAAGCTTTATAAATTATTTCTAACACTTTATTTTTAGTTATACTAAAATAACTTGTTTAATAACCTAGCTCTTGGTAAAAATAGTAAAAAAATATAAAAGCAGGCCTTTTTTATTTCCTACTAATATAAAAAATATATTTAAAAAAATTAAGTTAAACTTTACTAGGCCGCTAGTACTGCAGCACTTTAATTTTAAAAAAAAATTTTTATTATTATTAATATATTAGGGTTTATTATTACTAGGATTATTATATAGCTAAAGTAAAAAAAATTACTTAGTAAAAAAAAATAGGACTAGTAGCGCCTTATAACCTTTTATTTTTATTAATTATATAAACTAAAGCTTTATTATAAGGTTTATAATTAAAAATTACTTATGGTAGTTAAGTGCTTTAAAAAATGGTATTATTACCTTAAGGGCTTTTT